AAACAATGTATGAGTTGGAAGTGAATGCATTGCATACATTTTTTACTATCCCAAGAGCTTATAATCTAATATTCAATTTTAATGCATGTTTCAAAATAAAATTAGAATTTTGCAATACAGAAATTGAATTATCAGATGGAGTAGAGGGAATTATTTAAGCAATGCTGTCTGTCAGACTAGAATAAGTACTAATCAGTCTAGTTCTTATGGTGACCAATCTATTTCTGGGCCTTACAATTTGGGCCTGAACTATAAGTACAGAAGGCTGTGTAATTTCAATCTTGTTAATTTGCATATTTTGTACAAATAATAGTAAAAATTATTTGTAATAATGTTGTAAAGAAAATCTCATCATGAGCCCAGAAATCACCTTTTCACCCTTTTATCTCAAAAACCTTTGCAAAGCACATTTCATAGAGTAAAATTGTCTAAGCTTCCATAACATAGCAAAGTGGAAATTGTGGCTTATTTAATTTCAATTTGGGCTAGGACCTGGCTAGAAACCAGGAAAGTGTAAGTTCTAGTCTTGCTTTAAGCATGAACACCACCTTGAGTTATTTATAAAAATAATAAGGGTAAAATAAAAATACATAAAATATATTATTTGTTGTGCTACTGAATTTTATTCTGTCTAAATATTATAAACGTGCTTCTCTTTCAGGGTGTTGGCTGGTGGAGGTATGAATTCTGTTATGGCAAGTACGTGCATCAGTATCACAAGGTATATAAATCACTGGTAGACTGTTCCACTAGATGGCTACATGTTCCTGTTTTTGTCTATAAAGAAGAATTTGAAAGTACAAATTTAAAATTTATGAATTCACTATTGGGCTGTATAAAGATGAAACACAGGAAGTCACCTAGTACTATATTAGATCTTTGGCCCATCTAATGCAGCATTCTGCCCTGGAGGTAAACTGTTCAGCACTGCATGCAGGTAACTGCCTGGCTTGGAACCCAAAATGGACAGGAACATTCATTTGTCACCCCTCCTTTTTCCCCTCCCTTTTTTGTCTTTTTTTAATTTCCCCCCAAGAAGTCAGAGAAGAGGAAGGTGATATATTATTCCTATTTTTAATCTATTTTTATTGTACATAGTATCTTTTCTTCTCTCATCTCAAAACCTTTTCAGGACTGTTTTGGCCAGAAATACGAAACATTTTTGAAAATATTTTCCCTTTCATTTCTGTCCATTTCAGATTTTCTCTTTTTATCCCCTCCTGCATTTATCCTCTCTCTGGGCATTCTCCTCAGAGTGAAATCAAGCCAAGAGCAACATCTTGCTCAACCTACATAAACTGAGGGCAGTTATTTTGGGTTTCAGAGAGAAATCTTTACAACCTGCCTACCCTGGGACCTATTACATGCAAAACACATGCAGCTGCATCAAGCTATAACTGTATGAGGTTCATGCTATAATAAAAATGAATCAATATTCAGTTACGTGCTTTGGTCTCTCTCTGATATTGTTAATCCAGGATGGACATGCCAGTAGCTAGGCATTAAAGCAATGTAACATTTAGGTGGTTAGAGATGCTACTTTAATTCTGCCTCATAATGTCATAAATGCTAAGAATGGACTGTTGGATACTTGCCATGAAGGGTTTTTTCAGTTTGTTATGATGGGGGTGTCCAAGCATACTTAATAGCTCTTATTGCTCAAGAGGAAATGGATAGTATGACTTAAAGTCTATTACACTACCCATTCCTGGATCCTCCTTCCTGTCTTCATTCAGCTCACTACTAAGAATAGCAGAACATGTTCATCAAGACATAACTAAAGATGAACAAAGGAAAAACAGATTGTTATAGTTCATTAAAACCATTGCCATTTAAATATAATGGGGAAAGGCTAGCTGAAGCAATTGGGTTCATGTGGGTATTTTTACCATATGGAAACAGTCATGATATTGATTATTGTCTACTTTAGAATTTCTGTTTAAGGTGTATAAAATACAGAATTATGCATAAATTTTTAAATTACCAAGAAAATATGTTACTTATTTTAGGATAAAGAAAATGGCAAAACTACTATAGTTGTGGGCACATGGAACAAAGAGGAACATCTTGAATGGACACAAAAGAATGTGGCTAGAACATATCACCAGAAAGACGATGACCTGCAAACAGTCAAGTATGCACAATTTGATTCTAAAATGATGGCTTAGAAAGAGGGTTGCTGCTTTGTTGTAGCACTTGTAATAATAAGTGTAGAGTGCAGCTGATTTTTAAGTCCCAGTTTTAGTATCCAACCAGGGCTGGAATCTTCAATGTTTTATAATATTGTATCTCATGCTTTTAAATTTTTAGATGCCCCTTCACTTTATCTTTGATACTAAGCCAGAAAAATATTTATCAGCCCATCTATAGATGGATGGATGAGTAATTGCTTATGACTGCCTTTCTAAGAAATGCTGGTTGTAAAGATGGATTGTATATTATATTCTTTTGTACTGAAGACATATTTGGAATAAACAAAAATAATTAAATTTTAAATGCAAGGTATCTATAAGTGCCAAATATTGTATAGTTTTCTGATCTTCAACTCTAGTTGACAGTTTTTGTACATTTTATGGTAATTGTATAGAAGACAAATATGAAGGGTCTAAGCTTTGGACCTTATGCAGTGAGTTTTAAATGTGATTATTGCAATCAGAGTCTAAGTTGTAACTTTCCTGACAGAATGGTGTCTCACTACTATGGCAATGGAGATGTTTGTGACTTAACTGACAAACCTCGACAAGTGACGGTGAGATTGAAGTGAGTTACACTTAAACAGTTTGTACTAACTAATTGAGCTATATTTGTTTCCTAAGGAAAAGATGCCTGGAACCTTAAAGTGACCTTGTTTTCCTTTACTAGTTATTAGGCACAATCCATGTTTATCTCTTACAAATAATTTGAGAATTACCTGCAAGGCAAGTGCTAGCACTGAGGATCTTACCTAGTTGGATAATAAAATGTTTGCAAGAAAACAACCAAGCTCAAAGAAAACCATCCAATCCTGAGCTACAGTTATTCTCTTCCAAACACCAGGTTCACTGGGAAATATTACCTAAAAGCGTAATTCTTTGCTCTATTACAGCAAGACTTGCATCATCTTTAGAGATGATTTATAGGCCAAATATACCAACTGGAAATCTTGGAGCTTGAGGAACCATTTTCTTAATCTATTTTGTCTACTAACAAACTTCCCTGTTTTAAGGTGCAAAGAATCTGACTCTCCTCATGCAGTTACTATATATATGGTGGAGCCTCATTCCTGCCAGTATATTCTTGGGGTATGTTTTTGAAATCTTGATCTAAACTATGTTGATTTCTGGGAGAAAAATCTCCCATGGAAAATGTATTTCACCTAGAAAAACACGAAAGTTCTGGTACTAAACCTGTAATTTTTCATTAATATATATATACTAAAGGACCTAATGCCTTCTGTAATATGACACAGTACATTTTTCTAGAGAATTAGGAATTAAGTGAAGTGACAACAATGTGGCATATTTAATATCAGATCTTATGACAAAAATGTTGGTAGGCAAAGTGATTTAAAAAATACTGCAGTTAGACGACACACACCCCAAAATTAAAAATAGCATTAGTTTAAATCAGGGGTAGTAAACCTTGGCTCTTTTATGACTCGTGGACTTCAACTCCCAGAATTAGCTTAGCTGGCTCAGGAATTCTGGGAGTTGAAGTCCACAGGTCATAAAAGAGCCAAGGTTGACTACCCCTGGTTTAAATTATTGTAATAATACGGAGAAAGACTGAGAGACAGGGCAAAGAAATGCTACCCATGGAATGGTCAAATAAGCGAGGGCATAGCCCATAGCTGCATAATGGGACTAAGAAGGGACCCTTCCTAGCTTCTCGAGATATAAAGGAGATAGAATGAGATTTGTATGTTCAGACTTGCAAGATTCTGTAAATGTAGCCTTACAAGTAGAATTAGCCTGTCTGGTCATGTTTCCTATCTTGTGTGCCCATGAAAGCTGGTAGATATTTTTTTTAATGTTTGCAAAAACACATTTTATCCCAAATAAAGTATTTAAATGTTAAAAATATTGGGCACAATTCAGCCAGATCTTTAAGACCTTTACAGACTCTGTTAATTAAAATGTAGTTTTGAGCAAGGATGTAACTTTTTTCAGAGTCTTATTGAAAAAACAAAGTGTCCAAAAGGTTTGACAGGTCATATTCTGATTGCATGGTAATCCTCAAATACAGCATTATCTTTCTCTAACTCCAAAGCATTAGTTTTATGAGCACTAACCCCATTGTAACCTTTTGGTTACAGTTGCTTAATTTGATTTTTTTCATGACTTAGTTTGTTCAATTGCATTGTGACTAATACCTTTGTAAACTTTTTTTTTCCAGGTAGAGTCACCAGTTATCTGTAAAATTCTGGATACAGCAGATGAATATGGACTGCTTTCTGTGCCAAGTTAATGACATGGTAAATTATTAGACATTCAGAGCCACAAAGCTGAAGGAAAAGTACACCTGCAGTTCTCCTTGTGAACCAATTGTGAAAAAAGTACAGAATCACAAGAATTCACCAGCAGACAGAAAGAAAAAAACTATTGTGAATTATTTTGTGAATATTATATGTATATAAGAGACTATTGAGATAAACTTTTAAAAAGTAAAAAATATATAATCTTGGACACTTTCATTTACTCTCTAATACAGAATGGAGTCTCTCATAATATTTTCTTTTTCACTTTATGTTTTGATAATATATCAAAATACTATTAAGTAGTATTGATAATATATCAATATATTATCTGATAATTATTTTGATAATATATCAAAATACTGTTAAGAAATTTCTCCTTAGTACAAGGAGAAAAGCAACCTAGAAATTTCCTAACAATATGAACAATTAATCAGTGGAACAGCTTGTCTTCAGAAGTTGTGGGCGTTGGAGGCTTTTAAGAATAGACTGAACAGCCACTTGTCTGGAATGGTATAGGGTCTCCTGCTTGAGCAGGGGGCTGGACTAGAAGATCTCCAAGGTCCCTTCTGACTCTATTATTCTGTTATATCATTTCTTTTGTATAGCAGGAAATATTATATTTATTTGGTAAGCATCATTTTACCTTTATAAAACTTTAGTTTCCTTCTGCAGATAGGTTTTTACTCAACTAATCCATTGTGTAAAAACCCCTCCAATATCAATGAGGATTTCTTAAGTCGAGAAAATACATTCTGAACAGATTTTCCCAACATGATGTTTTTTCAGATGTGCTGGACCAACTTCCAGAATATCTAGCATCTGGCTGAGAATTCTGGGAATAGAAATCTAAAACATATAATAGATACCAATTTAAGAAAAAGGAAGTTTTCTTAGGTTTTTTTTCCTGATCTATAAGCCACTTGATACAAACCAGCGGAATTTTCACTGTGTATTAAGTCCTCATCCAAAACTGACAGGCTTAAATTAAGCACACAGAATACACGAAGCATCTTGTTTTGGGTTGAAGTACACCTGAATCACTATAAAGGTAGTCTTCATGTGCTGCTGCTCTGATTTAGCATTAATTCTGAAATTGCTATGCTACAATTGGAAAATTTAGTAATGCGGAAGTAACAGTAAAAGTTACCTCAGATTATTGCAGTTTGTTTCCTGTCTGCAGCAATTCTTGTTTCGTTTGAATAAAACACCAAAAGTGGGTGGGAAAATGAATTAAGATGTCTGTAAAATAATATTTGTCACAGCTTATTTGATTCAGAAACCTTTCCTCAATGATTCATTATGAGAAACAAAGCTAAGAGGGACGGGACCTAGGGTGGAGGGCATTTCCAAATCTGTTGGTTAAGTGAGCAAGGACTGTGAGACCAAAAGCATTGCAGGATGACAAAGAAGATGGAACAGATTAAAGCAACTTCTGTGTATTGCATTGGCGTAAATAAGCAATCAACTCATTTGCTTAAGGGAAAGTAAGCAAGCTCCTTGGTTCCTTGTTGCATCATGTTTAATCATTCACTTATGGGAAACAGCCAATCTACAAGTTATAACATGTTACAACTCAAAATAAGCTTCCCTTTTGTGTACCTATAGGCTTTCCCACATTGAGATTTAATGGTTCACATCCTTATTAGCAGGGAATTTCCAAAGGATGTGATGCAAATAGTAAGTTCAATTTGATAGGACAAAGGTATTCAAAACCATTCTTGTTCAGCTGTTGTATCCCTAACAGCAAAATGTTCCAGATCTAAGCTCTATCATGGGAAGAGAATGAATCGAAAGGTAAGTAAAACTCCATGCTAAGGAAAGGTATAGAATGGTTGAGGGAGGATTCATACTTGGGGAATAACTGAGGAAAGCACAGCAGCTGGAACAAATCTTTTGTGTGCCATACATGCCATGCCTCTTTTTGTACTGTCTTGAGATTTCAGTTTAGAATAAAATAGAACAGAACAGAAATAAACAGAAACCGAATACTTTATTGGCCAAGTGTGATTAGACACAAAAGGAATTTGCCTTCAATGCAGTAGCTCTCAGTGTATATACAAACCAATAGAATCATCATCATCATAATGCCAATTAAGAGAATAATGCCAATAAGAGGTGGAAACTAAAAAAGATAAGGATAAATGATAATACTACAGCCATACTACAAGGGTGAATATACACAGGACATTAGACAGCACTCTTGAGGATTAGGTTTCAGCAGATTGCTGGCATGAAGAAAAAAATTGTCCCTCTGTCTAATTGTTTTGGCATGCAGTGCCCAGTAGTGCCATTCCAAGGAGGAAGGAGCTGAAAGAGTTTATACTCAGGATGTGAGGGGATCTGAAGGAGGGTCTTCTCAGACCTCCTTCTGACCTGCGCAATATACAGGTCTTCTATGAAAGGCAGGCTAGTTGCAATTGTTCTTTCTGCGGTCTTAACTATCCATTGGAGTCTACCTGTCTTGTTTGGTTGTTGTACCAAACAACAAACAGGACAGGACAGACAGTTTTAGAAATACAGACTCAATAATTCCTCTCTAGAACTATATCTACAGATCTTGGGTCAGTCTGAACTTCCAGAGTTGATGCAGGAAGAACATCCTTTATTGTGCCTTTTTAATGATGGTTCTAATATTAAGTGTCCATTTCAAGTGCTAGGAAATTAAATAACCCCAAAACCTGAAGGACTTTACTGCTGATACTGTCCTGTCGAATGTAGTAAGAGGTGTAGAACAGAAGGGCTCCTCTTAAAATCCACTCTTACTTCTACAGTTTTAAGCATATTTAGCTCAGAGTGTTCTGGCTGCACCACAAGGCCAGTTGTTCAACCTCTCTTCTATATGCAGATTCATCACTGTCTTGAATGAGGTAATGACCATTTTATCATCTGCAAACTACTTTAACAGAAGCTTCCCTTGAGATGTAGGCATTAGTATAGACTAGGCATGTCAAACTCGTAATGTCACATGATGTCGCGCGACATATCACAACTTTTTCCCCATTGCTGACAATGGGGTGGGCGCGGTTTCTGTGTGATGCATATGCCCCGTGGGCCGGCAGTTTGAGATGCCTGGTATAGACAAAAAGAGCAACTGAGAGCAGACAATCCTGAGGGGCTCCTGTGCTAATTGCCCAAGTACTAGATGAAACTTTTTCTAGCTTCACCTGTTGGTTCCTATCTGTGAAAAAGCTTATGATCCACCTACAAGTATGAACACACACAGTGAGCTGAATCAGTTCATAGTGAAGAATTTCTGGAATGATAGCACTGAATACTGAGCTGAAGTCTGCAAAAGGTATCCATGCATAGGGGATTCAAGATGTTGCAAGATGTACTGTAGTCTTGCAAGATGTAGTCATTGGTAGCCTCACACTGCAATGAACAAGGACACACATTCAATTTTGCAGCTACTAAAATTGTTGAACGAGCAGGCACAAAAACAGCCAGGGAAGTGATTGAAGCCTGGGAAACAGGCTCCTTGCCAGTCAACTAGAGTGCTGATTTACCACCAGCATATCAAATACTTAGAAGGCGAGGGCTGGGCAGCACAAACAACAGCTAATGGCTTAAAAGCCAGCCATAAATTCACCCCAATCAACATCTAAAAAGCCTCTTACAGCAGGCATGGTAAGTACCACACAGAGAACAGCACACTCTGCTAGAGAATGGTTCCCTGAAGATGGGCTCCACCATTAGTGTGAAAGCTTGGAAGAAAACCTCTGGTCCTGGTGGCCAACCCAGATTGGATCCTGCAAGGAGGAGTTACTCTACCTGGGCCTGGGCCTTTTCCAATCTTTTGTCTATGAAACAGACCTTGCACATCTTTTACTAAGATCACCAGAGGTGGTGGGACCCAGAGGAGGATAGTAGAGATAGACAGGGCTTTTTTTCTCATAGAACGTCCAGAACGGAGTTCCGGCACCTTTTTTGGATGGAACCTTGTAGGGTAGGCAAGGCGGGTTGTATGACGTGTGTGAGTTCTGGCACCTTTTTTTTTTTTTTTTTAGAAAAAAAGCACTGGAGATAGGTAAAGGAAGATTGGCTACTGTTAGTGTATCTGGGGTGGGGTAGATAGTAGTAGAATACAATGGTCTCTTCTTTATATCAAACTGCATGATGTAGCTTTCAGTTAAAACCTAATGGTTTTAAAGTGCTGCTTTAGGGTGAATCTGATTTGATCCTTTAACTTATGGACTCTTTTTTTCCCCCATGCTTTTTAATTTATGTATGAAATGGATAGAACCATTTGTATAGAGCTCTGGATACTGGAGCCATGCTAAGACAGTTAAAAACTTGGAAGTCATAAAACTTAGAGAATACAGAAATACAAAGTGTTAATAAAAGCATAGAACCTGATTCTCAGCTACATGAGATATTTTTCTCTCTGAAAACATTGAATCCATATGTGGAGATTCTTCTGAACCCAGTTTTATTCTAGAAATGGATACCTAGGTGAAAGCTGTGACCATAAGTTATTTTTCCAAGCTCAGGCTTACTTCTCCATGGAGGTTGTCTTTGAAAACTGTCCAGAAGCTTCGGCCTGTTAAAATGTGGCATCTAGATTATTTATTTGTTTTAGGTAATATATCACCTTACTGTGGAGACAACTGCACTAACTATCCTTTCTCAGTTCTAAGTGCTAATTGTTGCTATAAAATCCTACTTAGCCGAGGCAAGATAATGGATAGCTCCTGGCTTTTTCAAGACAATCAGCAGAAACCACCTTGTAATGTTCACGTTTGTTCTGGGGGTAGGCCAGCTGCAGCTCTTCAGATACTGCCAAACCCCAACTCCTTTAGCATCTTCCATTATCATGCATGCTAGCTAGGCTGCTGAGGGTTGAAATTGAAAACTTAAAACATGTAAATATTGGATTGCCTACATATATCACATCTGCCAGTTCCTTCAGAACCTTGGGGTATAATCCATCTGTGATTTGAATTTGTCTAGGGTGGACAGGTGCTCATTTACCATTTTTCTTGCCTATCTTAACTTGTGTTTCTAATCTGTTTTTTACGGTACTGTTTTTAATAGGTTAGACTGTTTTTCCCTTAGTGTAAAGGTGAATGTAAAAAACAAGCCAAATAGTTCTGCTTTCTCCCTGTTGCTTGTCACCTTCTTGCCACTTTCTCCCACTAATGGACTAATCATTTCTTTAACTTTTTTCTTGTTTTTTACATGTTGAAAGAAACTTTTTTTGTTATTTTTGTTGCAAGCCTTAGTTCATTTTGAGCCTTAGCTTTCCTCCCTTCACCTTTGCAGGCTCAGGGTAGTTGCCGATATTCTGCCTTACTTATATGCCCCTCTTTCCATTTTTTATACTTGTCCTTTTTGTCTTTCAATTCATCAGAGTTTTTTATGCAGCCATGCTGGTTTCTTTTGAAAGCTGTTGTTTTTGTTCTTTGTTGGTATTGTGCTAGACTGGGCTTTTATAATCTCACTTTTCAAAATCTCCCAAGCTTTTTGAGTTGTTTGCCCTTTGAGAATTCTCATCCATGGAATCGTTCCTAAGCTCTAAGTTTATTGAAATTAGCTCTCTTAAAGTCTAAGACCCTAGTTTGACTATGTTCTATTGCTTGTGCTTGCATAATGTTGAATTCCAATATTGCATGATCACTTCCCCCCCCCCAAGGTTCCTGTAGCTTCAACACTTTCTATCATTTCATCTCTGTTAGTGAGAAGTAAGTCCAATATGGCTGATCCCCTAGTTCCCTTCTCTACTTTTTGGGAGACAAAGTTGTCTGCTATATTTGTCAGGAATCTGTTTGATCTTCCATTTGATGCAGAATTTTTGTCCCAGTTGATGTCAGTGTAATTAAAGTCCCCTATTACTATTGTGATGTGCTTCCTACATACCTTAGTTAGCTGACTAGCAAAAAGTTCATCTATTTCCTCTGTTTGGGTTGGGTAGCCTGTAGTATACACCTATGGTAAGGAGCTGAAATCAAACAAGAAAATTAATACTAAAGTGTTATGAAAATTTTTCTGTCAATCCCCTCTTTATCATGTATATATATTGCTATATTTTCATGTTGTAAACTGCCCAATCACCTTGCAAATTTATTAAATTTGTTTGCCATCCATCTCGCTGCGAGGTGACTGGGCAGTTTACAACATGAACATATAGCAATATATATACATGATAAAGAGTCTACAACAGGGCTTTTCAACGGGTGGTACGTGTACCACTTGTGGTACATTAATGAGTGGCAGGTGGTACACAGCCCTGCCTAGCCAAGTGTAGTGGGGGAGGGAGAGAGCCAGCACAGGCAAGGACTTACAGTGAGAGAGTCCTCTGGAGCTGCAAAGGCCCCAGGCTCACTTCTGGCTCACCCTCCCCCTTGAGAAAGGAGGGGGGGGCGGAGACAGGAGAGGCTATAAAAGGAGGCAGTTTGGGCAGGAGAGGGAGAGAAAGAAAAAGCAGCAGCCTTGGGAGGAGGTGGAGACAGCTTCACAGAAGGAGAAGAGAAGGAGGAGGAGGAGGAGGAGGAGGAGGAGGAGGAGGAGATGATGATGATGATGAAGAAGAAGAAGCAGGCTGGCCATGAGCTGATCTATAACTCCTGTGGCAGCCACCTGTGCTGGCAGCAGCAAACAGACAAGAAATGCAGCGGGGAAGGGGTCATCCTCCAAGAGGAATGAAAAAAGGCAGCAATGGCTGGAGGTGAGGCACGAGAGAGGGAGATGGAGAGTGGAAGGATTCTTATGTACTTTTGTGACTTTGAAGCTCTGGGATTTGTGCAATGTGGGCTTTGTGTTCTTAAGGAGTGTTTGGCAATTTCTATTTGGCTGATGTCTCGTGTTAGCTTCTATTGCTCTGCTGTTTTTAGCTGTAAGTTTGCTGCAAGGGATTTTGAAGTATTTTTCTCCTGAATGGATTTTGTCTGTTGCATTCCTTTACTTATGAATGGAGCCATTTGGGGAGGCTGCCTTAGCTGGCAGCCAGTATTTATATTTTTGTTTTCTTCCTTACTTTCCTTTCTAGCCAGTAGCTAATTCTTAAAGGGGAATGTGCCTTTTTAAATTAGTTCACTCAGCAGCTTGTCTTTTCTGTTCCTGGAGGCCTTTCCTTGTTTGATCAATATATGGAAGAGGAAAAATATGGGGGGGGGGTTTCAAAGTCTTCCTTCAGAAGGAGATGGGAATGAAAAAAAGGGAGGCAGGGAAGGAGGGAAGGAGGAAAGGAAGTCCTGCCTTAGCACTTGGCCACCAGCAGCTCTGCCATTGACTTTGCTTGTCAAAAGGTTGCAGAAGGGGATCATATGACCCTGGAACACTGTGACCATTATAAATATGAATCAGTTGCCAAGCATCCAAATATAAATCACATGACCCTGGGCATGCTGCAATGGTCATAAGTGTGAAAAATGGTCATAAGTCATTTCAGTGCAATTGCAACTTTGAACAGATTTTTTTTTTTTTGGTTATCAAGTTTTTGACACCTTGCTAGGTGGTACTTGAATATTGCCATATCCTAAAAGTGGTACAATCGGTAAAAAGGTTGCAAAGCCCTGGTCTACAACCACTAATGGGAACCATAAACATGCCTCTTTCTCATTAGTTATATCCCTATTCACTGGAATATAGGATGTACCATTTTCATGGGACGTGACTGAAGACTGGAGAGTCTCCAATTATTCGTATGTATTTATTTATTAGTTATATCACATCTTTCCATTAGGAAGTCAAGGCAGCATACAAAGTGCTCCTACATAGCACTCTCTTTTCTGATTTTTTCTCCCTCAACTTGACTTTTTCTCCCTCAACATTAATATAAGGTAGCTTGAGCTGATAGTGACTGAGCCAAAGTCCCCTTTCCTATCCTCAAATTCATCCACTTTCTGAGTTCTCATGTTGACTTATTTTCTGCACAATTTATAGAAGTTCTTGGGCATTTTCTTGAATGGAAAAACATGTCATACAAACTATTTGTATAGACCTCACATCTCTCCAAATTGCTGAAGAGAAGTGTAACTTGCAACACATTTTTACTGCAATTCTAATCAATATGAGAAGGTAAATGGTGATAACAAACTGTCATTCAAGAAGGTTTTTTTTAACTCAAACTGATAATCTATAATCATCCAATAAATTCTTAGAAGCACTAACCTTTCCTACAATATTTAGAAAACTGTTATTTTAAAACATCTTCATCTGTAAATATGAATTGTGTTCATAGCTCATATTGATCATATATAAAACCTGATTTTACCATTCACTGATCATAGAAAGCAAAGGGGTGCTTTGATGGTGCCAAAGCATAATTCATTTTCTACATATGAAGCTATAAACAACAAACTGAACTGAGACTTACAGCCCACCAATATATTTGACTCCTGAAAGAACTATGTAGTGTAGGAACACAAGGAATAGAAAAGGTGATCAACAGCACTTAGCAATAGCACTTAAACTTATATATTGCTTCATGATGCTTTATAGCCCTCTCTAAGGGGTTTACCGAATCTTTTTACTTTTTACATTTTACCGGCTTCAGAAGGATGGAAAGCTGAGTCAAACCTTGAGCCGGTGACAATTGAACTCACCAGCAGAATTAGTCTGCAATACTGCATTCTAACCATTGTGCCACCATGGCTCTTCCAAATGAAAGTTAAAGAATATTTAACTTTCATTTAACATTAAAATGTTATCTCTGTTAAAAAAGCTAAGGCTGAAAATATTAAAAACATAAGATAAATATGAATATAATTTTGTCAACTAAAATGTTTCTGATTTGTGAAGTTGTAAAACTGAATTTGTTACATTTGCTGTTTTTATTTTGTCTTTAGGATGGGATTCTTCATCAAAACCTTGCATTTTTATCTCATCATTCTCTTTTGTAGTGGAGATGAACAATTTCAGCATTCAGACAATAAAAGTCTTCTGTCCAAGTCAAGTCCTTCTTCATTCCCTGAATCTCAAATTCCAAGGAGAGGCCTCAGCTTTTTACATAATGTAAGAACAAAGACTACAAAAAAGAAAGCAGGCCTCAATAGACTTAACATTTTAAATATGCGACACAATTATAGTTTCCAAGTTGATCCAACAATTGTTTTACCTAATAGCCAACCACAGCATAGGTCATCTTATAAATTCTCACAAACTGATGGAATAATAAATGATTCATTGACTGACCCATCTCGAAGGAGCACGACATTGTCTCCTAAGCCAGCAGAGAAGCAACAAGAAGCTGAAAGCCTTTTAAATCTCAATTCAGTATTAAAGTGGAATGTTCTTGGTGATGAACAATACAACAAAAAGGGAACAAGATTTTTATACTCAACATTACAAATTAGTGCAAGCTGTGGAATCCCAGCAAATGGCACATTTGATCTATCAAACAGGAAACTAACTGAGAATGAATTGAGGGGAAAAATGGATCCCATTTTCTGCAAAACTACACTGGACCAAATTAAAAAGTTTAACGCAAGTCTCAACAACCTTGAGACAGATATCGCAACCCTGATTCTGTTATTCCTTGAAATGAAGAGTGTGTATTTAATTGATGTGAGTTATAACAAAATATTTATAAATACCAAATCTGCAAAAGACAGCTATAATCTGCAGCACAACAATCTTCTGTTTTTAAATCTCAGTCACAATCCCCTTAAAACTCTGAAAAACCTCATTCTACCGAGAGGTCTCAAGAGCATTGATTTATCTTTCACACAAATTAACCAAATACCAAAAGAATTCATTGCAATACTTTCTCAAATAGAAGAGGTATTTCTTCAGGGGAATCCATTTATATACAATGCTGAAGCACTTATGTCTAATTTTAATCCTGTACTTACAATGAGAAATCAAAAGCATTTCTTTAATGGAGGCATTTCATATACAAATTTTCCACAATCCACAATTCATCAAATAATGTTACATTGTTTCACTGAAGAACTTCCGGAAGGGTTTCAAAACACAAAAAAACCACATATTTTTCTTGACCTTAGCAATAAACCCATACACAATTTCCACTACTTATCAAAATCTTTACGTCATTTTGATTTAAGCAACTGTAACTTACAAGGAAAAGCTAGCCCTAATCTTTTCCCAAATTTAACTGTGTTTAAAATTCAAAACAATAAAATAAAACATTTTTCACCATATCTCCCAGACTCATTAGAGGAATGTGATGTTAGTAAAAATAACATACATAATTTCCCTTTCCACGGGGCAGAGCAAAGTTTAAAATTACTCAATCTTTCTAGAAATCTTTTAAAGCAACTGAACGTGAACACTTCATACCTTTCCCTAAATAATCTGGATGTAAGCCATAATTTAATTACAAATCTGCTGGGTCACATGGGGACTTTTCTGCCTGAACTGAAATATCTGAATCTGTCAGAAAATAAAATATTTTTTCTGCAACCTGGGTCTTTCCCTAAATCTTTGGTTGAGTTGGATATTAGCAATAATGCCATTGCCATTCTTATGAAAGACATGTTCCTCCATTTGACCAACTTGAAAATTTTAACCATTCAAGGGGAACACTTTTTCTGTAACTGTGAATTATACTGGTTTGCAAACACGTACCTTGCTAATCCACAAATGCAAATAAATGGCCAAGAAAGACTTTTCTGTGGTTTTCCAAAGAAAAAGCGAGGTCTTTTGTTGCAAAACAGTCATCTAACAATGTTGTATTGTAGTCTTGGTCTTCAAATTGGAATTACAGTTGTTATGGTCATTTTGATTATGTCCGTCATATCTGTATTATGCTGGCATTTTGATGTTCCATGGTATTTAAAGATGGGTTGGTATTGGTGCAAGGCTAAAAGGAAACAATATGAGAAGAGACCAGAACACAAAATATATGATGCTTTCATTTCATACAGTGAAAATGATGCTTCCTGGACTAAAGAAACTTTATTAAAAAACCTGGAAGCCAATGGATTTAAAGTATGTTATCATGAAAGGGATTTCATGCCAGGGCATCCAGTTCTTGGAAACATTTTTTACTGTATCGAGAATAGCCATAAAGTTCTTTTTGTGCTATCATCCAGCTTTGTCCACAGCTGTTGGTGCCAGTATGAGCTGTACTTTGCTGAACACCGGGTTCTCACTGAAAACCAAGATTCCCTCATTATGGTTGTATTGGAAGATCTGCCAGCCAACAGCATTCCAAAGAAATTCAGCAAGCTTAGAAAACTATTAAAAAGGAAAACCTACTTGAAATGGAGTCCTGAGGAACACAAACAAAAGCTTTTCTGGCACCAGCTGACTACTGTGTTGAAAACTATGAATGAGCCAGTGCTAAGAACACAGAGGAAAAGCTGCATTAGGAAGCAGACAGATTCAACTGAATGAGAAGCAATGCTGATGAAGTATTGGAATATTTGGAGTATTAAAAAAATCAAATACTTCTTGAATTGCCATCATCTGAAAGATACAATTATTAGAATATTGATAAGGAACCAAAGTAATGTTTTAAGTTACCATTCTAGAAAAGTGGCCTCTTAAAACCAGGGTATTTCCTGGTAAACTGTTTGTTTATATAAGTACAAACACACTGCAGCAACCCAGAACTTCATAAAAAGAAAACAAACCACCTATAAATATCTTCCAACATAATCGATATCCACAAAACTTTATGGATAAGTACCTGAACATTCAGCCTACCATAGCACAATCTCCTTTAAGAATTACACTTCCATATATCAAAAACATCTCAGAAACAATCAACAGGTTATTACAGTTACACGGCATCAGCGCAGCACATGAACCAACTAAAAACACCCTCCAAATCTTTTTCAGTAAACCAAAAGACCCAATAGCTCAAGAAACAGGAGCAAACTACAACATATAGTACAACCCACTATATAGGACAGACAGGCAGAAAACTAGCAGAATGGAACCATAAACATTAATCAGCAGTCAGAGGACATTAAAAAAATGACTATCTTAAAGAATATTATCTAGTCAGATAATGAAATGACAACAAGCAAACAAACTCAAGAGAACAAGAACTCCACTGTTCAACTTCAGCTAAATATATTCTCTTCTATTACATTCTTTGATAACCAACTTTACATTATATTTATTCATAAGAGCTTTATCAATTTAGTCTTTGAATATAAGTATTTATAGAAACCTTTCTATTCTATTCTATTCTTATTCTATCTTGAATATGGCAATTTGGACTCTTTATTGCTGATATTGTGTTCCTTTTTTACAAGTTGATAAGCTAATACTTTTCATGGTTTGTTTACTCAGAGTTTTTGTTTGGCAAATTTTATTTTCTTCTGTAACTCTTGTTTCTAACAGACTTAATTGCAGTTTAGTGTCTTGCAATTCTTTAATCAATTGTATCTTGAGTTAGTTTCATGCTTCAAATTTTCTTATTTTGGCTTTTAACAGTATTTTTCATTTGTTGTGTTTTTTTTATTTTGCAGCTAATTTAATTAGAAAGCCCCTTGTATATGTTTTACTCGTATCCCACATAGTAATGTGGGAGATTCCTGGTGTCCTAGTTGTATTAAAAGAATTTCAATTCTTGTTTACATTTTTGTAAAACTGTGCCATGGAGTTTTCTCAATCATTTTTCTGTCTAAAATGAAAAAAATGATTGAAACTTGCGTCATTAAAATTGAGTTGTGATCTCCATATATCGGGAGAATTTCTATTTCTTTCACTGACGGTGTTGAGGCCCAGAACATTTTTTTTTAAGTATGATTAATGTCCTAGGGAAAAAAATAGTGTAGCCTCTCACTGTTGAATTTATAATTCCCAAATGAGTACCAATTCCTCCTATATTTAAATACCTCTTACAGAAGTTTCCCACATTTTGTGTGTTGATTTATTTAAATTCAAATCCATTCATATCATTCGAATTAAATATTCTTCAAATTCCATTAATTTTTGGAAAAGAACTATTTCTCTTGAGCCTATTCCTGGAAGACAAATTCAATGGGGAAAATTATCAATTCAGGGGCAGACACAGGATTTTGGGATAACAGCTCAGACTATTATTCCTGTTTCTCAGTGTAATCTTATTATGGAAATAGGATTGATATATTTTCTCCATAAAAAATTCTATATAAAAATATAGGATGTCAGACATGAAGCTAAGGTAAAAACTTCCCTATACAGTATACTTGTTCTGAACTGGAAGATCCAAAATCATCTAATACTATCTCATAGGTCTTAGAGACCTTTGTAACTCTGGAACAATTTGGATATTTAATTATTTTAGATGTATTGTAAATGCAGATTTTGAAAAAATTGCATATAACCTTAAGGGTGAGTTTGAAATTCTGAAATTCTAGCATATGGAACATGGTCCCAGTATATATGCAACTAAATATTAGTGAAATGGCTCAAGGCTATCATCTTTCTTGCCCTGTAAATCATACATGCACACATGCACACACATTTTAAATGCATAGGGCATACATTATGGGAAAGAACATACTTCAAACCTACAATTTTGATTTAGCAAAATGGGGCAAAAAAGGTTGCAAAAATTATTAAAACTATTTTATGTGATAGATCTCAAACTTCCAAGAAAAAAGAGCTCTAGCTCAGTGAATATGCTTTATACAGGAAAGGTTCTAGTAGTGGTGGCGAACCTATGGTACGGGTGCCAGAGGCAGCACTTGGAGCCCTCTCTGTGGGCACACATGCCGTTGCCCCAGCCTTGCCTCCCCCTGTGATCCCCTCCTCTCCAGCAGCCCCCCCTGAAAGAGACTCGCCCCTGAGCATGGCCCACACGGAGCAGCGCAGCCAAGGACATGGCAGCCAGGCAGCATAGACAAGACTCTGCCCTCACACCCCATCAGGTAGTTGATGCTGCAGGGCGCAGGCAGAGGCTGTGGCCTCCATAGCACTGCTGGGCTGCCTGGGTGATTGCGGAGGGCCCTGGAGGCAGTGAATGATCCTGTGGGCAGGCGGGGCGGGGGATGCGGGAGCAGAGCAGGGGCAGGGCAGGGGGTGGAGTGGGGCGGGGCCATTTTTGGGGGACTCGGTCTCTAAAAGATTCGCCATCACTGTTCTAGATACAATCCCTGAATCTCAATCACAGAATTAGCCAAGATAACTGCTGCCGCCTAAGTGTTCTTCCTCATGGCTGAGTCCATGCTTCCCATCAGTCTTTGGGGTGCTAGAAAACTATACTGTCATAAAATTTGCTGCTCTTACTAGTTATCTTTATCCTGACATAGGCATGACACTGACAATCATCTTTATTTATATTGTAAAAAGCACACTCCAGACAGATTTGATGATATATCACCAGCCAAAACATTGATCACACACTTCTAATGTGGGATGGAGAGAAGACAAGTTTTAACAGATGAAACCCACTAGTTTAGGCATCTCTAAAGCCTTGCTTTGTTTTTGCACAAACGTTTTGCACTAGTGTGATCTTCTGGAATAATATTTCACTCATGACCAACACCAACCTGGCTACTAGGTGAAGTTTTCAGGTTCCTTTGGGCATCGGTTTGATGCTGTTACAAAAGGGCTAAATCCATACTGAAAAGCTGAAAGTCACAGGGATTTTGATTGAAATGAAACTATAGAGACATTTTTCTTGCTCACTTGCCATATTCAGCCCTTTACAACTGCTTCAGTCTAGTTGCTTTGTAGCTATTCCAGAGATTTTAAGTTGATAACTAAAGCGGACTGTCTCTGTAAGTGAATGCCCAAGAACTGAAAGAGTGCCAGCATTAGCCTAAACTGACCACTCAGTCTAGGGTTAATCCCAACCCAGTAGCATTCACCTGACCTTGACACCAATCAAGTGAAGCACATCAAATTGCACTCATAGCAAAACTGCCATGGTTTACCTGCTTACAGGAAAAATAGTAAACTAATACTGGAACAACTGCTAAGAAGGGTTTTAAGGTAGTTGGAGATAAGATGAGATGAAGGCAACATCATGAGGACAGAACAGGGGAAAAAAGATATTGCAAGAAGTGCCTTAGTTACCTTAAATGTCTTATTGTAGTAGGAAAAGACCTAAGACTGAAGGGCTGCAGATTCAGTTTGTGCTTTTGAAAAAGTCAAAAGTGATCAGCTGAGCAAATGTCAATAAAATGAGAGGGAACCACAAAAGAAATCCCACACTTCTGAACTGGACACTAGATTTTATAACTTATTTTTATCTTTGTACATAACTAACTGTCATCTGCAAAAAATGTTCCATGGTAAATCAATAATAGACATAACTCTTGATAGAAATGTTTTAAAAAGCAACTTTGTAAAACACATTTTTGAGCACTCACCATATAAACAAGAAAGCAATTCAGTTATAAAGCACAAAACAGTGGTGATTTGTGGCAGCAGACATTTTTTAAAAAGACTGATCTTTGCTGGAGTCCAGAAGAAATCATCTGGGGTTATAATACTGTACACACACAGAAATCTTTAAAAAGGAGAAACACTACTAATGAAATGGCAGAATATGGAATAGTAATTTGCAAGACACATATAGGAGAACCTAGAAGCCTGGCTAAGGCATGAAGCTTGCAGTCCTATCTTTCCTAGCCCAGCTGCTGCCTGACTAAAGTAAAATCAACTTAATGTGTGGAGGGATTGAACATTCATGCACATGCAATAATGGTACATCATATGGATGACTCATGGCACAACTTGCCAAGATATGATAGCCACCATTGTGGTAGAACATTGGACACTGCTGGCTCCCACCAGCTACAACGAGGGCACTGGTATCTGCTTAGCAGAAGTACTGTCATAATCCCGCACTAAGTCATTTGTTGGGTGATAATGCATGGCAATATAGGAGTTGGCATATCTGAATGGAGAATTTGTTGGTTGCAAGCTGTTGGGAGTGCTCACTTCCTGAGAAGGGCAGCTGTTATAAATACTATAATAAGGTTCAATGCGGGTATTCATGGGGGTGGAACTACTCTGCCCTCCTCCATAATGATGATGGCCAACAGAAGCCTTAGGACTCAGCATACTTTCTTTAGAGCGACTAGGGCCACATGCTTGGTCCAAAAACTTTTTCTGAGGCTTTGGAGATAGCATATAAGCTGAGTTGGTCTCATGATGAGATGATTTATTTCTGTTGGCCTCCAGACTCCCTTTGCCCACAGCTTGAAGCCGTGTTTTCTGTTTACAACAGAAAAAAACAAAGGCCAAGTATTGTATAAACCAAAGGACCCTCCTTCTTAAGCCAGCACTGTTACGGGAATATATAAAAGGATTCAATCCAGACTTTAAAAAAAAGAGTGTAAATCCACATAGTTCAAATTGATAAAGCACAATGCCATTGTTCCTGGACAAAACATCCTGTATCAAAGATATGCCCAATGGAAGGCAGCAAATTAAAACAGAAAGAACAATAATAATGCAAGTCATCACAGCTTTAGAGTCCTTGGCCGTGGACAAGTTAATCATGGACACCAACTGAAATCTGCTGGCTGCAGATGCAGACAACTGGCCAAAGTTCTTCATGTATGCATGGGTTTGGATGTGTTGCAGCTTGTTATAGTTTTGGTTTCTATACAGAGCTGGCACAGTGCACCGTACCCCATCAGCACAACCAGTAGCAAGTGTTCCAGCAAAAGGATGAGGCCTGGAGGCATCAACTGTGATGATGGGGGGACATTTTCTCACTTGGGCATTCTTCCTCAAGGCTTGGGCTATCATGATATAAGAGACTGAAACTAATGTCACACAGCAGATGAAATCAATAACATACAAATAAGGGATGATCTTTTCCTCACCACTGATCAGGCTGGAAATAGGAAGGCAAAGACGAGATTTATGGGTCCTCATGGTGGCTAGAGTAGCCAGGGTAAAGCTTGTGGCCCAGAGGAGCAGGGTAAGCAATAGAGTGCAAGGGAAGGAGGCAGTTCGATTGGGTTGTTTCCCTAACACCATGCTTAATCGGTGAAGGGCAATAACAGCCACTGTCTTGAGGGACATGATGATAAACCCAGAGCTGGTAAGGTGGAAGGTAAAGCAAAAAGCATCAGGGATACCAGCTGCAGAATCCAAAAAGAGAGCAAAGGTGAACATGGGGGCAGTCACTCCACAGATGAAAAGGTCACAGAAGGATAGATTGAGGATCATAAAATCAAAGTTGGTCCTGAACTTCCGGAAAGCTGGGTCAAAGAAGGACAAAAAAACAATAAGGTTGCCATAAGAACCTAAGCAGAAAATGACAGCCAGCAAGAAGGTACATGTAACTAAAGTGGCTGTGTGGATTATCTCCTGGAGATCCCCTTGGAAAGAAAAGGAGTCATTGCTTCTCCAAGATGGTGGAGGCAGTTGTGCTGAGGAATTTGAGAGATCTGTCCACTTGGTTTCAGCCCACTCCGTCAGGTTCATCATCACAGAATGTAACCTGCTGCTGTCCTGGTACTTCAAAATTGTGAATTTGGCATTGGTCGTTTGAGGTGCATACTTGGTGAGACCTATGTGTAGAAATACAACCCCCCAATACCAAAAATTAGTTAATAAACATTAAAAGAGTTGTTAGTTTGTCTTAAAAAGTGTATATCAATAGCTGGGCTGAAATAAGTCTGTCAATTCTACTAGTTCAAGTAAGCCCTTAAATATATAGAAGAGTTACATTTGGTAACTTTACAGAAAATGGATTGGGTCTCATATCCTACTGCAAGCACCACAGAAACAGTGCCTCCCAATTCTTTCTTCAGGGGCAAAAAATTATTTGTATTATTGCATTAAAGGATATAGAAGGGGCTGCCATAAAGAAGAGGGAATTAAGCTATTTTCCAAAGCACCTGAAGGCAGGACAAGAAGCAACGGGTGGAAACTAATCAAGGAGAGAAGCAACCTAGAACTAAGGAGAAACTTCCTGACAGTGAGAACAATTAATCCGTGGAACAGCTTGCCTCCAGAAGCAGTAAATGCTCCAACACTGGAAGTTTTTAAGAAGAGACTGGACAGCCATTTGTCCAAAATGGTGTAGGGTTTCCTGCCCGAGCAGGGGGTTGGACTAGATGACCTCCAAGGTCCCTTCCAACTTTACTACTATTATTATTATTATTATCTGGGTTCAATTTCTGACAACTTTAGATAATTTATGGTTAAAAGAGTGTTGCCTCCCCCAAACCACATGGAGACTTTGCAACAACTCATTTAAATTTAAGAGTACAGTATCAGAAAAGATGAAAAAGTCAAACATATCTCTCATGCATTAGTTTGGAAATATAATGAACTCTGGCCATACTGGAAGACCAATGACCTGGATACAAAGAGAGGCAGGGAACAAACAGCACTCAAAATCCATATGCATGGCATTTTGGCACTTGATGCAGACAATCCCATGTGAGCTTCTCCTATCAGCAAAAAAATCAGAAATGAATTCAACAGGAAATAATTTATTGTCATTTATTTACAACCAGCACTCATTCTAACAATATAATAATAGTAATAATGACTCTCACTGATTCTGTGGTTCATAACAGTTAAAGCAATTGCAATAAAATCAATAAAAGATGTTAAGTGAGAGTTTCACACTCTGCCAAATTGAAGGAACCATAAATGTGCCAACCCTGCAGTATACAATTGGCAAGGAAGATATTATAGGAGACAGATGTTGAAGTAACAGGCCTATGTCATGTAGGGCTATATAGGTAACAACCAGCACCCTCAATTGTATCCGGAAGCAAACCAACAATCAGTGGAGCTTGCAGAATAAAAGTGTTACATGGGCATATACTGGGCCATGCCTATTACTGTTCATGTGCAACATTCTGGACCAGTTGAAGCTTCTGGGTGGTCTTCAAGGGCAGTCCCATGTAGAACCTGTTGCACAAGGTGACTAGGTCATGAGTAATTCTCTGAAGGGCCCTCTCAATCTTGTAAAAGGTATAATTGGCACACCAAATAGAGTTGTGCTAAAATCTTCCTGGACTTTATATATAAATATACACTGTTCTAAAATGAAGTACAATTTTAGAATTGCAATGAAATGAGATTGGTGAGGGTGCTTCTTTCTCTGTAATACTCTAAAGACAGACCATTGGATACAAGTCCAGACCAAGACTGTAACTGAAATTGCAGACCAAGGACTGGAACAACAGCTTCCAAACTGATACTAACATGTTGGTGGTAGAAACAGAAGGAAGGTGTGAGACTGGAATGACAGGGCTGGGACTGAAAGGGCTGAAGTATACATATGGGGCCAGGATGTCTCCTGGACTAGGATGTAAGGAACCAAAGCATGATCATGGGAACTGTAAAAATTGTCTCTGGGCAGAGAAAGGAATGTCTTTGACCGAAAATCATGCCCATCATCTCAACTCTTGGCTTATTGAAGGCCATCATTTCAGTCCCATACCTGGCATTTTATCTCAGTCATTCCCATCCTCAGCCTGACCGAAAGGAGTGGTCATTTAATTTTAAAAAACAACATGGCAAAAAAGACCACATAAAGCAGCTCAGCTCATTCATTTCTCTATTCCCTACTAGTTTTGTTTTCTTTTTCTGAGGAGTCCTTGGTGCTTCCTGAGCTTGTTTGCCAACATTTAATTACCCGACTAGATAATATAATTCCCCTATATTGCTTTTTTAAAAACCTATCCCATGCTTTATAAGTACACTATACAGCTGCCCTGATTTAAATGGGATTCAGTCGGGTCAAAATTTTCAGAAGTACCTTTCCGGCCTTTTTAGAGTTTGAGAAAGAAGGCAATAACCTTCTTTCTTGTCCTTCCTTCCTTATATCCTTCCTTTCCCTCTTCCGTAGGGCTCATAAGAAAAGCGCGGGGCCTAATCAGAAGGGCGGGTGATTTTCGAATACGGCTGGACCTGTCGAGCTCTAGCTTAGCCGAGCGGGCTCAGGTGCGTATCGGGGTAACAAAAGACGCGGCCTTCTTCACCGTCCAGGCTAGGGCGACCCAGGCGCTCCGCTCTCTGTCCACCCACCGACCGACCCGCCGGAACGAAGCCCTCAGTCCATCGGCGGACCGGCCTGTCCTTACCAAGCGCGGGCTTCGTGGAGGCAGCCGAGGCCACGCGCCTCGCGCGTCCGTCCGCACCAGAGGCAGAAGGCAGTTGCAGTCGGGGCTGCGGCTGGTGGAAGGTGAAGTCATCGTCGGCGAGAGGGAACGGTTCGACCTCCTCCGCCGTCTCCCTCCTGCGTTTGGGCCTGAGGAAAAGGAGGGAGCGGGTCGGCGCTGCTAGCCCGGCAAGCCTCGCCGCGCGCGCCTGCTGAAATGACGTCGCGCTTCTTTTTGCAATGCGCGGTTCAAGGACGACGGCCGGCTCAAAGGAGTCTCCCCTCCGAGAGGTTTCCTCGCATTGCTCCGGGAGCCGTTTCCGCGTCCTCGGCGACACCGAAACCGCTCTAGCGTCTCGCCCCTGAGCGAGCGGGTGAGTGGTTCCCAAGAGCAGGACGCACGGTCATAGCACACTCACGCAAGCGCCTGGCCTGAAAGAGCGCGTTAGAGCCCTGCACTGCACAGAAACATCGCCGCAATCGGTGCGCGGTACCCGTATTGCTCCGATAAAGGCAGCTGGCTCAGTCCCTTCCCCCTTTCTTTCCTTTCGGGGAACCTGCTTTGAAATTGTGGCAGGTCTGAGAGATAGTAGCAGATGCTGCTGAAAAGTAGCATTTGCTGGCGAACATGCATATAAATATCCAGAACAACGCAAGGCGTTGAGAAGAGTGCGAACTGTCGAGCATTTTGAATGGCACACGCCAGGTCCAGCCAATACTCACCCATAACTAGCAGGATTTCAATTCACAAAAACGAGTGCACAATAAATGCATTATTCTTGAAGTTTCCCTAAAACATTTTTTTAAAAGTAGTGATGACGTTGGCGATAAGAAACATGTCTGTTTAATGCTCTTATTAAATCAGCTGCAACTTTACAAAGTGGTCATAATCGCCTAAATATTCTTCAAGGAAGGTTAGGGAGAAAAAAAGGAGTGGAGGAGAGAGAGAGAGATGTGCCGTTTCCAGCTGTGTCTGTTCCAGGTTACTTTCTCAGCTGGCTACTGTGTGTGTGTGGGGGGGGGGGCTTCTAGATACTGATCTTATTAGAAGCATGGTGACATCAGCCATGACAGAAACTCTTCCAAAGCTTTTTAGGGAGACCAGGCTTTTTTTTATTTTTATGAAATATATCTGTTCAAGTCAAAAGTGTCCATCCTGTGGGAGATTCTGTAGCTGAAAGAAAAGAGACACAAGTCAATCTAGGTATCTTTTTCTTAGTAAAGCTATGTACGATGTACTAGAAAACCAGCATCAGACATAAATTGGGTAGGATGTTTTAGCAGTGGAAGTGGCGGCCACAGAAGCCATTTATATTTTCTTATGTATAACAAGGTAATGTGTTGCATGAGCAGGTATGGGTGTTCTTTCATGTGCATCTCTGATTATTGAAAGTAACATCAGGAAGAATGGGGTGTGTAATTCCACAGGTGCCAACTTATGAGCTGCTCCCCACTTGCTTCTCCCATAGGGTGTCTTGGGTGAAATTTGGGCTTTCTTTGCAACTCTGACCAGATCCATCTTCTTTTCAAAGTTGACCTGTTTTTGCTAGGTTCTCTCTTGCACCAAATCTGGTTCTGTTCTTATTCAACTGCTAGACAGTTATCCTGATAACAGAGCCTTTTCCCCTTTCTTTACAATAGTCCTTTGGATGGGAAATAATGCATAGTTTGGAATTTCCTAAACATTATTCAGAGCACAAGCAGGTGTTCAACACAAAAAGTGTCCTCTAGGTATCACTATCCATAAACTTGCAATTTAGAAGAGGCAGCTCTAAACAGAAAAGGAGGTATATTATATATTAGAATTAATGACACATCTAGTAAAATGTTTTTCAGTGGGATCTTGCTACATGTTATAGAGAAGCATGAGGGAGAAGTTAGCATCATATACATATACACATTCATCTGAGACTAGTAGCAAATTAGCCTTCTCTTTTGTTCCTCAGTCAGAAATACACAGGAGCCAAAAAAATGTTGTACTCTTACTATAGTATAGTGTTGATCCAGTGCTATTGCCATTTATATGGGGATGGGGAGAACAGAAAAAATATGAAATATTTCCAAAGTCCCTCATTTTCTCCCTTTTGTGCTTACAAATTGAACTGCAGCTACCATTTCAGATAACTGAAAATGTTTGGTCAGAGATAAAATCTCTGGAATGATAGACAAAGCTGATTTTTTTTAAAGCAAGAGGGAGATGTTAAATCTTGATTTATATCCTTTTGTGCATACATAGATTGCAATTAACTCAGTTATTATGGCGGTTTTGCATAGCCTTTTAAAAAAAGTTTGAGTCACATAATTTGTTTTTTGTATCTTTACAAAAGCTATATTGTTTCTCAATCAGACATGTACGGTGTCACTGAAAATCACATAAGCATACAATAATACCACTGTAGAATTAATATTTTCTCTCACTAAGGCAGTGGTTCTCAACCTGTGGGTCGGGACCCCATTTGGGGTCGAACGACCATTTCACGGGGGTTGCCAAACAATGCAGTCCATTTTTTTTCCCCTTTTCCTTAGCTGTGCTACTCCCTTTTATTCTATTGGCTTTTGAAAGCCAATAGAATAGACTCTCTTGAATAGAATCTAATTCTATTGGCTTTCAAAAGCCAATAGGAATTGTCCAGGCTGTCTCTGCCCTGCTGAGCCCGCCAAAAGTCCCATTCTGCAAACGGTGCTGCACCAGTTGAGTAGCCCTCGACTTACGACCAGTTGAGTAGTCCTCGACTTACGACTGGTTGGGGGTCGCGGCATTAAAAAGGTTGAGCAGCACTGCACTAAGGCAATCCTAAAGTGATGTCAATGAAATGCTTCCTGGAGGAGGATGCAAGCAGCTTGTGATGTTCACCCCCACTCAAGTATGGATTTTTCTTCATAATGGCAGCAGAGCTATCCATTTGCGTTCTTACTTTATTATAATGCCATGACTTTGAAAAATAAGCTTTCAACATTTTGAATTGGTTTCCCAGAACAAAGTGACAACCAGCAAAGCTTCTTTAAATTTGTGAGACATTCAAGCAAGCAGTGTGAATTCTTGCTATCTTACCAATCAAAATTTCCACATTATTTTTTTATAGATGAGGGATTGTGATAATTCCAACAAGAGTTTACCAGACTACGGATGAATATAACATTTACAAAAATAAGATCAGAAATAACAAAATTTGTGTACGCACTTCCTTACCAACTCTTTTGATTATTTTTGCACAGGGCATAAATTAGAACTAAGATTTGCCTTCCACAAGGAAAGGGAAGAGGATGAACTAGAACTAGGATGAATTAGCTAGAAAGATCTCCTTGGCAACAATAATCGGCACAATTCAATCACCTTTTTGTGATTGGAAGCTATCCTACTCTTCTTTTTCCTAAGAGAGCCAAGTTACCAAAATCAAATTTGTGTGCTAAGCTTAAGGAGAAAACAACAGCAAATATTTTTACAGATTTTTCCTCTAAAAATATCTCATTTTAAAAGAATATAATTTATATGTGTGCATTTTAATTCTAAACCTAAAGCTGACAAGATTTGTAAAATGTGAATAATTCAAATAAGTATTTTTATATCATAAGACATGTGAGTTTTCAAACTTCTCTTAACTGAATTACTTTTATGAAGAGTACCAATAGAACTTTTAAAGTTACTGGATCTACTTCTCTAATACCAAGACTTCATGTACTTTCAGAACTAAAATCAAACAACCCACCATTTATATTCAAGAGACTGATTAGATCCCAAATATCCTTGTTAGACATTGTTAGCTCCTATCCTAAATGAAAACACTTACTTGAGAGAATACACTGAAGGATAAACATGGTACGCATACCCAAAGTTTTACAAATAATTAATTTATTCAGCTTTAAACTAAGTACACAACTGAAAGTAAGAAGATGCATTTGGCACTACCCTATACATGTTATTTCTTCACTTACTCTTAGGACATGCTGTCCAGGTTACACTGCCATGTTTGCAGGCAGATGATTTAAAAGCATATTATATTCCTGTTTTCACAAAGAAAAAAATATAGTGTGTGATTTTCAAGTCTGTGTTGTTTTTGTTTTCTTAAATGGGACAGAGATTTCAATTCTCTTATTTACCATACATTAAAATATACTTAGGATAGTAGCAAGAAAAAAATATTGGTAAAAAATTAATTCATTCACTAATCATAAATGAATATTAAACCCAAAACAAAATAAATTCATTAATGAGAATCAGCAGTATTATAAACCAGAAGAAATTGGCATTTGAATTGGATACAAAAGCTAAAGCAGTATTTTAACACTGAAAAGTGTGATTCTTTACAAGATAATCTCACAAATGGATTATGTAAAACTTTTGCAAACTATACAGTACTTTGTCAATGCAATGCCCCTACAATTTATACAATCTTTTACATTTATGTAACATGTATTGGACATGTTTTTAAAGTAGTGCGTCAATAGCCACCAGAGTTACAGATCAAAAAGGAATTTGGTGGGGACAGATACAGTACTTCTGTGTTTTAATGCAACTTAAGTATCTGTTCCAGCATGGAGACATAGAGTAAATGAGGAAAGGTGGGAGTATCAATACAGAACATTTTATTTTAGAAGACTTTAACCACTCAATATTAACATATATACATAAAATAAAACAATAGCAAATACCTGTTATTGTCCACGGGCTCTACTAAATTGGAAAAATGTAAGTTGCCACTTACAAAACCAGGGAAAGTTAAAGTTCAGTACCTGGATGAAGGATCTTATGAAAATCTGGCCATGAAACAAAGATTAACAGTATATATTTAGAAGCTAAGATTTTAAAGAGAACTGAGCACAAAGCACTGCATAGCTTGGTTTTGCATGTGAGCTAAAAAGAAAATAAAAATCTTTTTTAAAAATTGGGATGGTATTACTACCTACACTTATACCCAAAGGTACAATGAAGAGTTGGTCATGCATATTCTTATAGGTTGGGTGCCCATTTATTCATCTCATATCAACAAACAATCCATTTGTATAAGAAATAATCTAACTCTGAAAATTATAAGAAAAGGAAAAAGAGAAACTGCAGTATTAGTCATTCCATAAGGTAGAATTTATCTTAAATACAAGACACTTGCATGGACGTATGAAAAAGAAAATTACAATTCTCTTATTCATGCAGAGACTAGTTACTATGCCAGAGCCTTTTTCTTCAGTTAAACAGAAATCTAATCTTCTTCAAGGAACATACTATATGTACTTTTAAAAAGGATTCCAACTATAAGCCTCTGAATTACCCAATCCAAAAGAGTTCTATATTCAATAAGTTAAATTTTAAGTTTCCTTTATCTTTACAGAAATGAAGCAGTCTCTTATTTTTCTGAGACCCTGAAAGAGACAGATAATTTGACAGTCACAAAACCCAATCTATCTTTAGCAAGAACAAGGGCAAAATTTGCCTCTCTTAAGCAGAGTCTGGAATGGAAATCTGTCATCAAAATCATCTATATACTGTACTATATACTATTTCACTTCCCAATTGCCAAGGAAGATTATCAATCTTTCCTGTTCTTCAGAAAGTTGGTGAAGTTTTGGGTATTTTACAAGACAGAGTTATTGTAACTATCTCTGAATGAGCAATTGTTTTAAACAGTCTTCTTTATGTGGTTTGATTCCTTGGGCACATATTTCTACTATATATTTCAGATTTTAATTTTTGTCTATTATATATTTATTGTACCCAAATTATGTTTTATGCTAGTGGTTTGTTGACTGGAACAACCTATACAACCTATAAACCTTGAAAATAAATAATAATAACATATGAGTATGTATTTACAAACCAAGTTAATTGTGATTTATTTACTAAAATAATAAATTTTATCATGATTATAAACCAGTTCAATTCAAAGATCATGAAAGCAAGCATGCTCCAGTTTCTGACCTCATATGAGGCTCTTTTCTTGTTCCTCTTCTGAACAGTGAAAATATTTTACACATGGCAATTCATTAAGGCAAAGATTCTCGAACTTGGCAATACCATAATCCCTTGAATGATAATCAAATTTGTTCAACCGCACTCATGAACTAAAATAATGAGTTAAATAAAACTCTTTTGATTGATGCATCCCTTTTCCAGATTACTAGATTCTCAGGTTTTGCCATCTTCCCAATGCTACCTGGGCCTTTTCTCCTGACTTTACCTATGAAATCTTTTTTTAAAATTCACCCCTTTCCATGTTGCTTGAGACCCCTGTGGGACTGTATTTAAGTTGAGAACCTCTGCATTAAGAGAATAACAAGTGAACCAGACTGCCAGTAAAATCCAGTGCAGTTGTTCTTCATTATGTCAAGGTCACATCCTGTTTACTACCACATGCAAACACCACCCAGTGCTGTCAAAATACTGTCCATACTAGTCTGACATAAATGTAAATGTGGTGTGAACCCCATTTTATCATCACATAAGATAAATATAATGCAAGATGAATGTAAAATGATTTCAAGATAATATACTATAGCAAAAATTATGGAGATTCTCAATCATCCAGATCATGGCTACCCAAAGGTGCTTTTCAAAAGACAACTGGACTTTCTTGGTTTTTACAACAGTCCTTTCAGCAGTCCCAAGAAGGTTCCACACCCATTTGCACGCTGATTCAGGTGACCCTGAGAGTACAGATAAATCCCCAAGTGGCCTCAACGACTCTTAAAGGGCTAAGGATCAGATGACAGCAAAGAATATAAATCCTTCTATTCCCCACCATTCAGTCAGAACTAAAGAAGCTTCTAGGACAAGAAGTGAAATGTTTTCAAGGGAAAAAAAAACACAAAGTCCATTTGCTTTTTGAAAAGCACCTTTGAGATAGCAAAAATTATCTTTCAATGTCTTTGACACCGTATTCAATACATGCCCCATCTGTATTTGATTATTTTCTTTCAATTTAAAAAGGGTAATAAATTTTAATTTTGTATTTTTAAATGAGAATTCTAAAGAGATTCTTACATGAAGGAAGGAAAAGGCCAGACAGTATTGGTTTCATTTAATGAGTCTAAAAATTACAAGGCACTGTTTGAAAGGTGACATTTTGCTATGTCAAGCTGGATATCAAGAAGATCATTCCGAAATAGCCCAAGGGTACAGATTTTACAACACAGTCTCACTCTTTTATGCATAATAGCATGGTGATACCAAAAGATCTGTAAGGACAAGCAGCTGGTCATCAGTGAATTGTTGCTTATGCTGCTGCCAGTTATCGTGGTGAGTTCTCCGGAAATTGGACAATGTTTTTTTTACTGTCATCTGTGTGGAGAAAAACAGAGAGGAATCTAGACAATGTATTTAAAACAACTATAAACTGTCTTGATCTTAAGGCTGTGGCCCAGCTTTCTAAGTATAAATATATTATTTAGGATTTTGTTCAAATGTTTTAGATTATAGAAGGACTACCAATCAATAATTTCAAAATATAATTTGAAACACTTGCTATTACCCTAAATTTGAAAAGAAGCATCATTTATATATAATCATTTAAGAATTGTGTATATTACCGTATACATTTCTTTTTATCCTATTCAATGGATTGTTAAATGTTTACAGTTTAATTGTACAAAAGTTTAATGGATATGTACAATTAGTTTTTGTTTAGTGCATACATAATGTGTTGTTTTATGTGAGAGGATTATTCCTATTCCTCACCTCCCCCCTTTTTGCATAAAATAAAACTGTTATCAGAATCAGACTAAACTGGCTCTGTAAATGATTATCTTTGTTAACTAGCTAAAAAGCAAAAAAGCCATTTAAAAAGGTACTACTATTAGTTTTGATCTTTATTAATAACATTGGTTAAAATAAAATAGCCCAAACAGCCAGTACCTGTAACAGAAATTTTCTAAGCACTGGACTAAACAGCTTCAGGAAATCACTTAAGAGGCCAAACTTCAGCATAAGAATTCCAACAACTGATAAAATGAATCATACCTCAATAGGCTGAGGATCATTCAGATGCGCACTAAGATCCATCAAAAGTTGAGGCATCCATGTGGGCACATCATATGGACTGGACAAAATACATGCACTAAGTCCAAGCACGCCAGCATGGCGTTTAACTAAATCTGCAAGAAAGAAGTTGGTAATTCTTCCATGGGACAGCACAGGAATCTTCAATTGGCACAAATAACAGACAAGTTCCTTCTATCTATAGGAAAAAGGTATGGAAGAGTGGATTTTTACCAGTTCTCTTTTCTTTCTGAAGCTCTTTAAACCACTGTCATGCACACACATTTACATGGTTTTCTCTAAATTTCATTGAGCAGATTTTGGGGACTCTAAAGGGATGAAAAGAGAAGGTCGCAAATCACAATTACCTGACTGCAAGACGCTGCAACCATTATAAATGCGAGCTGCTTGCAATTTACCCAATGTGATCATGTGATCACGGGGGTTACAAGGATCATTACTTTGAGGACAAGCCATTAGTCATTTTTCTGAGGCTGTCACAGCTTTTAACCATGGTTAAATTGAATGGTTGTAAATAGAGGACTACCTGTAATTTCTAAAACACAGGTTAAATTGTGCATTTAAATTTTTTGTAATCTAATCCAATGCAGATGTGCTGCATTGCCCACAATATGCTATTTCTGCCATATGACTCAATTCCCTTGCAGAATCCACTCTTCTCTTGTGGTTTGCACTAAATTCAATGCAGCTCATTGAACTGTCATTCTGAGTTTCCATTATTTAGGGAACTTCAAATTGCTCTGTTGTTCCCAATGACATCCTCTCATGCAGGTCTCCCTTTCCTGTGAACTAGACTGCACTGAATGTCAGAAATACCTGACTGACTCACTTTTGGAAGAGCAGATACTTTTCAAATGTTATGCATAGAAAGGTAGAAAATAAGAAATCAAAAACAGAAAGCTGCAGTAAGACCACTGACAATCCTTCAGCATGATTTACACCTTCCTGAAGAAACCTCCTCCTTACCTGCAGGGGGAATGGTATCCACTACAGTACTGAGGTCTCGTTTTCTTTTCTTTGGAAGTCTCATTTTACAGAGCTGCTCAAAATGAGTCTGCATAGGGCTACCAATCTCCAAGAAGTGGCACTGGAGCAAACCACCCAAAGTGGTAGCAGCCATCTCTCTCACCTAGGATCAAATAATAGCATCAGTAATTACAATAAGGGCAGCTCTCTTTGCACTATACTCTGAATCAGCATTTTTCAACTTCAACAACTTTAAGATGTGTGGACTTCAATTCCAAGAATTCCCTAACAGCTGTGTTGCTGGAGAATTCTGGAAGTTGAAGTCCACACGTCCTAAATTTGCTAAAACTGAAAAACACTGTTCTAAACGTGAGAAAGAGGATGGCAGGATTATCACATGTACTTTTTATGGACACGTCTTTTGCAAAGTCAGTGTTCACTGTATTAAGCAGTAAGACTCTGCTGAAGTTTCTCTTCATGAGACAATTTGTCTTCGTGAGGCAGTAGCCTCAGGATCACAAGGAGAGTTTTATTTAAATTCCAGGGAATAGAAAAAGTTATTATGTTAAACATAGAATAGGGTTGGAAGGGATCTTGGAGGTTTTCTAGTCCAACCCTCTGCCTGTGGCAGGAGGGCCAAGGAAGAATTAGGATCTTAGAATTTAGTTGGACAGGGTCTGGGTTTGAGATTCTGAGCAGTCACACAGGGCAAAGCTATGGCGTGGCCTGTTGAACCCCAGGTGCCCCAAAGAAGGAACAAACAGTGGGTTTTAGTGTAACTTACACATGAGTATTTATAGCACTGTGATGTCTTTTGAATGATCCCATAGTAGCTTATGTCACAGAAATTTTGTTGCATGCTGGCATTTGTTCCCAGTGACTATGATTATTATTATGGCATTAAAATGGCATTACAGAACACAGAACTATTATAGAAAATAAAATAAATAAAATAAGTCTGTGTTTATTCCATTGTCAAGTAATCTAATCCTGGAATTCATTAGCAGTTCGATTTTTAGCTGCATCAAAAATATGTTAATAAGCTGTACGATCTTCTTCATTTCAAAAGCCTTGTAACTACTTAATATTACAATATTTGTATATTTGAATACTACAAGAAATGGATTTAAGGAGCCAGTTAATTTTTTTTCCTTGAAAAAAATTTTATTTTTCATTTTTCAATACATTTGATACTTTCAATACATTATAAAAAAATACCTTTGAAGTAAATTCATACATATAACCTTAGGTGTCGCTCATCCATCTCCCCCCCCCCCGACTGCATCCGCCCTCTCTACCTTCCTTCCTTACTTCCCTCCTCCCTCTCTCCTCTCTTCACCTCTCTCCCCTCATCCCTTCCTCCCATCCTACTTCCTTCCATCCCTTCCTCCTCCCCTCTCATCCCTCTTCGGATACAGTTCAGGGGAAATACCCGAGCGGCAACTCTCTCTAAATTACTCTACCTATTTTATACATTAATATTTCTGTTTATCTAACCTACTTAATCCCATCCATCCCCACCCCCCTACCACCCCCCACTTCCCAGAGCAGAATACAGGTTTATTAAGGAGCCAGTTAATTTCTAATAATTCATTATAAGGTTTTAAAATTTAATTCTAAGGAATTTAAGTGGATTATATTCAAGGATATAATTTTATAATTTGCTGAGTAGAACACTGAAACGTATTTCAAAGAGAGGCAATAAGACAATTATTAATTTGGACTCCAAATTTCTGATTCTCAGTTATTAGGATATTGTCCAAATGGCTTGGTTTTATTATGTACCCAAACATTGACCAACTGCTTGTGTTTCTAAACCTTTAATATATTCTCAAGTAATGAGATAAGTTACAATATCTTGATAAATTAAAGTACACTTAAAATTCTTATCTTGAGAACTCTCCTAGAGTTCACTGACACTAGGATACAGAAATGCTGAAGAAGGCACATGAAAGTCCTTTGGGAAAACAGATAATGTAGATTAGATTCTGTTAAGTTTTTGCAAATCTCCTTATATCTTCTACCTCAAAGGAAGGTCAACTGCTTGAGTTCCTTCCCTGATAGTATTACATTTTCTCTAAATTTTTCCCTTTTCAGGGAAGATGGCTAGCCTACTTATAGCTAAGGATTGAAATGAAGGTTGTTGGTGCTCTCTGAGCTTGGTTGTTTTCTTGTAGACATTTTATTACCTACTTTGAGCAATAAAATGTCTACAAGAAAACTACTAAGCTCAGAGAGCACCAACATTATGAATGCTAGGTTTTTGTTTTTAAATGCTAGGTTTTTAATCTCTGTCTACTACTCAAGAGACACTTCAGTGAAATGGGTAGCCATATACTGTAAATTATATACATAAATTATTTAATAAATAGGAATGTATTTTTCCAAACACATATTCAACTTCTGACTATACATTAGTAATAGTAATAGTAGTAAAGTTGGAAGGGACCTTGGAGGTCATCTAGTCCAACCCCCTGCTCGGGCAGGAAACCCTACACCATTTCGGACAAATGGCTGTCCAGTCTCTTCTTAAAAACTTCCAGTGTTGGAGCATTTACTGCTTCTGGAGGCAAGCTGTTCCACTGATTAATTGTTCTCACTGTCAGGAAGTTTCTCCTTAGTTCTAGGTTGCTTCTCTCCTTGATGAGTGACCTTTCAAACTTACGACGGTGCTGGGAAAAAATGGGACTTATAACCTATACCTGTTGCAGAGCCCCCATGGTTATGTAAACAAAACGTGGACACTTGGCAGCCAACCGTCACTTATAATCATACATGTGCTCCAATTCCCCTAACCACCTACCTCTCTACACTTTCTGCCCTTTGGCTATCCTGCATTTGTGGGGAGGCAAGCAGCCCAGTACCACACAACCCTGGGACTGCTTGCAATGCCCTGGGAAACCACAGCATTCTAGCTGCAGTTGCTCTTGCCACCCTGCATTCCTAGACCTCTACCGGCCTGCATTCTGCCACCCCAGCTCACCTTCACCATTTTCTTGCTTTCACTGCTGTGGGGGGAGAAAAAGCCAATAGTCCCTGAGCAGCAGCACACTGAAACATCTGTCTGCAAAAAGCTCCTGGAGTGCACTGTGCCAAAAAACCCTCTTTTTCATATTTGTAAAGACCAGCCCCAGATTGAGAGGAAAAAAATGGGAAGAGGAGGATAGTGAAAATAAAACTGCCCTTGCAAGCAAATGGGAGACTTGTCCTGCTAAAATCTACCTAATCTCCAACATGCTTCTCTTGCCTGTTGTTGTACTCTGTTGTCTGGACTTCTGGATGCAACCTCATAGTGGATAAAGTGGCAGGCTGGAGAAGTACAAAGCATGGGAAAGCGTAAGTCCTTGGCATCAGGAGTGAGCAAAATGAATAGAAGCCAAGGTTAGCTCAGCTGATTGAAGGGTAAGATGCTCTGAAGTAATCTTTCCAGACCAATATAGGTAGGATGGAAGATGCACAAAATAAAATTTGCTTTAGTTTGAAAAATTGTTAGGGCTGTTTGTTCCTTTTCTGACAGCTGAGGGTGAAGAATCAGGGCAGTGATAGGCTGGCTCAACAGAGACTGATTGAATAGTGTATGGACAGGGTAATCATGCCCAAAGGAGCATTTCAGGGTCCTGCATTCCAGAAGCTTTTTGAAAAGAGGCATTTAGGCACACCGCCATTCAGGGACTACTTTCATCTTTCTTTTTCCACAGCCAAACCCCAGCCTGGGGACACCTTATTAGCAGAGGAAGCAAAAAACAGCAAAGGTGAACTGGGAGCACAAGGCGGCAGGGATCTCAGAGTGCAGGGTGATAAAGGTGACCGCGGCTAGGACTAGGCTAGGATGACTAGAACTTTCTGGGGCATTGTAAGGAACCCCAGAGCCACATGGTTCTGGGACTGTTTGGCAACTCGCAAGCCAGGATGCAAAGCAACTAAAGGGTAGAGATAGGCAGATGGGGGAGTTGGAGGCAGTCCTTTACCTTCCTGAAGCCAAGGCTGGGAGAGACTAAGTCCGGAATGTATTAGATTTGGATAGGGTAGGTATTTGCTTAGTGACTTGTGATTCTTACTTAACAACTACAACAGGGAGTATTAGTTTGTCTTCTTAAGTCTCATGGCCTTGTTTTAGAACTGCATCAACCTATGATGGCATTCTCGGTCCCAATTGTAGTTGTACATTGAGACTACCTGAATTAATGCTTACATAAATGATCAGGATACAGAGGTAAGTTGCCATCTTGAAGCAATTCTACTAACTACATATAAATCCAGCCAGGAACTATAAAGTACTAGCTCTTATAACGTCCTACTTTTTTAATAACAAAAAATTTAGAACATGTTTTATCACAGCATTTACAAATATGTTATGGTTCTAAGGTCCAGATAATATAGCAAGAGAGCAGCAGCTTTAATTTAGAGAGTGTTATTTAGATTTCCTTAAGGTAACCTGTTTTTTTTAAATACATCTTTACAGTGACACTAAGGAAAATGATTGAGATTAGAAGACAACATGTTTAATGTTTATGAAATTTAAATATCTACACATCTCCCTTTCTTGCCCTCATATATAAGTGTCTGCATTTACATCATTGCTCAGTCATCCAAAATCCAAAGATCTGAGAAGGTGATTGAGAAGATGGCTTCTAAAAACTATTCTAAATGAATAGATTTAACTTCAAAATATTAAAAAAAAAAAACAAATAAACGGATAGGTAAGTGGCAAGATCAGCCTAGGAAGGATTTACACCCTACAATTGAGACAAAAACCTCTAATTTATATACAAAATAACAGACACACAATACAAGGGCAGTGAATCATCATTCATATTAGATCTTGTCTAAAAGTAAAGAAAACAAATTACAACTTCTGCAATACAGAGGTTTCTATAGCAATGTGATTATTAAGATGTTACACAAAAGCAAGTATTTTGACAATTTTACATTTATTTCAAGAATTTACCATGCCCCTAATGAGCAGATTAGGCTGTTAAATTTGTACTAGTGGTTGTCACTGCACAGTAATGGAATGAATGGAGGCAGTCCTTGCTTAATAACCCTAATTTGGATGAGAATTTTCAGCACTAAGTAAAGGTAAAACATTGTTAGGTGAAACATTATATGCCTACACTCTTAGCAATAGCGATTCCAGTAGTCCCAGTTGCAGTCATTAGGCCAGGATCATGCTATCATTAGGCAAAGATCTCACAGGTTTTGTGTCTTGTCCTGCTCACCATTGCTTCAAGTCCTTCAACTTCCCTATCTCCCCTCTATCTCTGCCAATTTGGCTGCCCTAAACTCTGTCATTACTGCCCACTACTGATCTTAATAGTCTTCCTCCTCCTCTGCTAGCCCAGGATCCATGTACTGAGTAAGGGTGCAGTCTTGGGAGGCATATGGCAACACGGCAGCATGGTGAAGCCTTGTCTGATGAAAAGGGGGTTGCTGGGCCTAACCAGGGAGGAGGCAGCAGAAGGGAGTCAGAGGAGGAGCCTTGTTTTCCACCACTAGGGCAAGGAGAACAGCCCACAGGCCATTTTAACCATATCTTTGCATCTCACATTGGACACACTCCTAGAGAACCAGCCTGCAGGCTTCAATAATGGGTGGATACAAGCCTAGTGCCAACAACAGGTTCACTGCTTACTTGACCTAACCTTACTCCTATAAAGCCTCAAGAAGGATCACTTCTCCAGGAGTAGTTCCAACACAAGCTGTAGAGAGTGTGCTGCTTTGTTAGGAAGTCCTCATCCCTCTGTTTCCTCCAGTTCTACCATGACCCCACACAGTGTCTCCTACAAGTCCCAAACTTCGCTCAGGGAGCCATTGCTGCATCTCACTGGTCTGCTAAGCCCTCCATGGTCTGCAGGCTATCACTTCTCATGCTGGGTGGCAGAAGACAGGGCACTCTCCCCTGAAATGCCAGCCTGCCACCACCACCACCTGTTCCATCCTGCTGCCTCTTTGCCTGCTGAGCCCAGCAAGTTTCCTTCATTAGATGAGCTTCATTCTGCTGAGCTTACCAGGCACATCCTGGGCTGTACCCTCAATCAGAACATGAATCCTAGACCAGCAGGAGGAGGAGGGAGAAAATGGGGAAGGTCAGATGGGGGTCAGTGGCAGAGGCAGCAGGGTTGGCAGAGGACTGCATCGCACTCAAAAGGGGAATGATATGGGTGAGTGATTGATGGGGGCATTGAAGTGCGCCTGTAGTTATAAGCACAGGTGGGCTGCCAAGCAGTTGAATTTTGAACACATGATTGGGGCACAGAAATGGCTGTAACTTCAAGAACAGAGCATAATTACCATTCATTCAGCACTGCCATAACTTTGAACTGTTGCTGAATGAATGGTGGTTAAGTGAAGACCACCTCTAAATATAAAAGAGAGTAAATTGCTCTACATGAGTGTTTTAAGTGAGAGCTTCAAGAGACTGGCAATTATTTAGCACTGGAATAGGAACCGAATGTTTCAAATTTGTTTTTTTTTTTTTCAAACACCTCATATCCATAAAGCACAACATGGCCCTATATTGATAGATATATATTGTCAGTGGCAGTGGTGTTATTATTACAATTAGTGACAAAATTAAACATAATTGTAAAACAGGATACAAAGATATAGAAAAATAAAACTTTTATATTAGTTTGAATATCAGGCACGACACAAAAGGCCCTGAATTGTTAAGCCAATTTCTTATCATCGACAAGTGCACAGAAGATCTTGTATTAGTGTGGCACTAACAGTTCTATTTTATTTCCAACACAGCTTTCTCATTGCTAGTTGAAGCTAAATATTAAGTGCAAAATCCACAGTCTTTGATTAGACCTTACTTCAATTAGCTATGAAGGAATAAAATTTATCTTGTAAGCTCAATGCAGCTGAAGGCTGACTTGAAGTGTAAACAATATTTCAGGATGGCAAAATCAGATTCAGAAGAGGAATGAGATCAGTTTTGCTTCTCATCTTCAAAAGGAATCTTCTACATATCTGGGTACAAAGAAGTAGCATCCTTCGGAACCTTGACTGAGCCCCTTCTAAAGAGACTGCATTGAGAAAACTGTTACATCTCTAATACCTACTTCATACAACATTTTATTATCTGGTATCAACAGATGGAATGTGGTCAGGAAGGGATTTCATCTAACTATATAATAATTAAAAATATATATCTGATACTAGTGCAAAGCATATCAGAACAAGAGTATTATATACTCAGTGTTAAGCATCTTCAGCCCACTGTTTCCAATTCCCACTAGGTTAGAGTTAAACACATATTTCATCTAAGTCTTAGTACTAGCAAAAAATTTTTTTTAAAAATCTGAAATCAAATGGATCATTAAGGAATAAATGTATAGTCAGTACTGGAAAACTTTTAATGAGCAATGGAGAGATTCCTAGTTAAAATTGTGATGAACTATTATTTAGGAAGAGCAATAAAAACAAAATATTGGAATGCTATAGCAAATTGCCATAGACTGTGTTTGTTAATCAAGTGCACATATCATGTCCAAGCCTATGGTTCCACATTTATTCCACAAATAGATGTTTCACAAATTGTCAAAAAAAAAAAAAAAAGTAGGAGCACAAGAATGTGTTCACCTCAAGCTGTTCATCTTCTAATAGTTTTATAACCAGCCATCTGATGTTGTTCACAGCTTCTTCATTGTTTAAGAAGATAAAAAGATTATAAAATACCATAGTCTGGAGGTAGATTAGCACAGTATATCTAGAATGCCAGGAATTACTCTTTGCAATCTATAAAAAGAAAAAAGAAGAGGCCAAAATAATAGAACCACAGAAATTAGAAAAATAAAATACAATAAAGCCTAAATCAAACTGTTGATTATGTACGCAGAAAACTTTCCAAAATCATATTTCAGAATTCATCTATAATAATTGATGATTTTTAATTAATATGCTTGAAATTCCAACTAATTTTTCATTTCAGATTACTTTTAATATCTATCTTCTCTAGTTTTCCTTCCCCACTCAAAGGCTAAGTGTAACTTCAACACAAAAAAGTTGCACACCTCTGCTCTACATCAGTCCTTAACCTGATACCATGTAAAAAGTACATCCCTCAAGACATATAAATTATAATTTACTTTCATGTCTTTCAACACATTTCACCCCTCCTTTGGCTAATCTATTAAGAAAGATTGCTTACTTCCGGTGGATCTGCGCGGGCGATGGCGGCTACTTTGTAGCCGTCCTCCTGGGTAAGTGTAATGAATCGCTATGAACAGCGGACACCAGCTGTTCAGCAGTTCAAAATCCCCCTCCCGGGCAAAGGGGGGGGGGAAGACGGTTGTCTGAATAGTGGTAGAGCCTCTTATACACCCCCAATTTTTTTTTGGGGGGGGGGTGAAAAGAGTGCTCCCACGGAGTTCAGACTGTCTCCGCTTCCCAGCTGCTTTTGTCCTTAGGGACAAAACAAGCCGTTGCAACCACCTCCGCGTTTAAAGAGATCTGGTGAGTTTTTTAGAAGCGGACAGAGTTGACTAGAGGATTAGCTTTTGCTTTCTTTGACTTTATATGGATTTTTAGTTTAAAGATTTATTTTTACGTTTATATTCCCTCTTTTTACTTTTTATTTTTTGCTGAAAGGGAAAGTAAAATGGCGATCGGCAGACTTTCTGGCGTTTTTTTTTATTTTTTTTTATTTTTTTTTCCTTTTGGGAAGCTAGATGGTGATCGGTAGGTTTTTTGGTGTTTTTCTTTCCCTTTCTCTTTTCTTTTCTTTTTAATGATTGGAAAGGATGTTTTATTCTTCTTTTTTTTTTTTTGATGAAAGTGAAAATAAAATGGCAATCGGCTTTTTGGGATTTTAGAAGCATTATTATTTTTGTTTACTTTTAAAGGCAGGCTTCCTGGTGTTTCTCTTTCCCTTTCTTTTTCTTTTTAATGATTTTTTTTTTCTTGCTGAAAGGGAAAATAAGATTGTGATCGGTTTTTTGGATCTTAGAGGCATTATTATTTTTGTTTAACTTTTCTGTTTTGTTTTTTGTATTTTTTTTAAAAAAAATGGAATGGATTTCTTTTTATTTAATTCCTTTTCCTTCCTTTTTTTTCTCCCTTTTTTTATTATAATGATCTCCCTTTGAAGGATTTATTGATTTTTTTTTCTGGAGTTAATCTTTCTTTTTCTTTTGTTTAATTTTTGTGGCCCCAAAGTGTTTAGTATTTTTTTTGTTATAATGACCTCCTTTTGAAGGATTTTTTGAAATTTTTTTTTTGGATTTAATCTCTCTTTTTCTTTTGTTTAATTTTTGTAATTCTCAAGAAGGAGTAAAGATTTTTTTTTTAAGATGGCTCCAAAGTGTCCAGGGATTCCTACAGCTCCTAAATCAATAGCCTCACCTTCTTCTTTGGCTCAGCCAATAATGGTGAAGGATCTGCAAGATATGATGGGAAATGTTATATCTCAAATTAGGGCAGAAATGAAAGAGATTTTAGAGGAAAATAATAAGATTTTGAGGCAAGATATAGTTTTGGCTTTAAAAGGAGTTGCCTCTGTTTTTGAAAAGCTGAATTCCCGTGTGGAAGAGGTAGAAGAAAAAGTGGAATTGATGGAGGAAAAATTTGAATGTATGGAAAAAGAAATGGAAAATGAGATTCTTATGCTTCAATATGGACAAATGGAATACGCCTTAAGAATCAGAGGCTTGAGAGAGTCTTTGCAAGGAGATCTGAAAGAGATGGTTGCAAAGGACTTTGCTGTGATTTTGAATAAAGAAAAAGAGGAAATACTTAGTGAAATTGAAAAATTATTTAGAGTTAATTCTGTGGTGGCAGTGCAAAAGAATTTGCCAAGAGATGTGGTAATTTACTTTGGGAAAAGATCCCTGCGCAATGAAATTATACAAGCTTTTTATAAAAAGAGATTTCAAATTGCCTTACAAGACGTTATAATTTTAAAGGAGATCCCATCTAAAATTTTAAGAAGAAGAAAGGAGTTTGCTTTTTTAGCAGATGAACTTAAAAAGAGACGAATCTCGTTCAGATGGGATGTTCCGATTGGAATGGTGGTGAATTACCTGGGGATATGTTATAGACTTAATACTGTTTTTCAAGCAAAAGATTTTTATACTTCGGTTCTGGGGGTATGTTCATCGCCATCTACTAAGTTTAAAGCCTTGGAAGAAAAGAATGTAGAATTATACCCTGAAGAGCCTATACTTATGAAAATTGGGGAACCTCAGCTTGAGGGGCCTCAACAAGTTCAGATAGAGGAGCAGAAGATAACTTGTGCAACATATAACTGTAAAGAGAAGCAGCAACAGAAGAAGTTTAAGGAAGCCTCACATCTATTGGTTTCTAAACCTGCGGGAGAAGCAAGACTTATAAAGTTTCGGGAGCAACCCTCAACAAGCTGAGAGGAAGGGGCGGAGGACAACTTGTGCAACATATAATAGTAAAGAAAAAGACCAACAGAAGAAGGAGTTTAAGGAATCTTCACATGTATTGGCTTCTGAGCCGGCGGGAGAGTCAGGATTTATAATTTCGGAGCAACCTTTAAGGGCAGATCTCAAAGCATTTCTTTCGAGCCTTATGGATAAGAGAGACTGATAAGGATGGAGATCGAATGAAAATTTTACATGGACAATCGAGACTGTGGATGGAACTTACTATTGGTAAAGATTTAAATGTTTAATGTGTCTATTGTGGATGGAATTTATTATCGGTAAAGATTTAAATGTGTATAAGGGAATTTTAATGTTTTAAGTTTTAAGTAATGTTTAAATTTGTGTTTTGGAGGGAGTTTATAAAGAATGATGGATAATAATATAAGTATGATATGAAAAGGTTTGGAGTATATTATAATGCGTTCAATGTTTGGGTTTTTTTAATTATTATTATTATTATTATTTTTAAGATGGAATTTATTCTAATGTTTTAAGTTTTAAGTAATGTTTAAATTTGTGCTTTGGAGGGAGTATAATTTGTTTAATTAAATGTATTCAGATTTGCCTATGATTTATATTAGATTTTATATTGTAGGTATAGAAACAAAGTAATGTTTAAATTTGTGTTTTGGAGGGAGTTTATATAGAATGATGGATAACATTATAAGCATATTAGAAAATGTTTAGAGTATATTATAATGTGTTTAATGATTGTAATTATTATTTTTTAGAGAAGATAATCTATTTAATTTAAGGTATCTAGATTTGTTTAGGATTTATATGTGTTTCAAGTTTTTCTTTTTTTTTTCTGGAAAATTTTAATTAAGCCTGTACTCAACTCTGGGAAGGTTGGGGGAGGGTTTGGGAGGTTTGGGGAGGTGGGGGAGGGTAAGGGAGGGTGGGGGGGTCTGGGGAGGGGATTTGTTTTGTAAAATTTAAAAAAAAATTCAATAAAAAAAAAAAGAAAGATTGCTTATACAAGTAGTCCACACCTACAAGCTGCAACTGGATCTGGCAACGCAGTTCCAATTGCGATGCAGTCATAAAGTGATATGTCACATTACCACAATGTCTTATAATGTCAATTCTGGCTGCAGTCTTTAAGTAAATCACCCATGGTCATTCACTATAACATCATGTGACTGTGACCTATGACTTTTTGTCAGCTTTCCCATAGATTGCTTTTCAAAAACTGGCTGTGAAGGTCGCAAATGGCAATCACGTGACCGTGGAATATCATGACCATCATAAATCCATGATAGTTGCGATGCATAAATCCATGACTGTTGTGCTCACATGACTGTAGAGTCTTAAATCTCCTTTTCCAGCACTGTCATACCTAAAGTGTTGTTGGAGAATATCAAAGAGCAAATCCATCTGAACACAAGAACCCATTTTGGGAACTACATCATGGCAATCTGAATGTCAAAGCATGGTTACGTTTCCATTCTTATCACACCTGTTATAAATAGTTGTCTATGGGTTTGTTTAAAGTGACCTATTTCCTGCTGCAGAAGGATGTTTCATGATCATCTACGGGGCTGCTGTAAGGAATATCCTAGACATTTAACAGGGTTTAATAGGCCTCATACTTTTCTAAAATAAATAAATAATTTGCTAACCCTTTTCCCAAAACAGAGATTTGACACTTCAATAGGGACATGTTTGTCCTTTATTATAATTCAACTAAGTGAACGGTTTCATTCCTGTCAGAAAAGGTTAATAATTTTACGTTGGGTTACTCATGTGAATATGACATAATTCTTTATTGACCAAGTGTGATTGGACACACAAGTAGAATAATATTATAATTATAATATGTTCCAAATTATTCACCAAGTTACAATCTCATTATCACAGGGATCCTATGAAATCAGACAAGATGAATTGGGCTATAGATCTCTATTTTTGTATATCTAGCTGAAATGCACTAAAACTCAGAATATATGCCATAGTTACATTTTTTCTGTACAATAATCTATTTTAATTCAGGTATTAGGATAGAAACTTAAATTTTTGCAGTCTCTTGTGTATTCAGATCAAATATATTTGCTATCAGTTATTCAGCATTGATATCAAAAAAGTATTAACACAAGATTAAATACATGTAATTATGCTGTTTAAAAGTATCAGTTTAAAAGCATCACATACTTGTTTTAGCACCTGAAGTACCAAAGGCACTTGTTGAGGATACAGTAATCCCTGAGACATTAATGATAAGCACATTTTAGCATCTCTCTTCAATTCATCATAGCTATGATCATTTTCTACAGGCGCAATCTGTGGAAACAAGTAGATGAAAAGTTAGTAGCAACTTCTGAAGTCTTGATCCTTAAAACTGAATAAATGCAAGCCACATCGGGAAACTGCAATTCAACCTCTCTTAGAAAATGAATATAATTAATACAGAAGCTAAAACTCCTAAATGCTATATAAGAAGTCCTCACCTTACAACCACAATTCAGCCCAAAATTTCTGTTGCTAAGCAAGATAGTTAAGTGACTTTTGCCCCATTTTATGACCTTTCTTGACACAGTTGTTAAGTGACTCGTTGCAATTGTTAGGTTAATAACATGGTTGTTAATTGAATCTGGCTTTTCTATTGACTTTGCTAGTCAGAAGGTTGTAAAAGGTGATCACATGACTCCAGAACACTGCAACTGTCATCAATATAAGTCAGTTGCCAAGCATCTGAATTTTAATCACGTGACCATGGGGATGCTGCAATGGTTGTGTTAAAAATAATCATAAGTCACTTTTTCAGTGTCGTTGTAATTTCAAACGGTCACTAAATGAACTGTTGTCGAGGACTACCTGTACTGGAATGGATTAAAATATAAAGTGCATGCAATATGCAGAAAGCAATTCAAACTCTTATGTCATTAAAATACAGCTAAAAAGTTTTTAACTGTAGTGACTCTAAATAGATAATTAACACAAGTATCTGTCAATATGAAAATATCCAATCCAAATCTGGAAACTCATAATTAGATGAGAAGAAATTTAAAAAGCAAGGATAATAATAATAAGTATGAGCAAAACATCTTATTTCAGACATGCATTCTCAAATAGTATGTTTTTTATGTCTGGGATGTTTTGAAATTTCCATAGCAAGCAACCTTTTTGCATAGCCCTGAAACTAAAACAAGATAAGAGCTGGAAGTCTGCATCCTAAAGTGACAATCTTTAAAAGATTTCCCTGCAGTGTTTTCAAAGGTTATGCATCAAATGAATAAGGAAACCTTTAGAAGAAATAGCAACCAATCCAAACATTGAATTTAATTTGTATAAATGGGCTGTCTATGTGGCCTGACTTTCCGTACATCCTATTTATTTAAATGAAGCCTCATTCACACATTGTTAAAATGTTAAGTGTTACTGTCATCTAAACAGATCAAGCTGTATATCAAACTACATACCTTGAAAAACAATGGCAAAAGCTGAAGCTGTTCTGTAACAGCTGTAGAAAAAGCTCTCCCTGCACTTGCCATCAACCACTTTAGAACTGTCAAGTAAAAGAAAGACAAGCATACTTCTCAATTCAAAGACAAAGAACAAAACACAACTTCATCTCTTCTAAACATTATTCCCTTTAAATGGCATTCACTACAAGTGAATATTTAATTAGATTCTCACACATTTAACACAAGCACCTACTAGTTTTCAGTAGTTTAATGCCCTGAGTTCGTTCATCTTCATCTCCAACTCCATTTTCTTCCATAACGTGATTCTGAATTTCTTCATCCGCTTCCATAAGGGGTTTGAGTTTTTCAAGTATTCGAGAAGTGAAGTCATGAACACGGGGAGACTTTGTTAGTGCAGTATTTGGTAAAGAAATATCTATCATGAAGATGTATGTCAAAACACTGCATAAAACACAAGAACACATTTTTAATTTAGTTTCATGCCTTAAAGACTGAATTCAAACTAACCAAATAACTTTTCTTTATTTCTGCAGTACCTATAAACAAAATGACAATTTTCTGGAATATCTAAAGGTTGAAAAACATGACGTAGTATAGCCTTAATACTAACCTTCCTATCCTCTCTCTGACATTTTTATAAACTTGAGTGAGCTTAGGCTCTAGATATTTCAGCAATCTGTGCAACAGTTCTGGCACTCGCCACTCTTGTTGTGCAAGGCCCCCTTGCAAAACATATAGGCGACTAGAAGGTAAAAAGAAGAAAAAGTTAGTGAAGCGATGACTTACAAAAGTGTACTTCCATCTTCTGCTCCTGTTCATAAAACACAGTCATTTTATGTTTAGCTAATGGAGAGTGGGCTAATTAGCCACTATGCCATGTGCTTTTAAAAAGTTGGTCATATCAGAACTTATATAAAGCAAATGAACTATTCAATTTTGGGTTCTAATCTGTATTAATATTTACTATGTACATAGTATTATAATTTTTGCATGCACATATAAATGTAAATACACAGAACTCTGTCACTGTACTGGACACTTAAGAGAAGAAATCTCTACCTCCTGATATAACAGTAACTGTAAATGCTTAACTATCTATCCTGGTTTTCTGAGAGATCTCGCTGATTTTTAGCATCTATATTCAGACGATGACCAAGAGGTATAAATATAAAAATATCAGTACATGGCGGCTCAATAACCTTTGCTTGAAATGTTGCTAAGCAAATTAATAAGATTTAAGCATATTTTCCATAGCCAGCTAAATAGCATGCTATAATCACTTATAACAGAATAACAGAGTTGGAAAGAACCTTGGAGGTTTTCTAGTCCAACTCCCTGCTCAGGCAGAAAATCTTATACTATATCAGACAAATGCTTGTCCAGTTTCTTCTTAGAAACTTCCAGTGTTGGAGCATTCACAATTTCTGGAAGCAAGTTGTTCCACTTAGTAACTGTTCTACCTATCAGGAAATTTCTTCTTGGTTCTAGGTTACTTCTCTCTTTGATTAGTTTCCATGCACTGCTTCTTGTCCTGCCTTCAAGTATTTTGAAAAATAGGTTGACTCCCTCTTCTTTGTGACAGCCCCTGAGATATTGGAATACGGCTACCATGTCACCCCTAGTCCTTCTTTTCATTAAACTAGACATACCCAATTCCAGCAATTGTTCTTTATATGTTTTAGACTCAAGTTCCCTAATCATCTTTGTTGCTCTTCTCTGCTCTTTTTCTAGAGTCTCAACATCTTTTTTACATTGTGGTGACAAAAGCTGGATACAGTGGTCTTGATTCTATCCCTCTGGATATAAAAGCTGGATACACATGATCTTGATTCTATCCCTCTGTTAATGCAGCCTAGGACTGCATTAGCTTTTTTAGCAGCTGCAGCACACTGCTGGCTCATATTTAAATGATTGTTCTCTAGGATTCCAAGACATGATAGCAGTGTTCCAATATCAGAGGGGCTGCCACAAGAAAGAGGGAGTCAAGATATTCTCCAAAGCACCTGAAGGCAGGACAAGAAGCAATGGATGGAAACTAATCAAGGAGAGAAGCAACCTAGAACTAAGGATAAATTTTCTGACAGTTAGAACAATTAATCAGTGAAACAACCTGCCTCCAGAAGCTGTGAATGCTCCAACACTGGAAGTTTTTAAGAAGAGACTGGACAGCCATTTGTCTGAAATGGTATAGGGTTTCCTGCCTGAGCAGGGAGTTGGACTAGATGACCTCCAAGGTCTTTTCCAACTTTTTTATTATTATCATTATCATTATTATTGTTGTTATTGTTGTTGTTATTGTTAAGATCCCTCTTACAGATACTATTATTGACCCAGGTACCACCTATACCAGGGCTTTTCAACCTTTTCACCGATTGTACCACTTTTAGAATATGGCAACATTCGAGTACCACCAGTCACCCAGCAAGGTGTCAAAAGCTTGATGACAAAAAAAAAAAAAAGGAAAAAAGTGATAAAGTACAGGTAGTCCTCAACTTTCAACAGTTTGTTTGGTGACTGTTCAAAGTTACAACGGCACTGGAAAAAGTGACTTATGACCATTTTTCACACTTATGACCATTGCAGCATCCCCAGGGTCATGTGATTTACATTTGGATGCTTGGCAACCGATTCATATTTATGATGGTCACATTGTTCCAGGGTCACCTTTTGCAACCTTGTGACAAGCAAAGTTAGTGGGAAAACCAGATTCACTGAACCATGTTACTAATTTAATCTCTCTCCTTCCTTCTCTCTCTCCCTCTTTCTTTCTCTCTTCTTTTCTCTTTCCCTCTCTCCCTTTCTTTCTCCCTGTCTCTTTCTCTCTCCCTTTCTCTGTCTCCCTTTCTTTTTCTCTCCCTGTCTCCCTTTCTCTCTCCCTCTCTCTCCTTTTCTCTCTCCCTTTCTCCCTCTCCTCTCCTCTCTCTCTCCCTCTCTTTCTCTCTCTCTCTCTCTCTCTCTTTTTCTCTCTCCCTCTCTATTTCTCTTTCCCTCTTTCTCTCCCTCTCTCTATTTCTCTCTCCCTCTCAAAGATCCTTAAAATCCTTAAAAGTTATGTTTGGGCGTAAGACTTTTTCTTTTACAGATGGGGCGGGTGGGCCCGACATTCGCGGGCAGGCAGGACCCCGCCCGCCAAGCCGCCGCCTCCCCATCGCCCTCCATGCCAGCAGGCTCAGTTGCCAGACCTCCCAGCTGACGGGCGCAGGTCCGGGGGTCGCCAGCTGATGGGTGCAGGCGTTCTGCGCTACGGCGGCCTCCCCTTTGTCCTCCGCACCGGCCAAAGCTTTGCCTGACATTCCAGCTGACGGGTGCAGGTCCAGAGGTTGCCAGCTGACAGGCGCAGGAGGTAGGCGCCGCAGCGGCCTCCCAGCCGCCTGCTTCTTCAGCTGGAACAGTTGCCAGGGCTTGCATGGTCGCCGGCTGCGGGGAGCGCGTCAGCGTGTCATGTGTCTGATTAACGAAACACTTCAAAGAACTTTCAGGCATTTTTTTTTAGCCTAAAAAGCCTTTATTAGTATTACAGAGATGTCAGCACGGCATGGTGGAAATGCTAAGATCTGAATTTCCCTTCCTTTGCACATAACATTCCAGGCATTTCCCCTCCCCTATTTTGGGGTCATGATTCACATCTTCCAATTAACTTGGAGAGCAAAGATTCACTTCTGTTTCTTTTTCCTGGACTTTCCTTATATTCTCTCCTCTTTCACTGTCAACTGATTTAACTCTAAAAATACCAGACAGTTCTGCATATATTGTTAAAGCAAGAATATTCAATATTGGCAGTGTTGACACAGCGGCCCTTGGGGGCCATGCAAGCCCTGGCAACTGCTCCAGCTGAAGAAGCAGGTGGCTGGGAGGCCGCCGCAGCGCCAAACTCCTGCGCCCGTCAGCTGGCGACCTGTGCCCGTCAGCTGGAACGTCAGGCAATACTTTGGCCGGTGTGGAGGGCAAAGGGGAGGCCGCCACAGCGCAGAACTCCTGTGCCTGTCAGCTGGCGACCTCCGGACCTGCACCCCTCAGCTGGGAGGTCTGGCAATGGAGTCAGCTGGCGTGGAGGGCGATGGGGAGGCGGCGGCTCGGCGGGCAGGGTCTTGCCTGCCCGCGAATGTCGGGCCCACCTGCCCCATCTGTAAAAGAAAAAATCTTCTACCCAAGCATAACGCCAGCAGTTCTGTGCCACGGAGGCTTGAGATACGGAGGCGCAGGATGCGGAGCGGTGCTATGGGAGGCAGCAGGAAAGGGGGGAGGGATTACCTGAATCCTGCCAGCCGAATTCTGGAAGTCTGCCTGAATGAAGAATTTTAGGGGGTGTTGAAAGCGAGACAGACTGAGGGCTGTATTAAGACCATAGAGATGACTGCATAAGGAGAGTAGAAGGGAGGTGAATTCAGGGTGGAGCAGAAAACATGGGGGGGGGGGTAAGGCATTAGGAAATAAGCACCAAGGTACATGGTGCCTTGCAAGGGATCCCGAGTGTTCCGCAATTGTTTTTCCTCTCTCCTCTGCGCAAGAAAAACTTTTGCGGTGTAAATCTGAGACCAGGTGTTCCTGTGAGGTGGCGCAGGAGGTTCTTGGGAGAGGCGAGGACAAACTTGGCGTTTCCTCTCTCCCAATCCCCTTCCTCTTCTTCACCCCCTTCCCCGGCCTGCCTGCGATCTGAGCTCGCGGCTCTGTGGCTTTTCTTTGCCTAGCCTAGCCAAGCTTTCTTCCGCCTGCCCCATTCCCGGGAGCACTGAGGAGGTACAGCAGAAACACATGAATTGGGATTGTGGCGCCCTTGGGAAGCTGATCATGCTTTGAACCTTAGGAGAGGAGGAAGAGTCCCTTCCTCCTTCCTTCCTTCCCTCTCTTCCTGTCAAGCCCGGCTGGCTCGACATGCTGGCGGAGGGGTCGAGGATGACGTGCAGGGTAGCCAAGGAGACCGGCGCCCAGCACCGGGGCCAGACCTCCCAGCTGACAAGCGCAAGTTCGGGGGGTCACCAGCTGACAGGTGCAGGAGTTCGGTGCTGTGGCGGCCTCCCCTTCCTTGATCTGAGTGCACGAGAAGTCAAACCAGTTGCTGCACAATGAGTCCCTGGGGAGGGCAGGGCCTTGCTCTGCGCCTGCGCTCTTCACGCACCTCTTGCAGGGCACATTCGGTAAAGTTTGTGCAGGCTGTCGCCAAGCAGCGTATTTTCCACAAACAAGTGAGGTGTGAAGGAGCGGAGTGGGAGGGAGGAAGGCGACGCCACGGGGGGGGGGAGGAAGGCGACACTGCGTACCACCAGCCAGGTGGTCGCGTACCACAAGTGGTACGCATACCACCGGTTGACAAGCCCTGACCTATACTATACCTGTGCATTTATTTTTTCTTGCCTAAATGTGGAAGCTTACGTTTTGCACCATTACATTTTATTTTGATAGATAGTGCCATATATATATATATATATATATATATAAGACTTTTTTTTTCCTTACCATGCATCAACAAATGATCCTCCTTCACCATTCAGTGGAGACTCCAGTAACAATTCAAACAACCAGTACAATTTCCTGGGATCTCTGCTCTCCTGTTTATATATATATTTATATTTAAAGGAAAAGGGGGCAAAATCATTTCCTGACAACATAAATCTTAATGTAACTTGCTGAGAGACAATTCAACACCATACATTGATACTGTATTACACAGTGTATTTTATAACATAACTATGCTTTTTGAATAAATTCCACCAACAAATCCAAGAAAAAACTCTTCAGAATTATCTGGAAATTATAAAACCTCTACAGCAGGGGTGTCAAACTGCCAGCCCGCGGGCCGGATGCGTCATGCGGAAGCCACGCCCACCCTGTTGCCAGCAATGGCAAACAATCCCGCTACATCGCGTGATGTCACGTGACATCGTGAGTTTGACATGTCTGCTCTACAGTATTAGAAATCTAAACATACATAACAATGTAACAAGTCATCATAAAAGAATTTCCATTCCTCTTTCTAGAATAAAAACTAAAATTAGAATAGTCAAAAGCTATAATCTCCTTTCAGTATAGGCTATTTTCCCCATGTTCAGAGACAAACGTTAGAAGAATTCAGAATGCTTCCATAATAAGGCAGAGTGAAAAATAATGTATAAGGCTTACACATGATGTTGCTATACATGTTCCCCAGTCATTGTAAGTTTCTACTGTAATATTGGATAAAGCTGTTCTGAGAAGTGGACAGAGAACTTTCCAGAGATTCTCCACCTGTACATAATGATGTAAAAAACAATGTATTACTAATACATGGCATCTTTAATTCCGAACAATTCTGTTTTTATTAGAGAGAAACACATATAGGCAAAGTCTATTTCTGTCAGAATTCATGTAGCTTAGTTTTAGAGGAAGCAAAAACACATCACATACTGAAGGCATAGACTGTGTTAATGCTGTAGTTCAGAAAGCAAGATAGGAACATTTGTTCCATGTTTAACCATCCTTAATTTCAAACTAAGTATTCATATGTGTGTGTGCCTTCAATCAATCTTCACTCCTGGAAAAGTCCCCGCAGTTTTCTTGGAAGTGCCATTGCCATTGCCTGCTTCCTGGGACTGAGAAAGAGAGTAACTTATGACTGGTTTGTTTGTCTAATTTCTATAGCCGCCCATCTCAATCAATGACTCTGGGCAGCCTACAATTCAAAAAAAACTATTGCAATTAAAATATCAAAAATATTTTAATAAAAGCAATAGAAACATCCAAATTAAATATATGGTTGCTTAATGACTGCTTGAAGTTACAATAGATTTGAAAAAAAAGTTACTCATGACCCATCTTTGAAATTATGATTGAACACATGATCACTCTCTCTTAAACACACAGGTGTGTGTGTGTGTGTGTGTGTGTGTGTGTGTGTGTGTGTGAGAGAGAGAGAGAGAGAGAGAGAGAGAGAGAGAGAGAGAGAGAGATCATGTGATCCTGGGTTGGTGCAGCAGTCTTAACTTCAAGAATGGGTAATAAGTAATCTTTTTTTAATCCATCAAGGATCACACACACACATATATGAAGCATACATGTATTTATATAATATGTATGTGTGTGTGTGTGTGTGTGTGTGTGTGTGTGTGTGTGTGTAATTCAGAATAATTTTGGTGTATATAAGGAGATCTAAATCAAATATATTTGCAAAATTCATAGAAATGTGCTCTACCTTTTCAAATGTCCAGTGTTTAGACCCTCTTATCAAACCAGCTATAATTTCAGCCACACAGCGTTGAGGACTTTCATGGGAATCTGCAGCAAGGCGTTCTAAGTGTGGTTTCAATACAGGTAAGAAAGTATCATCAAAGTTTCTAAACAGACCCTAGGGAAAACACACACATTTGACTTTAAGCCTTAATACTTCTTATTGCATTTACAAAAAGGGCTAAACCTAATTTAATTGTTCTAAAATGATAAATATATTTAAAAATGTTAAATATCAGTAATATCTAGAGGGGAAGGAATTTTTCCAAGCCCCAAATGTTCTGCATGTATTTAATGCCTTTTTATTGCAATTAATCATAAACAGTAATTAGGCTACCATTTTCAGAATTAAATGATATACAAGCCATTATTAAGAGAAAAGCACTGAAGAGCTTTAGAAAGTAGTAGCACATTTCGCTATTGTACCTAAATTATAATCCTGGAAACCACATTTCCACAATTCCACATAAGTTTGAAAATTTGATTATTATGCTGTGAGGAAAATTATAAAGCAATGAAACTATATCAGAAAACTTCACTGCCTTAACACAAGCTAAATGGAGTGTGGCGTAAAATGAACAAATGAGTGTGCCTGCATGTTATACAAGTAATCCCCAAGTTACAAGGGCTTGTTTACTTAATGCTTTTAAGCACCCCCTAGTGCTTACAAGAAAACCCCAAAATTACAAATGTTGCAGCACCACAGCAGTTGTTCGCCCTTATGAATGACTGCAGTGTGTAAAGAAGGGCACTTGAGGCAGAACTTTTTAATAAATTATGATTGATGAAATCAGAGCAATATATATGATAGAACAATCACAAAGGTTTAACTGCATGGATTTTTTCTTAAACAGCTTTATACATAGCTCAACATTTCCTAGAAAAGAAGGAAAATACTAGATAATCATTTACCTTAAAGAGGCAAAACCTACGAGGATTAAATTTATCTTTTCCTTTTCTGTCTTCTAAAGAAAGAAACTTGATTAACTGCTCAACAAAATTAGGATCAGAAAAGTGATCATAAATTACTTGCTCCGCCTGTAAAATAAAATAAACAATAATATAAATAGAACTAAAAAACTGCTTACCACATCTATGTTGGGAAAAATATATATGGTCCCCATAATTAGATACTTAGATACTTAAATCTTTAGATCAGACAACCTGAAAAATGTATAACTGACATATTCTTCCAAAAACAAGTTATTCTCTAATGGTCAGCCTTAGAATTCTTTATGCTATCATTTTCTATGATGATGATGATGATGTTATACATTCAGATTCCTGGGGATTCTATGGGCCAGGTCTCTCCACATCTTCTGTTCTGGGACGAGTAATAGTAATAGTAATAAAGTTGGAAGGGACCTTGGAGGTTATCTAGTCCAACTCCCTGCTCAGGCACGAAACCCTATACCATTTTAGACAAATGGCTGCTCACTCTCTTCTTAAAAACTTCTAGTGTTGGAGCATTCACAGTCTCCTCTGATTGTTTTAACTGTCAAGAAGTTTCTCCTTAATTCTAGGTTGTTTCTTTCTTCTGTTAGTTCCATCCATTGCTTCTTGTCTTGCCTTCAGGTGCTTTGGAGAATAGCTTGACTCCCCCTTCTTTGTGGCAACCCCTGAGATATTGGAATACCACTATCATGTCACCCCTCATCCTTCTCTTCATTAAATTAGACAAACTCAATTCCAACAACTGTTCCTTATATCATCCCCTAATCATCTTTGTTGCTCTTCTCTGTACTCTTTTTAGAGTCTCAACATCTTTTTTACATCGTGGTGACCAAAACTGAATGCAGTATTCTAAGTATAGTCTTATCAAGGCATTGTAAAGTGGTAATAATTCTTCACATGATCTTGATTCTATCCCTCTGTTAATACAACCTAGCGCTATGTTGGCTTTTTTGGCAGCTGCATATTTAAGTGACTACTTCTTTGTTTTTCTATGCTCTGCCTGGTATCAGCTTTAATGATGTCCAGTCACTGTGTTCTTTGGGGGGCTGGTTTCCTTTTATCACTAATTCTCCAAATATAATTACTTTCTCCAGTGTCCCCTGCATGACATGGCCCAAATAAGTCAGACACAGTTTTGCAATTGTGAAAATGATCTCATTTTCTATAAAAAGCTAAAGTTGAATATTTTTATATCTCATCTTCCTACTCCCAAGTCAAAGATTTTCTGACCTGAGAAGCGACTTATTAATATGCTGCAGAAATCAGTGTCACATTATAATAAATTGAATACCTCCCCCCCAAAAAAATAAAACCTTTTGGAAAGAATCCAATCAAAAGCTTCCATATATAAATGGTAGCAAGAAAAATATCCAGTTTAGGAATTCAGGTAATTGGAAATCACCTGTTTCAAAGAAATCATTGCTGTGGTAAATGGACAAATGGTTTAGTATTATACCAGTGCTTACTATATTTAACTCTCACTTAAAACAATCACAAGTAATTTCCTTTTTCCTAATGTAGACTCCTGACACATGTATGCAAAACCACATGATTTCTCCAAACACGGTTACTTTTTAACTACCTGTTAAATGTGTGAACAGATTCCAGGCAAAAAGAAAATATCACTATATATTTCTTGTAGTAAGAAGCTACATCTATGATGACTCCCATAAGAATTTCTTCATACTGTATTTTGATATAAACAGTAGGGCTGTGTGATCCAAGCACATAATTGATTCTATTAACATATTATGTGCATTTGAATTTCAATACTCTGGAATTGAGATAACTTTGAATAATTTAATTCCCTCTCAAGTTAAATCTGTTATAAAATGAAAGGAAAAATTGTATAATGCTGAAAGTGAAATATCAGACCAAGAGAAATTGTGAGCACATTTTAAAAATATAACATCACCTCTGAAAGTTCCTTTCTACTCCTCCCAAGTTTTGGTTGCTCTTCTACAGAAGCATATATTTCCATATTTCTAGAAATTGTAAGGGAAAAAAATGAGACAATATTGAATGGCAAAATAGAAAGTACTTACTTCACTGTTTCAGAGTCACAATTTAGCAAGGACAAATTCAGATTCACATCTTTTAACCTTTATATTATCAAATATAGAAAGCGTAAAGGATTTAATATATGGAAGAAATGAATAACTGCTCTAGCAAATCAAGTATAAGCAGGACAAGGTTTGCATCAGTAAGGCAGTTTGAATGGAAGCTATGAAGTAACTCTACTGACTTTCATATTATAGAAGAGGGCAGAAGGACAGAAGCCAATACTTACTGAGGCCAAGTGTAGTATCCCCAATGTGTTTTTTCCACAAAATTGCAGGCTTCCCAAGTTTCTTTAGTCTTTGGTAAACTAGCACTCTCATAATGCAGCCATTGGTTATCAGATCTGTCACCTGCCTGGATATTAGAAGGCCGTGGGGATCCACCTGTTTGTAAAAGAGAAAAATGCTTTTCTTATTAAACTTATCATTAGATGCTTGATATTTCTACTTTCATTCAGTACATATTGATGCCCACAATTACTGCCAGCTGTCACTAAATCACACAATTCTGAATAATTATATTTTTTAAAAATAGAAATCATGAAGCATCTGTTTCAAATAGCAGCATAACTAGTACAGCCACACTAGGGACCAAAATATGTTAACCAATATTCTTAAAACTAAAACAAGTACCACAATAAAACATCCATTAAAATAGTCATTTTTCTACAAATTAGTTGCTGTAAGCTAGTTTGTTCATCTCTCCGTGGTGTAAGATAAATGCCTAGAATGATGGGGAAGCTCGGATTTGGCAGGTAATCGGTAGGAAAAATTGTAATAGCCATTTTGGTACTCAAGAATAACAATAAAAAATTATTTCAATCCTGTAAAAAGTTCTTATTTCATCAGCATTTTTTTCTAGAATTAAAATAATGAAAATATGTTATCAGTTTAGAAAACAGATTGCAGGATCCTGAAAGTCAGTTAGCTGACAAGCAGTGGATTAACCCTTTAACAATTTTTTACAAACATCTGAATTGAAGATTCACACATAAATGCAGAGGACTTTAATAAGACTTGAGGAACAGGAGACTAAAATAACTTACAATCAAACTTACAATCAAACTCACAAATTTAAGTAAAACAAATCATAAGACTGACTATTTAATATCTCCAATAGAAGAAATATCTGTAGCTCAGAATGGAATTGTGGAATCCTTGGCGCTCTCGGAGCTTCGCTACTTGTTTGTAAATGTTTCATTGCCCAAGTATATAACATCATTGCAAGTAAGTGTGGGGTTTCCTTCCTGTTTGTATACAGTAGAGTACCTTGCCAATGTTAGTGAGGATGTGGTTTTCTCCTTGGTAGTTCCTTGATTAGTGTTCTGTTTTCTGCTTGTTTGTCTAGTGTTAATCCCTACTTATCACGTTGGCTGCTGGAGAGGATGTGTTCTGGTGTTTTTGTTTCCTTTTTAGCTTTTTTTAATTGTCTCCTGAATTGTATGCAGATGTAGTTTATCTCTATGTGTCTATTGATGGCAGATTTGTCTGAATGCCAGGTGTCCAGGAATTCTCTAGAGTTTTTGGACTTGGTCCAAGATGTTCAGTTTCCTAGTTGAAATTGTGGTTGAGTCTGCCTATGTGTTATAAGCAAGTAGTTTTCATCATGTCTTCTAACTGCCAGCTGGTGTTCATGGATATATTGCTGTCTGCCTGTCTGTCTTACATAATGGCCATTATAATCCTCACATTATATGCTGCAGATTATATCTATTTTTTTTCTTCTTGAAGGAGGAGTTGATTGGTTTGTGTGCTATGGTAGTGCCATGTGGATGTAAATCTGTTGGTTATTTCTGATTTGGAATCAGATAAATTTGGAAAAGGATAACAATATTATACATCAAAAACATATCTGAAACAACCAACATTACAACAACCAAATGGCATCACAGTAGCAGACAAACACCAATCCAAAAATGCTATGGAACTCCTGGAAACCTGGAATTCAGACAAATCAGCCATCAATAGGCACATATAGATAAATTATAAAATGTCTGCAAGCAAACTATCAAGCTCAGAGAGCACCACCAATTCCACTATTTCTTTCCCCAATCAATAGAATGCTTCAAGGTGCAGTACTTCAATATTTTAACACCAATGGAAAATTTAATGTTATTACCTATGAAAATCAACTAAACTTGCAGTAGATATGGTGTCCAGTTAAAAAAGATATAACATAGTTGAAACATTAGGCAGAAGAAATTGATGGCAGATACAAAGACTGAAAATTAACAGATATAATAGCTCATATTGCCCTTAACATTCACTAACTCAAATTGTCATTACTGAAAGATAGTTGTCTTTCTTTAGCACACTTACTAATTTGGAAAGGACAGATGAGCATCTTTTTGTGGGGCCTTTTCAGCTGCTTAAGGATGCCAGCCACAGCAGATATTGCCATCTACACAGAAAAATGAAAATTACCTCATTTTAATTTAAAACAAATGAAAGGAGAAACACAGATCCTGTTAAAATGGCACACTCTTCCCATAACTTTCCTCCTATATATAAAAACTTTATATGTAAAGTTCAATTATATGTTGAAGTAGTCAGCATATAAAATTAAATGGGGTAAATTATTTTTTATGTCATTTAGGGTTTTTTTAGGGTAGAACATAAAGATTTAGGTTTTCTAATCTCTACAGTGTATGTATAAGCATGTAGAACTTTATAATCCTAAAAATATTCATAAATTTGTGGAATTCAATATGTTAAAAGTTTTTTAAAAGTTGTCTTAGGTATTAATAGACAGATTAAAGGTCTTTTAAGGAAGAGTTTTTAACTTGGTGGCAAAGCCTATTCACTGCACATATAGAAAGCTTCAGGAATAAGTAGCTGATAATAAATAAATCTGTTGCCTAAGATTGGAAAACTAATGTCTATCAAAGATTGCAAGCTATGTACCATAGACAAACAGTATGATTTGTACTTGCATAATGGGTGGTATTTCACTGAAGACTTTCTCTGTGTGAATTGGGCAACTGTGCCAGCCTGCACATCTCTGGAAAAGTCTACACATATCAAGCAAACTGTACTTAAAAAGAAAATGGTCCTCTGGAAGCACTGAAATTCATTCATAAGATTAAAAATAAATACTTTGATATGTGAAGAAAGCAGATATTAATCCACTCTAAGGAATGAATAATGGAATCAATATCAGCAAACCAGTTTTACTATAATTAAACCAGTTAACCTTTTACCTTGCGAACCACCAAGACATCATGATTGAGACATTCCACAAAAAAATTTATGGCTCTTACAGGTAGCACTCTGTCATCCCTTAAAAGTAGGGAGAGAAAACCAATGCCAATGTGCTCAAACTTCCAAGGGCTGGAAGGAAGAAAAAGGATTCCAAATTATACAAAATAAAAACTAGAAGGCATAACTTTTAAATCTAGCACTAAATTTTCACTGAACTTGGTGAGGAGTGGAATATGGTATGATCCTGGGATGGGCAATTCACTGCCTGGGAGATGCCATAAACACCCAAAATTCAGCAACAAAATGGCACCGTATTTGCAGCACCATGTTTTTTGTTTTACTTTTGTTCTCAAAAATGATCACAGGAAACAGAGGGGTTTTGGAGTCAAATCACTTTCTTGTCCATCTTTAATACTATTCTATCTTGCCTAGCATAAAACCATACTGCAGAAATTTAGCCATTTTGCAACAGAATATAAGCAGTATAATATAACTTATTTTTCAGGGCATGGGTGGGGGTTTAAAAACAAACATGGTTCGTTTCCAAAATGCTTTCTGCTCTTATTGTTATTAATACATTCTTTCTCCATAAAGCCCTTCAAAATTGGCCCTGTCCTTTTCAATGATGTCATCTCATCCCTGGAAAGCTTCTTGCAGTCACAAAGCTAAATGGTGACTACCGATTTCTCAATGGTTGCCAACTCACAGCCCAGAAAAAAAAGCACATGAACCACATTTTGAGAAAGATATTCTCATACTTACAGATTTCTTTGATTCACACAATCCAGAAGCTTATTTACCAAATTTTCATAATTTCTGTAAATGAAAAAGAACATTTATGTATTAACATATCTCAGCAAAAGACAGGATATCATCTGTGGGCCAGTGCATATAGAATGCAAGTCTTTATAGCAATCAGCAGACAGGAGAAATTTCTCTAAAAATGCTGTACATGGAGCATTTCAAATGAACATCATTTGTTTGAAGAGATTTATAATCATGTTGCATTTTAACAATCATGTTAGGCAAAAAGGTAATAATTGGATTTTCTCCTATTCAAAAAAAGTTTTAAAAACCTTACTGTTACAAATGACTTTGATTTCACATATAAAAAATGAAATTGTTGGAGAGTTTACACTTACTGAGAGGACTCGGCATTCCTTTCTTTCTGTCGCTGAATTCCCAGCTCAATCTCTTCTGAACTAAGGCTTGTACATTCACTGTTTTGACCCAGTGACTTCTGCATGAGGACTGCAACTTTAGTACATGTCTCTGGGACCTGGAGAAGTAGGGAGACATAAAGAAAGATTCTGATACAACAAGTGATTATTCCCAGGGAAGGATACATTTACAAAATGTACACTGTTACAAAAATTCAAAAGCATCACAAAATAGTATACCAATGTAGTGTATTTACACTTTTACTTTCTGCGCTTATTGTTATTGATAAATTATTTCTCCACAAAGCCCTTCAAAATTGATCCTGTCCTTTTCAATTATGTCATCTCATCCCTTTCAATATTCTAAAACATAGACACAGTCAAGAGTATCAGTACCCTTCTATTTCCCCCATCCCAATTTGCTGAGTGATTGTTTATGGGAGCAAAGGCACTTATGATAAAACTGAAGCAAAATGTCTGCTTGAGTTAGCACCAAAATCCAATTAACATATTTTAACTGCTAATGGTTACCAATAATTATGTCCATGCCATTTTCATTTGTTCTATTTACAAAAATAAAAACAAATATAAATAACCAAAGCAAAATGCTTACTCTATGAACTATGGGATACAAAATGGTGGATGCCATTTATTTGTGTCAGTTTCAATTTATTTCAGAGAAAATTGGGATTCTTTGGGAAAAAGTATAGGCAGTCAACAACTTATGACCACAATGGAGCCTATCCATTGTAAGTTGTGATGGTCGTAATGCAGGTCACCCATGCAACCAGTCTGATTTTATGAGCTTTTTTGCAGTGATCGTTAAGCAAACCCATTCTTTGCTATGGGGTGGCTTTGTCGAAAACTAGAAATAAATATTGAAAAAAACATTGTAAATTGTGGTCATATGACAATGAGATGCTGCAAACAGCCAGTTGCAAAGTGCCCAAAATGTAATTACTGACTACAGGGGGTGGGGGTTGACTGTCAGAACTTCAGAACCAGGTTCTAAGTACCTCTAGGGGGGTCCATCGCAACTTCGAACAGTTGCTAAGTGACTAGTCATAAGTTGAGAACTACCTTTGGAGGGATATCAATACTTTTTGTCACATCTGTATTTGGCCTTTTTCATACATTATTTTGGTGTCATGGTAATTCAGAAAAGGTACAACTTGGATGAGGCCAGAGCAGATAATTTATGAAAAGCAACTACTTTTTTTTTTCTTTTAACGACCCTGTAATCCCTTGCACTGGGGTGGAGTACGGGCAACTGAATGGAGCTGACCATTTACTGGCCAGATGCCTTTCCTGATGTCTACGAGGAGCTCATGGCAGATATTTTTTCTTTGCTCCCAGAGAGAGAAATATCTGCCACTACTTAGGTTCGAACTCACAGCCTCCTGATTGTGAGGGGAGAGCTCCAACTCTAGGCCATCAAGCTGCTCGATAAAAGATAACTGCTATTAATACTGTCATATTGTTTTAGACTTATATTATTTCCAAGTATGTGGAAATTCTAGTATCCCAATTCTTTATCATACTAAAATTTTTACATTCTAGTTTATAATCAGATTGCCAACTGTATCATCTCAAGTAAGAGCTAATGCAAAACTCACTGGCACTGGCATCTACTTCCCCATCTTCCTGTACAAGACATATAGACTTAGTGCTAGATCCCCAGCTATCATCCAAATTTAAGCAACATATTTATATTTATCAATGCCAGAGCATACCAAAACCATCAAATCAAACTGGCTGGACAGATACTAAATGGTCCCTAAGTAACCAGGTTCCTAAACAATTGTAAGGGATGTAATTATTTCACACTCACAGTAAAATCCAGTCCTATTGTTTCATACTGCCGATGGATTTTCTCTGCAAGGTCATCAAAGAGTCTAACTATGGATGGCTTTTCCAGAGACATTGCTTTGCTAAGTCCAGAAGAGACAATTGCAGGCCAGGTTTGGACAATGCAGTCCCAATCATGAAGATTTGCCAGACATACTCCACTATGATTTCCAAGAAGGCAATACAAGGCACCCTAGGGAAAATAAATTTTAGAAAGAATTATTGACGTACGCTTGGAATTCTTCTCCAATTACAGTAGTCTATTATCTCTTTGTTTATAATAATAGTCTGTGAAACATAAAATTAAGTTATTTATACAGTGGTTCTACTCAGAATCTAAAATTTTCAATTACTACATTCTTTAAACAAGTAATCAAGCATCTCAGTCTACTGATTTAACAACTAACAACAAAAGCAGATCTATTTTATGGTATTTTAGAACAGAGATTTTCAATACTTGCATGTGCCAGAATTTTCATTAACTCCATCCAGCAAGAGTGCCTGCTGCTTCTCTCTCCCAAACAGTATGTTTCTTTTTAACTGCTAAAATCTCACATATTGCCAGATTTTAAAAGATCACAATAATTTTGTAAAATCTCACAGAATGTTATGAAGATAATGATATATTTCCAGGCATGGGGTTTGATTTGCAGCAGATTGAGGTTTTTCATCATGGTTGTTATTATATGTATTCTGGTTTATGTATTAGTATTATGCTTTAAATTGTTGTTAGTCTGCCAGACCAGATGAGGTAAGATGGATGCCATATGAATCACACTGACAAATAACATGATGATAACTGAAAGCCAAAAAAACTTATTTTGCTTCATAAAGCTGTCCAGAGTCAGCGTTTCAACTGTCAATAAAATATGTCAATTAAAAATAAATCACCCATATTGTATTAAAAGTATTAAAATTTACACTTTCGAAATCTTTAAAAAACTTATCAGAAGAATTGAAAAGGAAACAAGTCTTAGATCTACTAATCTTAATATCTGTTTTTCATATAATCCTGTTATTTACAGAATATATAACATTCAAAATTAAATTTTATCAGCTTAATTAAGGTCTCCTGAATCAGCAGTGGTAACTGTTTCCTGACCAGACAACTGCAGATGTTATTGGAAGGAGAGGATTTTAATTTTTTAAAACTTTTTTCTCTTGTAAGGCTACTGTGAGGCAAGGGTGCAATGGGGCCTCTAGGAAATAAACCCCATTCCTATGTCCACCCAAAGTCTGAAAAACAACCTGAAATCACGCCACCAAAATCATGACTGCAAAATGGCTGGATTACAGCAACATTCTTTCACACAATGAGGAAGGAGGAGAAATTATCATCCACAGACTTCGCAATTTCGTTTGCACTCTTACTTTGAGAGGCATAAATATTACACCAAAAATAGGTCATATGGGCAATGAATTTTGCCAATTTATTCTGGAACTCTAAGGGGATAAAAATAGTCTCTTTGGCTGAAGATTACAACTCCTCCATCAATGGCCATAAAGAAAATTGATAAATTCCTTACTTTAAATTGCTGCTGGGTGACACTGTACCCATCTGGCCTCAAAAACTCCAAAACCAAAGGAATGATGTCTCTGCAACAAAAGTTGTAAGTCCCCAAAGCTGTGAAAAAGGCTTGTTGAGCTTTGTTCCTCACCTAGGGCAAAAACACCATAGAAATTTATACAAAAGCTAAACAGAGGACAAATAAGCTTTACTTTATATAGCGATTGGTTCTGAACAGTCTTATAATCTAAAAAAGCACCTATGCATTGTATATAATTTTCTTATAAGGCACCAAAACAACTTTTGTGAAATATGTTTAAAAAAATAAGAATCTTGTTCTGCATCTGCTTGTTTTTTGGTCTGATTCTTAATATTAGAAGGAATACATTCTGCATGGAATTCAATTTTGAGGCAACTCTAAATTGTAAATCACCTGGACAGACCTTAAGAATTTTATTGGCTTGCTTCTGTGAGTAGAAACCCACAACTGATGAGTAGAAAATGAATTCTAAAAAATGTGTGTTGCTGCTACAGATTAGAGCTATGTTAGTTGGTCCACAGACCTCTCTACCCAGCTTTTTCTGAACTATTCAAGTCAGTATTGTCTTATCTCCACAGAGATAAGTGGTGCGGTGGTTAGAATGCAGTATTGCAGGCTAACTATGCCCACAGCCTGCAGTTTGATCCCAACAGGCTCAAGGATGACTCAGACTTCCATTCTTTAGAGCAGTGGTTCTTAACTTTTTTGAACAAATCGCCCCCTTGAGCCAATGAATAAGTTGTCATCGCCCCCCTCCCCCAATATAACCTCTCAATCACAACATAGGAAATCATTCTTCAATTTATGCAAACACTTTTTTTTTGTTTTCTTTAAAATTGTCATCAGGACATATTGATGCAAATAGTTTATTTCCAGTCTTTCTCCCATATCTTGAGTGAAAAATTTTGGTACCACCTGGCACTTTATTCCCAAACTTCGTGATACATGTATTTCATTATTATCTTATTTATTCAAGACACTTAAATGTAATCACCACTGAAAACAAAATTCAATTGTAAGAAAGTGAAATGTCCAAAAAGAAAAACACAATTCAATCCACTAATAGCGAGCGATCTGATGTTTTTGTACGACAGATATACAGTGATTCACTGTACAAAAAAGTGTCCCCAAAACTTCTCGCTCCATCGCCCCCATATCGCCCCCTTTTCGTTCCTTCGCCCCCACATCACCCCTTTTCATTCCATCGCCCCGCTGAAAAACAAAATCGTCCCCTGGGGGACAATATCGCCCAGGTTAAGAACCACTGCTTTAGAGGTTAGTAAAATGAGGACCCAGATTGTTGGGGGCAATATGGTGATGTTGTAAACAGCTCAACGAGTGCTGTAAAGTATATAATAAGTCTAAGTGCTATTGCTATTGCTATTAACCCCTCCAGGCACCCACCAGTGGCAGTTAGAATTATAGCTGCTGCATAGGTTGAAAGTAATTACATGGCAGGATATTGTGAGGCACTATGGCATAACCAAATGTCATTGAGGAAATGTTAACAAGCTCTTAAAATAAAGATGTACAAGTAGTCCTCAACTTAAAACCACAGCTGAGCCCAAAATTTCTGTTATTAAGCAAAACATTTGTTAAGTGAATTTTGCCTCACTTTACGACCTACCCTGCTATATTTGCTAAGTGAATCACTGCAATTATTACGTTACTAACGGGATTGTTAAGTGAATTGGGCTTCCCCATTGACTTTGCTTGTAAGAAGGTCACAAAAAATGACCCTGGGACATTGTAACCATTATAAATATGAACCAGTTGCCAAGGATCCAAATTTTGATGACGTGACCATGGGGATGCCTCAATGGTCATAAGTGTGAAAAACACTCACAAGTCACTTTTTACAGTACTGTTGTAACTTTGAATTGTCACTAAATGAATTGTTGTAAGTCGAGAATTACTTATGCAGGATAACATCCCAAAGATTAAAGCTGACACAGAAAGAGTTCTCAGAAATTTCAAATGAACTGTGGAATAGCACTCCATTCCTTGCAAATATCTTTTTCAAAACTCTGCCATTAATATTCTGCTTGTATGAAATGAGAGGGGGCATATGGCTTACCTGGCCATATGAACTTGTAGATAAACGAAGAAGGTCCCTGATCAAGTTCTGATGTACTTTTTTATATTCACAGCCTTCAACAGTGAGTGTTCTGAGCTAAAGAAAAAGGAACAAATTAGATTTTTTTTATTTTATAAATGAAAGTTATAGATACTACATATTCAGAGCAGCCCACATACAGTGGTTAAAAAAGACATATATTTACCTCGTGCTGCAACATGACTCTGTCAATAAGCAGTGCTCTAATATGCTGTTTCTTGCCTTGAAGCTGCAAATAGACAAATCAATTATTTTTATGTGGAAAAACTTTATTCAGTGCTACCTGTGATTCCTTTTATTTTATTTCATTAACTATGAACATTAACTCCCCCTAGATTCCTTAAAGTCTTATTCATGTAAATATATTACATAATAAATACTAACCCTATTCTCCATTGATTTCTTCACCAAGTTAAAACTTTTCCACCGTGAATCAAATTCATGCTTATGTGAACCTTGGAAATGTAAGAGGTCCCCAATAATCTGTAGAATAAGAATTTGAGTTTTACAAAAAAAGCCATCCATCCAACTTAATGTTTTAGAAATTACACTAGAAATTGCAACTATACCTTAATGATTAGGAACAAAGACTTAGTATCATCCTCCGAGTTGTCAAGTACAAAGTCTATCACAATAAAGAAAAAAATAGTTAAATAAAGCAATATAAATTAATTGTTTGTAGTTAAAGCATTCTTGTCATATTGATGGCAAGCTGCCAAGAAACAATAATACACTTTCCTACTGTTTTTAGTAGGAAAAAAGGACAGTCTTCATCCTTCATCCATCACATAAAAAAATCTAGTCTCCCAACCCAAAATAAAAGACTCTAGGAAGCTCCATCCACTGTCCCACATTCCACCCTACCAAGTGTGACCTGAGATCCATTAAAAAAAAAAAACTATTGAATCTCAAGAAATAAAAATCAAACAACCTTAATTCATTTAAACTGAAGAAGAAAGTATTTTGCTTCATATCTGATTTACCATCTGGATTTGTATAAGTCTTTTGAATTACTGTACAAATTCAGTGAAAATGAGAGCAAATGGAATAACTAAAAGAACACTTACGTAGGAGTTTTCTTGTCACTTTGCAGATTCTTTCCCTGTAATTCTCTTTCGACAAATCTAAACAAGTAAGACCATTCATTATTATAAAGTTTATAAATTACAATGTGTAGCAAGGACATGTCAAAAAGTGCAGAAACATAAAAATAAAAACAAAGGAATAGGTTTCTCTCCAGCATAGCTGTGCAAGTATGTGAAAAGATTTGCATGGACCCTACACACATATAATTGCATACTTAAGATATGCATGCACCCATAAGGCTTGTATATAATCCAAAACATCCTTGTTTTATTTCAGAGATATGTTTGAGGGTTTTGCACAGTATCTTAGCTGTTCTTATTTCTGCACTCCTCTGGACAAAGAGCTCTGATATTATTCCTAAGATCTGTTGGAGATACTCTCCCAGCTTAGGAGTCATAATCTCAAGTGCTTCTTACCACCACTGGGGACACCTTGGTCTTTACATGCCTCTAGTTCCCCTTTCAAGTCCTGGTAGTTCTCCAGCTTCTCATTATTGCTCATCCTGATGTTGCAATCACTGTGCACTGCTAGATCTAGCACTACTGCTGTCTTCTGTCCTTGCCTACAACCATGAATTCTGGTTGATTGGCTAGTATCTGCCTGTCTGTCTGGATCAGGAAGTCCCACAGGATTTTAACCTTCTTATTCTCCACAACCTTCTGTGGAATCTTCCATCAGGACATGGGAGGGTTTAGCCCATATACTTTACAAATGTTCCTGTACACAATCCCAGCCACTTGGTTGTGCTGTTCAGTGTATTCTGTTCCTGCCTGCATCTTACACCTTGGCACTACATGTTGTACTGTCTCTGAGGCCTCTGTGCATAGTCTGCACTGTGGGGTCCTGCCTAATATGATAGATTCCTGCTTCTATAGATCTAGTGCTTAATCCCTGTTTTTGTGTAGCCATGATCATTGCCACAGTGTTGCCTTTTAGGTCAGCCTTTTTCAGTCACTGGTGGTATTTCCCATTGCATGTCACCTCAGCTATCTGACAGTGGAACATCCTGTGCACAGTACTATCTTGCCATGGCACTTCACTGCTTGAACTTTCTCCCATGTCTGTTGCTGCTGCCTCAGGCATTCTCTCAGTAGGTCATCTTTGGGTGCCATTTTACTGATGTACTCCTAGATCAGTGGTTCTCAACCTGTGGGTCGGGACCCCATTTGGGGTCGAACGACCATTTCACGGGGGTCACCAAACAAGGCTGTCCGCCATTTTTTCCCCCTTTTCTTTGGCAACGCCCCTGGCACCCGGTGATGTATAAGTGGTTGGGGGTCACCACAACATGGGGAACTGTATTATGGGGTCGTGGCATTAGAAAGGTTGAGAACCACTGTCCTAGATGTTCTGTGTTTTGTCCAGAGCAGGAGCTTTGACACTCAGAGGACCCTGTCCAATCTCTTTCTGACTAGTCCCTGGGTATTGGACTTGGGATGGAAACCTCTGCACATTGTAAGGAACTTCTTCACATTGACAGCTTTCATGTTCCTGCTTTGGCCAGCTCATATGCAGTATATATTTTTCATATTTTATCTTTAGTTTTTATTGATTTTATTGTATTGAATTTCATTGTTGATTGTTGTTAGCTGCCCAGAGTTGTTGAGTCTGGTAGCTTGCAATATTAAACTCAGCAAAATTATTAAATTATTATTACTATCATCATCTTTTTCCCTTAAAGATTCACAGAAAAAAAACATAAATAAGAAGTTAGTTACTTTCTTTCAATAAGAGATCAGCGATGTCATGAATTAAGTAACAGCAACTTTTTTCCACTATTTATGAATGGCATTAACTTACCATATTCAACACCGGTATAAAGTTTGATCTCTTCCAATGATACTAGACTTGGAACCCTGCATGATATATAATACATACATATTCTTTAAACAGAAATCTTGATGCAGTGAATTTAATTTCATAAAACAGCAATTACTGTTATAATTCCTAAAGATTAAGAGTTATAATTATATATCTTTTAATTTCTATTTTTTCTACATTTTGAGGAAAATGAAGACAGAATTTCAAAAACAATGAAGCTGTATAACTTCTTGATTACTATTGTACTTAGGATTGCTAACAACAAGTGATATTGTGTGGGCTTTAAAATTATAACCAGAACCGAACCTGATCATTACTTGGATGGGAGATCATCAGGGAATTTTAAGGTCATTGGAAAAGATTGGAAAGTCAAAAAAACAAACAAACAACCATCTAATTTATGGTATGTTTTTATTATGTACAATATCAGATGAATAATTCTCAATGCATATTTTAAGAATCCTAAGTGAGGCACAAAACAATTTCTGATGTTTTTATCTAAATAGTTCCATTTATCATCTACATAAAGCAAATTTTACTTACATGTGAGCCACTTTTTCTCCTTTCAGAGATGGCAACATGTTTCCAGATCCAATAAGGCAATTGTGTACTATAGTAAGACATTGCTGAACATCATCTCTGAAAATAAATGTTAAATATGCTTTATTAAAAAGCACTCAAAAGAACTTTTAAAACTGACCTCTATAACAATATTAGAAAAAAATCCTATTAAATCGTCATGCTGAATTATTTTATCAGGCGGTTCAAACAAGCCACTATTTCAGAGGCCAAATCATTAAACAGTCACATAACGCATTTACCAGCAGTTAACTAAATAAAAACAATCAAACCTATTTGACTGACTGATTGCACTGAATAATAAACATTTATCTTTCTGTCTATATTATACTATCACCTCTAGAAATTCTGACCATCATTAAAAACTTTTTTTCCAATATTGGAAATGACAGAGGAGATGAAGTTATGGAGAAAAACTAAAGATCATTTTGCAGAACCACAAGCTGAGCCTCAAACTTTAAAAGATCAATCTATAGGCCAAGAAGAAGCCTATATGCAACAGTATACACAATCTGAGATGGAAGAAGAAGTTACTGATCAGTTGAGTTCTGGACTGGATTATGAGCTGATACTGGAAAAAATATTGGAAATGACAGAGGAGATGAAGTCATGGAGAAAAACTAAAGACCATCTTCTAGAATCACAAGTTGAGTCCCAAATTTTAAAAGATCAATCTACAGGCCAAGAAGAAGCTTATATGCAACAGTGTACATAATTCGAGATGGAAGAACTTACTGACCAATTGAACTTTAGAAAAATTCTGGACCCAAAACCTCAGACTGAGACTTTAAATAATTATTCTATAAATCAACTGACTACTACAGAGGAGGATATTTCACAAGCCTATGTACAAATGGAGAACTTTGAAGATCAAAAAATGACTATAATTGAAATTCTCCCATTGCCAAAATTAATTGACAGCCAGATGCGATCGATTGAAAGTTACGACAACCTGGATAACCAAGCTGAAATTATAATATGGAATAAAATGGACTATATTGTTTATATGATACTGGAAGAAGAGGAAGAGAATTTTGATCAGATTGATTTGTTGATAAACATTAATACTCAAATACTGAGACTTGATGACATAGATGCGACATTACGGAAACCAGCTTGGTATAGAAAAAAAGGCAGAGTTAGATTTAAAAATGTGATTTAAAATCTTAATTATTGGGTCAAAAAGGCTTTAGAAATTTGGACTGATTTGACAATCTAATTGAGTAAATGAAGGCAGTAAGATAATAACTGGTGTAATAATATGTTTGTTTTAGATATGATAGTTAATTTGGTTGAGAGTTAAATTTTACTTAACAGGCTGAAATGATTTTGTGTGTGTGTGTGTGTTTTACTCTGTTTATATAGAAAACTATTTTGTAATAGCAGAACAATTAGAGAGATCTATGACAAGAGAAGAAAGGGTATTAATTAATGAAGTATTAAATTAAGAGATGGAATATATGTGAAAATATTAGAATGTTATTCTTGGAATATTATGTGTGTTGTAGAAGGGATACCCAAAATTTTATTAATATGTTTATTTAAGATTAATTGGAATATTTTATTTGAAATTAGTGGAGCTTAAAAGCAGGAGTGATTTATGTAGATGTAATAGTAGGGATGCTTCCATGGATTGATTGAATTTTAAGAAGAAATAGATTAAACTAAATTTGTTATATCATGTGAGGAAATAGAGGGGGGATTTTTTTTCTTCTTTTTTTAAGGTATTAATTTTAGTTTTTTATATATATGACTTGTTTTGCTATGATTGATCACCCTTTCACCACAGTGTTTTCCTGAGCACTTTGATGTTAAAATTTAAAAAACCAATAAAATGTGTATTTAAAAAAATAACTTTTTTTTCCTGCTTGAGCAGGGAGTTGGACTAGAAGAGCTCCAAGGTCCCTTCCAACTCTGTTATTCTGTTAAAACTGACATCTATAAAAGTAATAAAAATTACAATATAAAATTTAAAGTACACCTACATAAACACAGAGAACATTAGATAAATACTCCAAAGCCATAGGGGAACAATATTAAATTGTCAATCCCTGGAATAGAAAGTTTTAACAGCCTTCCTAAAAAGCAACAGAGGAAGAATAATTTGAGCTTCCAGGGGAATGCTTTTTGGCAGAAGGGTAGCAATTCAGAATGTTAATTTCCGTGAACCCTGCTGATGACATTTGCTCAAAAACGTTTATGGAGAAACCATGCACTACCATATCTAATTGGAAAGACAAAAACAATTGGGAATAGGCAGTCCCATATATATACTCAGGTTTTGCCCCTATGCTCATGTGTGACTTCATCCAATGTCTTCAGTAAATGTCAAATTCAAGTAGAAGAAAGATTGAGTTTTGTGATGCCATAAAATGGAGGAACATACTATAAGACACAATAGCACCCCTAAAGCACAGTTGTTAAGTGAATCTAGCTTCCCCATTGACTTTCCTTGTCAGAAAGTTGCAAAAGGTCATTGCTGATACTGCAATTGGCATAAATATGAGTCAGTTGCCAATGTCTGAATTTTGATCATGTAACCATGGGGATGTTGCAACAGTTGTGTGAAAAATAAGTCACTTTTTTCAGTGCCTTTGTAACTTCACATGGTCACTAAATGAACTGTTGGTAAATTGAGGATTATGTGTAATATATTTTTCCCAGGTTGTATGCAATTCAGCTCCACCACATTTCCAAAAACCTTCCCTCAAACAGGAAGATGGTTGAAGATTGGCCAATAATTATCCACAATTTCTGGGTCAAGTAGTTTTCTGAAAAGGGGCTATACCACCATGTATTTCAAGTCAATAGGGATCAAGTTCTCTCTCAAGAATATATCTAATAAGTCCCTGTCTCAAATCCTAGCACCTTCCTGGAAGTTTTTATCAACCAGGAATGACATGGATCCACAGCACAACCTCACAAAGAATCCTCTCCACTTTTTCAGGACTCATCCCAGATAACTCTGTAAAACATAATTTTAGCCATCTCATCAGGTTCAGCAATCCTTCAAATGCCTAAAAAATTCCTCATAATAACCAAAGAAACATTCTAGATCAGTGGTTCTCAACCTGTGGGTCGGGACCCCATTTGGGGTCGAATGACCATTTCACGGGGGTCGCCAAACAACGCAGTCCGCCATTTTTTCCCCTTTTCCTTAGCTGTGCTACTCCCTTTTATTCTATTGGCTTTTGAAAGCCAATAGAATAGACTCTCTTGAATAGAGTCTAATTCTATTGGCTTTCAAAAGCCAATAGGAATTGTCCAGGCTGTCTCTGCCTGCTGAGCCTGCCAAAAGTCCCATTCTGCAAATGGTGCTGCACCAGTTGAGTAGTCCTCGACTTACGACCGGTTGAGTAGTCCTTGACTTATGACCGGTTGAGGGTCGCAGCATTAAAAAGGTTGAGAACCACTGTTCTAGATCATCCTTTGGCTAATAAGGCCTGTCATTATAAAAATATTCTCTGGCCAGCAATCTGGGATTTCAATAAAAATTAAGAAATACCATTCTTTCATAACTCTTATTGCTACTGTAGAGGCTCAAAATGAGATATTATCTGTGTTTGGTCTGATTTATTTTTTCTATTTCACAGTGAAACTCTTGCTGACTCCCGATTCCTTTCATCTTCTGGAGCTACTCAATAAGCCAAGAAGTTCCCCTGGATTGGAGAACTGGGAAAGATTATTCAGGCACAATCTCAATCCAAGTTCGTAACAAATCACTACTTTGTGTTTTATTGTTGTTGAGTATGTTTTGTGTGTACATGTGTGTTAAGGGTTGCTTTAACTGCATTTTTGTTATCTGAATTGTAATTAACTACAATGAGTTTGACAGAAGGTTACCCCTTAAGACCATTTGAATGATGTATTTGATTCAGCATGTAGCAACCTAGATAGAAACAGTATTCTAAGATATACCAACAGTATATGGGAGCTGCAATTGTTGCCAGTTACTCTCCAGATGCAGTTTCACATTGGTTGTCACTTTTAAATCCTGCATGATTCAAGGTCTAGATCAGTGGTTCTCAACCTTTCTAATGCCGCGACCCCATAATACAGTTCCCCATGTTGTGGTGACCCCGAACCACTTATACATCACTGGGTGCCAAGGGCATGGCCAAAGAAAAGGGGGAAAAAAATGGCGGACAGCCTTGTTTGGCGACCCCCATGAAATGGTCGTTCGACCCCAAATGGGGTCCCGACCCACAGGTTGAGAACCACTGGCCTAGATAATTCTGTTACTGCTTGTTCTGGGTTGTCTCTACCTGTATAATGAAACAAGGCTTGCTGAGAGGGTCCTCCTACTGAGGAAATGTCATTTGTAAGGACCTCACTGTTGAGCCTTTTCAGTGAAGCCTTTCTCCCCCTTCCAGTCTATGGAACAGTCTACATTAAATACTGGGACCATACCTCTTTATTATGTTTTTGAAAGGCTGTAAAAATGTAGCTCTTCAAAATGACTTTTGAGAGTACAGGTAGTCCTTAGTTAACAACAGTAACTGGGACCAGGAACTCTGTTGCTAAGCAATATGGTCATTAACTGAAATATCAAATGATTGTGCTGACTAACAATGTCAGTTTTGGCAGTTCTAGTTGTGGTTGTTAGGCAAATTCTGTGCAGTCATTAGGTGCAATGTTATGTGATCACCATTTGCACTTTCCTGATGGTTTCCCCACTGACTTTGCTTGTCGGAAGCCAGCAATGAAGGTCACAAATGGCAGTCACGTGATTGTGGGGTGCTGCAATGTTTGCAATTGCAAGCCAGTTACCAAGTGCCTAAATTACAATCATATGACCATGGGATGCTGCAGTAGCCACAATTTCCAAGGACTGACTGTAAGTTACCACTGTAACTTTCAAAGTCACTGAACAAACCTTAACCAAGGATTAATCGAAGGAAAACTATACTATAACATTAACTAGTACTTATTATTTATATTATTAAACATATTCCTATGCAACCATAATCAAAATGAGTCTTAGCAGCTCACACTTAATATATGTGTTTTAACTTTTTCTTTCTGTTCACGCTGTTGTGGTTTATTGTTAGCTATCTATTATTGAATAGCATCTACGGTATATCAGAAAATAAATAAGAAAACCATAAAATAAAGCAAATCTTTCTGATAATGCGTTCTTCATATACAAATATTCTAAATAAATAAACAGATATGTAATGTACCCCTGATTCTTCTACTTGAGTAAATCTCATCAGTTTACCCAGGAATTTAGTTATATTCATTTACTTAAACTTGAAAAAACAGTTCAGTCAGTAATGAATCTATCTAACCTGGACATTTCAAGATTTCCATCTGAATATCGCTCCAGTTTGTCAACCTCCGGCTGAAGAAAAGTATCCAACAATTCAAAAGAAAAAGCAATTTCTTCGGCTGAAGGAACGTGCCACTGAATATCAAGTTTCTGTAGATCACCAGGTTTACCCCAATCCTGTAAAAACAACACAAGGGTGTGCATTCTGCCTTTAGTGAAATTAGAAAATAACTATAAGTCCCAACATTTAACAATGGATATTTTTTATTATTCCAGACAAAAGGATCTTAAACACTTGACTTGGCAAGAGATGAATTAAAAGAATGTTAATACTCAGTTAATAGTAACCTATTCAGGTCACCAGTTCAACTTTTTTTTTAAAGCGTTAAATTTATGGAGTTGTTTTTTTTACAAACTACACTTCTTTTTTAACTTAGGTTGAAATGTTATAGTATAAAAAGCAAAATAAAATTAAATAAATCTAGAGAAGTTCCAACGATATAACTATGCAAGGGACAGAAAGAGTTTCATGATAGAAAGAGCCACTTAGAAAAGTTCTCTTCAAATTCATTAAGCAAAAGAAGGCACATGAACTCAGATGGAATGGGTAGAGAATCATATGTTAGTTAAACACACTGGTTGCATTCCACTCATTGCTTCTGAGGTCAAGACCAGCAGTTCCACTTATGCTTGGAAAAGTAATCAGAGTAACATAGTTCTTAAGTAGGCCACAAAAAAGGTAGCTATAAATAGCAACCATAGAACTTGATAGATGGTACTCTAAGTCAGTGTTTCTCAACCTTGACAATTTTAAGGCATGTGGACTTCAACTCCCAGAATTCCACAGCCAGTGGAATTCTGGGAGTTGAAGTCCACATGCCTTAAAATTGTCAAGGTTGAGAAACACTGCTGTAAGTGCCCATTTCAAGTTTATCCAAAATGATATGCAAACAACAGGATTTTAAATTCATGTTTTCTAATCTATTCTTCTCTTCTATAGAAACTTGAACTTGGACTTTCTCCTGCCTCAGGCAATCTGTTCCCAAAAAATAGAATATATCCATTTCTTCATTAGTCAGCATTCTGAGTATTTCTTTTCTTTACTCACATGATACATACTGTAAAATTTAGCATATTAATTCTTGCATAACAGTAATATTTAGCAAAATCCATTTTTATGATGTTACAATATGAATTATTTGGATTTTTAAAACTATATTTTCTGATCGTATCTAATGAATTCTTCCCACTGAAAACAGTTTCCTTCAGTGTATGTTCATCTCTGCCATGCCTATAATCAGATTACTACTTGATCATTTGCTACTTTAAGACAGAAATAAATATAAACAAGGAGGTATGGAAAATACATGTTACATGTTTTGAAAAGATAAAGTGAGACTCTCAGTTTTCAGTTTCCTTTTTAAGCAGTCTGAGATATCACTATTATAACTATTTAGTTACATCTTGCCACTACCTGCACACATAGGGAAATTTCTTTGTTTGAACTTCCAAATAAAGTTAAGAACAAGGCAATTTCATTTAAACATTAATGTCTGGAAGGAAAGATCAGGTCCACAAGTGAAGGTCCAATTAAACTGATTTATTGCTACTCATGTCCATGCATAGTTAGCACCTTCTAGGAGTTAGATAAGGGTCAAGAGAATTCAAAGGGGGTGGACTTGGTTCACATACGGCTATGTTGAGATTCTAGGTTGAACCCTCCCTCTTTTAATTTCACCTTCAGGTTCTGCTACTTCTTTCTCTACAACTACTTTTTTTATTATATATCATCTTGCCTTTTAGTATTTTATATTTTAAACTATAAAAATATAACATGTATTACATACTGTATGTCTTTAGTACCGTATTCGTTAATTATATTTGTGTTTCTGTAGCTATATAGCAACCTGACTAAGACCATTCCTCATGTTACAGAATTAACAGGTTTATTGTATAGACTAATTTATCCTGTAATATGTTAAAATATCTTGTAAAAATAAAATGGAGAAATACTACCTATGAAATAAGGAATATCTCAATTGTATTATTTAGTAGGATAGGGAATCTTACTAGAAAAAATATAAACCTAACGATTGCATGACATGTTAAGCTAGTTTACCTACAATGTATTTAATTCTGATACCATTTCAAGATGGTATCTGCTAGCATCCAACTAAAAAAATAAAATAATACATTGATGATAAAATCAACATTATATGTATTTAGTCTTAAAGCATCTTTCACTTACAATTTCCATAGCCTTTGAGCTGGAAAAATCATTGGGGAAATACAACAGAGTAATTATTTATTACTTTTATTTTGAAAAATGCAGTCAAATTCTCTAATCCTAAGTAAGTTAAAATCCTTGCCTTGATAGGAAAGTATTCAGAAAGAGGCTTGTCAAAACCACCTGGTACACTGCAGTATTCTGTGGGGTAGATAAGCGTAGTAGACCGAAGAAGATGGTGCAGTAGGTTACAAGACAGAATGTAACCCTGCTTACAGGTTAAATGGAGTGTTCGTTGTAGAATCTTCAAAAGCTGTTCCCTGTATGGTAGCAACTTCTTCCCATCCACACGAGTGATCTAACAAAAGTCATAATATTAGAAACAAATACAAACAGAATTTATGTGAATGTATAGTTCAGATCATTTGCCAGCTTTACAGTTAGCTTCCAACCACAGAGTCAATGGAGATTAATAAGGATAATGTGAAGAAGGCTCAGAATATGCTCAGGCTTGCAATGGATGCCAAAAATAAGGAAAACTGTTCTCTGGATATGTGCGAAACAAGGAAAAATCAAGAAAGGAGAAGAGGGCAAGATGGAAAAAGTGGCCAACCTGTCAAATGCCAAACCATTGGGAGGGGGAGTCAAAAGAGAAATGAAGGTCAAAAAGAAAGAGTGCAAAAAAAAAAAAAAAGCAGCAAAGATGATGAATGGCTTGAAGGCTGAATCCCATGAAGAACAGCTAAATAAACTGTGTCTAGCCAAATAAGAGAGGGAGATAAGAATACTCTTCCAATACTTGAAGGACTATTTTCAGGAAAGAGGGTATGGATTTGTTTTCCATAATTCCTAAATGCAGGACAAAACCCCAAAACATAGATTTTAGGAAAATCCAAAATGAAAATAAAGAAAGGAATTTTCTCAACATTAAAGCTATTAAGCAGTGGCATAGCAGTGGCATAATCATGGGTGCGCTGTCGTTGGAGGCTTTCAAGCAAAGATTGGGCATTTGTTTTAGATCAGTGATTCTCAACCTTTCTAATGCCGTGACCCCATAATACAGTTCCCCATGTTGTGGTGACCCCCAAGTGGGTGTGGCCATCAATAAGAGGGAGTAGGACAGCTAGGGAAAAGGGAAAAAATGGCGGACAGCATGGTTTGGCGACCCCCGTGAAATGGTCATTCGACCCCAAATGGGGTCCCGACCCACAGGTTGAGAACCACTGTTTTAGATGATATCAGGATTCATGTCCTGGAAATGACTGCACTTGAAGAACTCCAAGATCCATTTCAACATTATGATTCTATGAATTAATTCCCAAGTAGGGACACACATACACACTTGAGAACAACACTTCTATTTTTCACTAATAGTTTTAGAACTTCAAGCTGTTATATTTCCTCTCTCAAATCAGATTTAAAAACTCACTGTTCTTCTCTAAGGAGCTTTAAAGGTCATATAATGATTCAGTCTAGCACACAAGTCTAGCTAAGTAGTTTGTGCCTTAAATATGCTCCTCATAAGGACATTTCTGTTTGTTATTTTGTATATTGAAACTAAAACATGAACCAAATATATTGAAAATTAAAGCTAGAATTTCTCATAAATACCTCTGATAAAAGTTGAAGATTCCAGAGGAGTTCTTTATCTAATTCTTCATCATGTAAGACATCATCATCTAAATATGAAATATATTATTCCTCAATGTTACTATGATGCAGCATGTGTAGATAATAACATATTTACAATTCTGAAGAGTCTTATTTAGGTTACTCGTGATACAAGCTTTGCTATGAAATGTTTTTATGATTTAATTAGAAAATGCAAAAATAATATAAATGTATAAACACATTATATCCTCATAGGATTCTTCTGTTATAGGATGACAAACACATAAAATATGTTTTACTTGTTTCTTATACCTATATCTACATTGTTTACACACATTTTTTTTGATAAAAATTAAATAAGTTACCTCTACAGAATTGTCTAAATGTTATCTTATATAATTGGCTGCCTAATAATGCTATGGGAAATTTCGATCAAGTCATCATTCAGAAGATATGTCACAATATGTTTCCCTTCCTAAATTAGCATATTCCTAAAAAATGAGTTTTCTTCAATACTTAAACATCCTTTTCTGCCTTCAATTGTTTCCCATTTTGGTTTCTGAGAAATCTTATTATTTAAGCAAAAAACATACAAGGAGTTTAGTTGAGACATATGGTTGCATAAATAAATATTTGCAGATAGCTTTGTGCGATTCTCACCAGCAGGTTAGCCCTTCAAATTCATATGTGAAGTGAACATTCTTCAATTGTTACAAGTAATAAACATATGAATAGCTTATTATTTTATATTGCACATTGTCTTTAAAATAATGCTCATTGATATATTTCAGTCCCCCTAGACGGATCACAGGAGCTCTCCTGTTCTTTTCCAACATGTGTCATGATAGAATAGAAATTTTTAAATCAGAAAATAAGGGCTATTTTACCCATTAATTTCTTGCAAAATAGTAAATGATTCCAATTGTGAAGAAAAAGGAAACTGTTTAAGGCAAGAACAGTACAACAGCCAGAGTTCCCTCCTATAAATAAACTGCTTCATTTCAAAAGACAAGGATGCACTTTGTGCCTTCAGTTATACATAGTATACCTTGCCTGTTGCACTGATGTATTATATTAATGTAATATAATGGTGAAAATTGGGAATAGGGAGACTACTTAATCATTGAATTAGTAACTGAATAATTCTGTGCCAATCTCTTCTCTTATCCTAATCCATCTAAGTTACTGTGGTATAGTAGTTAGCATGGTGAAATAGGACCAGATTCAAATTCATATTGATACATGGAAATTTATTTAGTGGTTTTCAACTAGTCTCCATCTCTTGAGAATAAAAACTCTGTCTGTTATATATCAGAATATTGTATATGCTGTCTTTAGCTGTTGGAAAAACATCTTCAGAATGCTAGAAGCTACTTCCAGTTCTAAAAATTTTCTCCAAAAAACTTCGCGGCCTTTGGTAGAATAGCTGGATTGATGCAGTTTGGAGGAAGCGCAGTAAATTTTAGAATTCCCCAAAATATTCCTTCTCCAAACGAGAATTTTTTGCACATAAATACAAATAAAATACTTCAAATTTTCAACAGGCAATATACAGCTACATATATAAACAAATTACAACATTAGATCATTGAAACTTACTAAGAGTAAGATGTGTTATAACACTGCAGCAATGGGGTACAAAAAGCTTCAGAGACTTCTCTGGACAGCACTGAAATATCAGAAGGAACCAAATACTTCATTATTTTGACAAAATAATGAACATTGCACAGCAAATATATGTAACATATCTTTTCTACTAATGGCCTTGATTCAGCAAAGGAAAAAATACTAAGAACTAGATAAAGAATATTCTCTCTAAGGTCTGTGTGGGAGAGGGAGAGAGCTGATGAACTGGCAAAACATTCAAGTGTCAACAAAACAGAGAAGTTATTTTAGATTTTAACTAAGAAAAAGGGAGAGAAGAAGAAAAATAAAGTCTTACTTTCACTGCAGCTCGGCACATATCAGCCACCATTCGACCAGACACTCTTGTCTCAAAAATATTTGAGACAGCAAAATTGAAAACCTTCTCCAAGGCTACCTATACAAAAACAGAAAGAAAATGCGTGCAATGACCAAACTTAAAATATGAGCCATGGGCAAATTATGAATCCTAATTTAAAGGATATAAATTATGATATTAAACTAGGATTCACCAATACTGATAATTACGTTATTCCCATCTTAGGTTTATGCATGGCTATCAAGGAAAACATGTTAGAAAAGATAGCATTTAACCATTTTTAAACTAGTGATAGGTAAACATTTTTGGCATGAATTCTATGAGTCATACTTAAGGAAACAGGAAGTTGCCTGAGAACAGGCAACTCTATGCAGAGAATCATTATGAGGATGAGTTTTGAGGGACAAGTTGAGATAGCTACTATTGTATTGCCCTCTCTGTTGCACAGTAGTGTCCATGCCCAAACTGCTGAATCTCACCACTGAACTGATTATAGATTTTGTCAGGATAAAGAGGGACTTCAACTTGCTTCTTCAGTCCAGGTCATAATGGGCCTAGCAGACTACAAGGCCATGTGTCTTTTTTTTCTATTGGAACAATTGTGATATGATCTGAGAGTAAGGGACGTTAATATTAATCCCTTGCCATAATCAAATCTGACATGACCCTATTCAGTCTTTAGAATAAGGAAGTGGCTTCAACTATTTGTCATGATGGCCTCTTCTTATCTCCTGATCAGAAGTTACTCTTTAATATATTGAAACAGCAAAAGAAACACCTGGAACAATGCTGGCAAACTATGAAGTGCCAATATAACCAAACACTGGATAAGAGCAGTACAATGCCGATAGTATTCTACATTTATCTGTGGATAGTCAACTTTATTTAAGATGTCCTTGTAGGGAAGAATGAGATGGAAGATCAGTGATGAGGCTGTTAACATAAATTTGTAAAACATCTGAGGGATAAAATCATTCATACTTATATAGAATTGGATACAGGCTGGGGAAATCCAACAGAAGTAACAAAGATTTGTGAGGTTATCCAGGTTCAACCTGATACTGCTAGATCCCTCAGCAGATTTGATACTATTCATCATGATATCCTGGATGATTTCCAAGGATTGGGGATTGTTATGTACATTGACAAGAATTGTTATTAATTGGAGTTGCACATAAGCCCATCTAGAAACCAAATTATAAAGAAGTGATAACAATAGCACTTAGACTTACATACCACTTCATAATGCTTTACAGCCCTCTCTAAGTGGTTTACATAATTAGCATATTGCCCCCAATAATCTAAGTCCTCATTTTACCAACTTCAGAAGGATGGAAGGTTGAGTCAACTTTGAGCCAGTCAGAATCGAATATTGATTTAGCTGCATTCTAACCTCTGTGCCACCATGGCTCCAATCTAGTTTGTGGCCTATGAACCAATCAGGTGAGGCAACAATTTAAAGGAACCTACTAAGCATCTATTTTCCTGGATTCAGGCTAAATCTGTCCTGTCCTTTATTATTTACATCCATTTTTCAAAACATTATGCATCCCATTATATTACTGCATTAATGGACAGGCTAAGATGAAAAAGGATTGGCTTTGAAGTGTGCTCTTTTCTATGCAGAACATAGGCATCATTTACATTTTAACTAGCTGTTTACAGAGGAACAAAAAATACTATACATCAAACTAAGCTTATGGAAAAACAGAGAAAATATATTTTACTATTAAACTTTGCCAACTTGCAATCTATGTTGAGAAGCAACAATTACACTTGATACAGATAATCCTTGGTTAACAGTAATAATTAAAACCGTGAACTCCATCACTAAGCCATGTGATCTTATAGTGCAATGGCATGTGACTACACAACTTATAATAGCAGTTTCAGAATCCATCTTTAGATGAATTCTGCAAAGTCATTAGGCACGATGCCATATAATCACCATTTGTGTCTTCCTGCTGGCTTCCCCAATTCTACACTTGTTGGAGGCCGGCAGTGAAGGTTGAAAATCATATGACTACAGGAAACTGCAACATTATAACTGCAAGCCAGTTGCCAAGAGACCAAAGTATGATCACGTGGTCACAGGGATGGGTTCCATTTTGGACTACTCTGTGTGTGTGTGTGTGCGTGTGTGTGTGTGCGCGCACAGACACACACACACACACACACACACACACACACATATATGTTCTACCACTGATCCAGTTATAGATTATCCATTACAAAAGTCAGATAATCTAGTACTGAATGCAAAAAACTGCTTAGATCTAAGGATCTATGTGTATAGCTTTGTGTTCTGCAGGAGATTTTAGCCTTAGTACCAAGTCAGCTATGCTATTTGCCAACTCAGTTCTAAATTCGGGACAACCTTCACAGATTCTGACAAAACTAAAGGTAAAAAGTACTTTTTACTGACATTGGTGACTATACAGATACAGTCATATTATCTTCTTGGCAAAAAAAAAAGAAAATAAAAGAAAAAGGAAATTGTTTACAACTGTCTTCTTCCAGAACATTTTTCCTTCCCAGTCTAGCCTACAGCTTTAAGATCTGGCCATCTCCCATTCAAATATTAATCTTAGTGAACTTTTCAAGATCAATCAATGTTGGCTTAGGAACATTTTAAAACAAAATGAAATAAAGAAATCTATTAGGCATGTCCAAGTCTTTGGGTTTAATTGAAAAAGTTCTTTGAATCCCAGATCACTACACTTATTTTCACTGTGCAATTTTTTTTTTATACCGTGAATGCAGCTTAAATTATATTTATTTAGTCAAACTCCAAACAACAAGATTAAAATTGAAATTAAAAGAGTTCCAGAAGCTTTGGGTTTATGAAAATTAAGATAGAAAGCAAACAATATGACTTTTATATTTGCTCCCCTTGATGAAAAATACCTTAAATATCTCTTTTGAGCACTGTGTGAGGATTGTGTTAAATGTAGAAGATAGTCCTAATTCCACTAAGCTCTCTAAATGAGTCATTTTTTCTGTTTCAGTCTCCTCTCTTGTTTGCTCCAATGTGCTGCTTTCTATAAGTCCAAAACATCTATACAGAAAAAAAAGATCAAGTAACAGAATTAGTAAAACAAGAAACCACTACAAGCTATTTTATTGTTTTTGTGGGCTGAAGTAAAATATTATTTTTAATGGTATGCTATAAAATTTGCATATGTTCCCTCAATCATTTCTGGCAACAAACTCCGGCAGACTAGAAAAATCATTTCTTTAAATTGTCTTTACCGACTCGTAAGCATAGAGACTTGAAGTCTAATAAAAAGTTTGTGAGCTCTTTATTTATTTATTTAATATTTATATTCTTTATCCTTAGTTTTATTTCATAGACTGAAATTAGTGTTTCAAGTGATTTTCAACCCTCCCACAAAAATTCAAGAAAACAAAATAAATTAATCAGATTATAAAACTGCACAGAGGAGAGAAATTGCTTCATTCTTAAGATGTTTAAACATCTCAAATGTGGCCTTTTACATCATAAAGGTGTGAAAGAGGAAAATTAATTGTATTTGGCCATTACAAATTTAAAAAAACAGCCACATGACTATCACTAGATGCTCTAATCAAATATACTGTTGCATATAAACTTTGTTGAAAAGGTATCAAACTAAAGTGGTACCTGGAAAAATACTGATGGTCCGACAAAGGATGTGTATAAAAAGCAGATGGCCCAACAAAAATGTGGGTAAAAGAGAGGTTTGTTTTGCTTACAAGACAACTCTTAAATTTAGGATGGCCAGACATCCTGTTCCCAGCTCTGCACATGATATATTACTAACTGCCTGTCACATGGTATATCTAAATTGCTTAACACTTGATATATTGCTGATTGCTAAAAACATTCCAATGTAAACGAGGAGCTATCGATTATAGATCTGTCTAGTAGTTTTCCTATGTTAGAATAAGGACCTATAGAATGTAATGTGACCTAAAAATAACCCCCGCCAGAAAGGGTTATAAAAATGGTCTTCAATGTACAATCTGAGTTCAGACTGTTTAAGCCAGGATGGCTCTCTGAACCTGCGCGCAATAAACTTCCCTTTCCTGAAAGAGCTGATTCAAGTCTTTGATTTCTACAACATTTTCTGGTGCATTGGCCGGGAAAAGCTTGAGTGAGGCGATATTTCGCTGAGGACGGCTGGATCCTTCGGACCTGCTGGTAAGCCATCTCTGAACAATTCTCCAGGCGCCATGGGGGTGTGTTTCCTCCAGGAGACAGCTGTGGCTTCTCAGCAGAGCCGACAGTACTGAAGGCCAGTCCAAGAACCCTTTGGGAAAGGAAAGGAAGTCTGAACCAACTCCTGGCCAGGATGGGTGTAACTACAAGGCAGGCGAGTATGTGTTTAAAGTAATGGTACCTATCTCACTTGAAGATAGAAGAGGGGGCCTGATCACTCCCCTGGACTCGGGACGGCGATCCTAATGAAGTCCGTGTTAGGTTGTGTGGGTGGTTAAGCCAGTGCATTCCCTACGAATGACCGCCGGCGCTGTAGGTCATTGGCAGTGTGTTAGGATGGGGGGGGGCGTAATATGGGTGTGGGGTGGCCCCCAGAGGGGACTTTTAAGAAAACTATCCTAACCAATTTTAGTATATAGATCAGTGGGGGGATGCAGTAGCAGGACGAGCTGATGAGTTATTGCAATGTCAAGCTGAAATGGTTCGTTTGTGTGTGGCTAGACCCAAAGGAAAAAAAGCTTCAAGTACAAACTAAAAGAGTGAAAGATGTGAAGATTTCAGAAACTAAGGTGTCAGATGCTAAGAAGGAGATAAGGATGGAGGTAGAGGAGTTGATTCTCAGACCTCCTCCCTACGTTCCACCTTTCTCCCCCTCCCCCCCCCAGTGCCGGCTGTGGCAGAGCCAGCAGGCGCTCTGACGGAGGAAGGGCTGATTGCCCCTGCTGTGTCCGAAGAAAGGCAGCCAGCTGTGAGACGAAAACAGAAAGGGGGAGGCTGTCAGCCCCCAAGGAGGAAGGGGATTTGGAAGGTCTCTCTGTAAATGTGAGGGGAGAAGCAAGTAAAGAGGAGCAATTGTTGAATATTTTGTTGACTCCCGAGGAAAGGGAGAAGGGGAAGGCTGCTGTTAGGCAGTGTTTGAAGGATAGGTTGCCGGCTGTATGAGATACACAGCCAGAGATGGAAGCCAGGGCACCAGAAAAGGACCCTGAATGGAATACACAAAATCCAGCACACATGACTTTGTTAAAGGAATATCAGAATTTAGTAGTAGAGGCTCTTTGCAAGGCTGGAAAGCCTTCAGTGAATGTGTTAAAGCCGTCTTTTGTGATGCAGGAGGCAGATGAAAGTCCGGAAAGTTTTTTTTTTTGCAAAGGCTGATTGAGGCTTATGAGCTTTATACACAGGTTGATCCAAGGAGTGCAGACAATGTGCGAATGTTGAATGAGAGGTTCATAGCACAGAGTTATGAAGATATAAGAAAGAAGTGGAGAGGTTAGAAGGAGCATTAGGAAAGAACACTACAGAATTGTTGGAGGTGGCTAGGAAAGTGTTTGTTAATAGGGATAAGGTGGAAAAACAGGAAAGAGATGCTAAAATGCATAAGAAAATTGAGTTGTTGGCGGTGGCATTACAAGGAGGGATCATGCTGGGACCCAACCAGTGTGCTAATTGCAAGGAGGGAGGTCATTAGCAAAGAGAATGTCCAAGAAGGCAGATGCGAGGTAGAGGTTGGAGAGGAAGAGAAGGCAGAGGATGTGGAGGTGTTGGCAGTGGGCCCCCCATGCACTCCCCCTTCATGGGTAGAGGGCAGAGAGGGGCTCCAGGGATGGTAAGAGATGGTCTGAGGAATGTAGGAGATGGTTTGAGGAATGTGACAGATGAAAATAGAAATAGGGAGATTGAAGGAATTGGATTGGCAGGAACTAACTGGTCGGATTGACGGGGACCTGGCTTGGAGAAAGCCCCCCCTGAGCCATTGGTTACTTTAAATATAGGGGGCAAACAGACAACATTTTTGGTGGATACTGGAGCAGGAAGATCAGTTGTGGATTTGAAAGCAGAGTCTTTGTGTGTGAAGTAAATATGACTGTTACTAACCTCAAGAGAAAAGAAAAAAAAATATATATATATAACCTCACTCTGTTTGTCTGGCCAACAAACAAGGTGAAGAAAGATGTGTTTGTTTATTTATTATTTTTTTCTCTCCCTCTTAAGAACAGCCCAAAGTTACCTGCTCAGGCAGGAAATCCTATACCATTTTCTTGCCCATTCTGCTCTCTCCCTTTTGCAAATGTTAGTGTGTTAATGCCCTTTTCAAACTCTATCTGCAGACACAACCCCTAACCCCCCTGTTTTTTTTCTGGCTGTGTTGCTTTGAGAGGGAGAGAGATAGAGAGAGAAAGGAGAAAGGGGGGGGGTTGATCTTTTTAACTTTTTCTCTGCTTAGAATTCAGGTTTGAGAAAGGTTGGGTGGCTGTGAAAATTTAATGCCCACTTTTGCAATTTTTTTTTATTCAAAAGAGGAGTCAGTAATTGTTGGACAACTTTTTTGGGAAATTTTTGAGTTTAAATTGTTTAATATCAACCAAAAGAGTTTGCTTAGATTTGTAAATGTTCTCCCTATTTAATGGAAATTTAATGGAAATCTGTTTCCATCTGAATGGAATTTGATTAAATTGGAATTTGACTAATTTTATATTAAAAGCAATACTAGAGTTTAGAGAAAAAAAACTTTCAGTAACTCAGAATATCTTATTAAACTTGTTTATTTTTTGTGTGAAGTTAGAACGAAGTTGAGAAAAATTTTGGGATTATAAATAGCTATGCTGTTTTGAGTAAAGATTTGTATGCAAAACTGTTAGAAAAAGAGCTTGTGTTAATAAATGCAAACAGGGTTTGGTGAGCTCTCCTTTGTTGGTTCTTTGCTAGGTAATTTATTTATAAACAAGGACAAAGGTTGGAGGAGGTTTTGGCCCAGAAGTGTGTGCGTGGGGGGGGGGGAAAGGCAGCCAGTGGCATTTTTATCTAAAATTGACATTTGGGGACATCTTGGTGGTTAGCATTTCTTATCAAGTGTGGACAATTTTAATCAGGAAGCCTAAAGGAGGTATACACTTGTTCATAGCAAAGTGGTTTTCAGTTGTGGATTTGAAAGATGCTTTTTTCACGATTCCTATTCACAAGGCTAGCCAGCCGTTGTTTGCTTTTGAGTGGGAAAATCCAAATACAGGGCAAAAAGCACAGTATACCTGGACCAGGCTGCCACAGGGCTTTAAAAATTCGCCTACCCTGTTTGGAACAGCCTTAGCAGAAGATTTACAGCATTTTGTGCATTAGTCAGACGGAAAGTGAAGTAAGTATTTGGGGTATGAGATTGAGGAGGGGCATAGGGCTTTAGGCTGGGAGAGGAAACAAGCTGTGCTAGCTATTGCTGAACCCCTTAATAGGCGGCAACTGAGGGGCTTTTTGAGTTTGGCAGGGTTTTGCAGGATATGGATACCAAATTTTGCTCTATTATCAACACCTCTTTATTCAGCTACAAAAGGAGGTGATAGAGAACCTTTTGAATGGGAGGGAGAACAAAAGAATGCCTTTAGGGCAGCTCCAGCTTTAGCCTTGCCTAACTTAGAAAAGCCTTTCAATTTGTATATTGATACCAGGAAGAATGTTGCCTTGGGGGTGTTAACTCAACAATTAGGACAGTGGCAATGCCTGGTGGCTTACTTATCTAAGCAATTAGATGGGGTTGCCCAAGGCTGGCCACATTGCCTGAAGGTTCTTGCTGCTATAGCAGTCCTTTTACAGGACTGTAATAAATTGACCTTCTCATGTCCCATAAGTGTCCACCCCCTCATGCAGTTCATTCTATCTTGGATAATAAAGGGCATTTGTGGATCAGCAGTCAAAGGTTTTTTAAGTATCAGGCGATGATGATTGAAAATCCTCAAGTGAAATTAGTGGTGTCTAACCGGCTAAACCCTGCCACCCTATTGCCCACAGAAGTGGATTCAGAACACAACTGCTTGCAAGTTTTGGAAACTGTATATTCAAGCCATCCGGATTTATCTGATATTCCTCTTCAGGATGCTGCCCTAAATTGGTATACAGACGGCTCGAGTTACATGCAGGATGGGAGGAGGGTTTCTGGATATGCGATTGTGAATGATGAGGAAGTGGTGGAAAGTAGTCCGCTAGGAGCAAACTGCAGTGCTCAAGTGGCAGAATTGTGGGCATTAATTAGAGCATTGGAAAGAGCTGAAGGGGAAACTTTGAATGTTTGGACTGATAGTAAATATGCTTTTCTAACTCTGCATGCTCATGGTGCTGTGTATAAGGAGAGGGGATTCAGGGATTCGGCTGGCAAACATGGGTTACATGGACACTTGATAAAGCATCTTCTCGATGCAGTACAAAAGCCAGCAAAGGTTTCAGTTATGCATTGTAAAGGGCCATCAGGGGGGAGTATGGGGGAACTGAATAAGCAAGTGGAAAAACTTAGGGACTATGTTGTTGAACAAACACCTTCTAAACTAATAACAAGATGTCATCCCTTTAAACCAGGGGATAAGGTGTGGGTAAAACATTGGAAACATGAACAACTGGAGGGGAGATGAAAAGGACCTTATGAAGTAATAATGGCCTCTCCTTTAGCAATAAAGATTGCAGAATCTAAATCTTGGATTCACTGGACCAGAGTTAAAGCAGCTGCAGAACCTCTGTGGACAGTGAACAGGGACCCCAAGGTTCCCACCAAACTCACTCTTAAAACGTGTTTAGTATGTTTAATGAATATTTTATTGTTTGTAAACCAGATATTGTATTAGCACAAGTGTATCCTGCACATATATCTACGGCTGCCTGGCTGAAATTCAACCCCCTGCTAAGCCACACCCGGAAGCTGGCTTTCTACGCACGGGAGAAGAAAGGATGAAAGGCTTCCTTCTGCTTTTATATAGTACTGTTGTTGCATGTAATAATGTTTGTCTTTCTAATTTAGGCCAATGGAGCAAGCCAGAAGAAGCTCCACGCCTTATCCAATCTTATGCTATAGGCACGGGCACTTGTGAAAGGTCACCCCCCTATTGGATTTTCCCCAGAATGCTGGAATGGTAGCTGGCCTCATCCTTGTCAATTTCCCCAAGCATTTGACAGAATAGTTAAAGAAGCCTGTATTACAAGACCACCTGTCAATCCCGAAGCCTGTCAGTATGTTGGGTATATTCTTAGGAAAGGCATATGTGTAAAGGCCCCATATAAGAAGCCTCCTCCTCCTGTTACTCTGGAGTGTGGGCCTCCCTTATTCTGGGGATGGGAGCGGGTCACCCTAGTCTCGCAGTTGAAGACGGGATGGAAGGGGACTTGCATCGTACATGTTATCCCGGTGGAATTTGGAGTAACTATCCAAAGACCCCCGAGGAAGCGCCCAGAGAGAAAGCGAAGTAAAAGGTCCCAGCAGAATAAGGATATGCCCCATCCATTGGAGTCAAGGATGCAATATAATTTGTGGGTCAATTGGCTAAACTAGCCAACACAACTGATTTTTGCCTTTCTGAAGCATATGACATGGAAAATTTGCTGTCCACATGTTTAATACCCGTATGTGTTCCTGTCACAGCAGCCAAGGAGTTCAGTCATCACGAGTTTAAAGAACATATAGGCTATGAAACAATGTACAGCTGGGGTCACATTTCCAAGTTTCTACCCACTGATGCTTTTGCTTTACATACTCCTAATGTAGCCATTCCAGAAGACTTACAATGTGCACATATCATGGGGTGTGAGCAGAATACACCTTCACCTCATTGCCTGAAAGTGAGCCAAGAAAGGCTAAATTGCACATCTTTCCAAACAGTGTCTTTTGGGTATGCAAACATATGGTTACCTAAAGGGTGGTTCTTCACATGTGGGAATTCCAGAGACAAGAGTATAACAACATACATACATCAGACCCAAGTGTTATGGAATGAAACTTATCTGCATAGATGAGATAAGTCTCATCAGGGGGGAATAAAGTGGTACCTGGAAAAATACTGATGGTCCGACAAAGGATGTGTATAAAAAGCAGATGGCCCAACAAAAATGTGGGTAAAAGAGAAGTTTGTTTTGCTTACAAGACAACTCTTAAATTTAGGATGGCCAGACATCCTGTTCCCAGCTCTGCACATGATATATTACTAACTGCCTGTCACATGGTATATCTAAATTGCTTAACACTTGATATATTGCTGATTGCTAAAAACATTCCAATGTAAACGAGGAGCTATTGATTATAGATCTGTCTAGTAGTTTTCCTATGTTAGAATAAGGACCTATAGAATGTAATGTGACCTAAAAATAACCCCCGCCAGAAAGGGTTATAAAAATGGTCTTCAATGTACAATCTGAGTTCAGACTGTTTAAGCCAGGATGGCTCTCTGAACCTGCGCGCAATAAACTTCCCTTTCCTGAAAGAGCTGATTCAAGTCTTTGATTTCTACAACAAAACTACTTATCCAGCTCTATATCAACTTTTGACTTTTATATTTAAAATTTTCCCTCAGAATAGCTTTCAAACTAGAAATATAAATTAGTATGAAACACACAACTGCAGTGTGCAAGCCATTACATAGGGTTGTCACATCACCAGCATTCTCTGCTTCCTATTACTACTTGCCTGTCCATAAACTGCAGTACAAAATCTTCAAATTCAGCAGTAGCAGAGCACAGTTCTCTCTCTACCTACAAATTCAAAATATAAGAAAAGTTTTTTCTACTGCATGTAAATCCAAATTTTATTTAATTCTTATCACAATTCTTGTATTATTTAAAACATGCAAATCTCTGTTTCTGTAAATATTCAAAAAAACAATGTCAAAATCAAGGGAACATGAATAAAAACAAAGCAAATTACTAAATTAGTAAATTTAGATAATATGGTTTGTTTCTTCTAAACTGAAAGCCTTAATTTTATAGTTACAAAGTACAATCAGCAAAATATATGTTTTAATATTCTTTTACATTCTAGATACTAATATCAGTACTTGAACATTTTCATAAGCAGTTTAATTTAGCAATAACTTTTAAAACTGATACCTCTGTGAGATCATTTCTCTCTTGTAATATTGATGAACAATCCACCAAAGGCACGAGAGTAGAAAATGTTGCAATGAACTGGAATGTGATCTAGTAAGCATGCAAGAAAGTTTCATTGTGCAGTAAGTATACATTTTAATATGAAAAGGAACATAAATCACTTCAAATATCTGAAACATTGTATGCCAAATCTCTATACATAGGGAAAACTCATATTCTCACATCTCAGGTACCCAGATTACACCTAGTACAAAACTAAACTGCCGTTTAGTTTCTACTATTCATATTTCCATACACACTACAGCAGAGGTTGTCAGCCTCTTTAGGTGAACAGAATTTTGAGAAAAATTTATGCTTTCATTATCTGACAACTGTTGGAAGAAGAGATTCCCCATTCATAAAGCATTTGTCACGACAGGCATAGCTTGTTATAAATACACATTTTCCAGAAGGCAAACTAGCAGGGTTTTTTTTAAGACCACAAGATGTAGGGCAAAGGTGATATCTAAACAATTCTGAACCCATGGTTTTATGTTCCATTGTTTATTCCTATCTATAGGCAAACTGTGATCTGGGAACTGAATATAAAACAAGAGAAGGGATTTGTATTCTAACTGCTAACCATGAATCCACCTTAACAAAACTGAAATTCAATGAACAGCTCACCAGGCAAAAGATCCCATAGCTAAACATACTAACACTGAAAACCAAAACACATTCACAGCAGGGGAAGGGACAAGGGGGCTTCCCTACAATTTCTACAAGTCACTAGAATCCCACACAGATGTTTGCAATCATCTGCTCTAAATTCTCAGTAAATTCGCTATTCTTGTCATCTTACTATTTTCTTTTATTCTGGCAGCTGGGCATGCATCAAAATGCTGAATTTTTAGCCATACGTTTAATTGTATTGAAAATTTTTTCCCATACAAGGTCCATAGATATTATTGAAAATAAAAATTCTACTTTATTTTTCAGCAAGTCATAGTTTAAAAATGATTTCAAACAACAGGGGTAGCTGAGAAGCCAGAGGGCGCTAAGGGTAATGTAAATTATGCTGAGGAATCTCATTCTCAACTATGATTTAGCAGAACACACATAAACTGGAAAAAACCCAGTTAGCTTATGTCTTATTTGCTCCTCCTGTTGTATGTTCTACCCCTGCAAATGAAAGGAGGAAGAAATAGGGGCAGCCAAATAGATGCTCAAAAAATAAGCAGTAAGGAAGAGGCTGAAATACGAAAGAAAGAAATTCATGGAAAACTGTAGTCATGTCTTAGGTGACATAAGCGAGATCTAACTGCAACATAACACCCTGTGAAATTATTACACTGATGATGCATTTGCTAAAATCATATTACACTCACCATGCATTTGCTAAAATCATTTGGATCTACACCAGGCAATGCTCTCATCAATAGAGGCAACATATGTGTTGGACCTTCAGGAAATGACTTGCCCCCAGATACCAGGCTACGAGCTACACCAATTACACAACTTAATGTAGCTGTGAGCTGATGAGGTTCTGTTAATGTCTCTAGTGCAGGATATGTTCTATGAAAAAAAAATAACATAAGATTTTTATCAGTTCTAATATTTACTTGCAATTGCTAATAAGATAAGACAGGCATGGGCTACATTCAGGCCACTCCAAACCATTTTTCTAACTTTTCCAGTTTTAATATTACATTACTCTGCTTGCAGAAATTCAAACCAATAGTATGTTTTGATGACTCAGCTTTAGGAAATCTAAAAAAAAAACCAGAATAAGATAGGATTTCAAATACTTTTTCTACTATGCAACATTAAGAAACAACAGAATGAAATTAGCTTGTAGGTCTCTTAACATCTGCTGACTCAACAAATTTTGTGGGATATGTGGAAGACTCCATTCTAAAAAAAAAAAAGGAGCAGTTGAAGAAGGAATTTCAGGAGTTTTAAAATATAAAATGGGTCTTTTAAGGACCTGCAACATGTCAATTTCAAAAAGAACCCAAAATGTTTGACCACATGCATTCTTGAGGAATTCTAGGAAGCAGAGAAGATATGCTGTCAAAACTACATTTGTTCCACCTCTTAAATGATATTTGCTCTTGTTTAAACCAATAAAAATGGAAGGGTAAAAGTTTAAAAAATGAGGGATTTTATAGCTAAACCTTGGTCTTGTCAAAATTCTTAAAATATGTTTTGATAGAAATGGCAGCATGAATATTTTTTTAAAAAATAAACTCATAGAATAAGTAGTAAAAGATTGCGGTGTAAACTAAAGCATACATCTGAAAAAGTAAACACACAGAGGCACAAACAATAAATCTAGATTCTCTTGTCATTCTGAGTGTTAAAATTATCCAAAAAAAGAGACAATGATTTAAAACAGATAATTTTGAGGTATATGGACTTCAACTCCCAGAATTCCATAGCTAATACGGCCATGGTTAAGAATTTTGGAAACTGAAATCCATATACTGGGAAAATATTGGTTTAGGTTTGGAAAAATGCTAATTTAGAATAACATTTCCCGGTTATCTAAAAAGTAGATAAACTTTTTCTGGCTTTTAGATAGTACTCACTTTTCAAGTACTGGTGGGATTACCAACTCAGGACGCATTAGTGCAAGATTCTGTAAAGCTTGGGCTGCCTCTAAACTTCCAGTTTTGCTAAACATTGCCAGCAGGACAGGTTGTATAATGCATTCTACAAATTCTGTTATGTCCTGATCAGTAAGTTTATGGCTATCGGGCACAGGATTTAGCCAGCTCATCTTCTTATAGCGCTCACGATGCAGTCTTCTGACTATATTACTGGGTAGACGCTGAAGTAGCTTCATTAGCTTATTCTACCAGAGAAAGGCAACAAAATCCATTCCAAATAATTAGAATCAAGGAAAAGAGCCAAAACTATTTTGAGTTTTACATTCTGTAAATCTAGACCCTTATTCATCAGTCAACTATGTCTGTCTGTTTTGAAAATATCTTATGTATTGGGCAGAATGGGAGATGGACCAGAACCTTTAGTAAAGAGTTTGGATTTGATGTCAGGGAGGTTGTGGGCACATAGTATCCTTCTTATAACACAGCAGAACAACAATATTCTTCCATTCTTTTCTTGGTGCAATTATGGTAGATAGTTATCTCCAGGAAAAAGCAATTTGCTTTCTTTTCCTTCCTCAGTCCAGTGATACCCATTGTCCACACCCCCAAACTCATTCATTAAATAAAATTCATCTTCTGACAGCAGCACCAATTCTGAATGGAAGCTAAGCAGGTGTTTAGTTCTGGCAACCATGTTCCAGGAATCTAATAGTTCTGTTTCAATACAATTGAAGGATATCAGAATACAGAAGTTTAATCCAATCTAATACTACAAAAGGTGATATATAGTTTTGAACCATTTTCCACTAAAAAACAATGGGAGAGCTCATTAGGATGAATAACAGATGGGCAAACTGGCAGGCAGGCACTGGTGCTACTAAATGGAACCAAAGGCAGAGCTGATGCTTTGCTGCATTTTGAAGTAGTTTTTATTTTACATATTTCCTACTTCAATCTTGGCATTATGACAAACAGATTGGTATTAAGCATCAAGGCAGTTCCAATCCCTATCTAAAAACAGAATAACTATGTACTTGGTCCACAGATGATCTCTCTGAGCCTAGATGGCATCAGTAACCGAAGCAGTATGAGTGCAGGAACTACTCTTGTATCTTGAACTTTTATAAATGATGCATCTCATGAAAAAACTAGCCTTTTGTTTTCTTTCCCTGTACCTTACTACTATTTACATATAAAAATTCGAAGGCAATTTCTGTAGAAAGAAAATATATTTAACTCATTTAATTTTTTATTTATTTAACATTTTCATTAATTAATTTATCACCAACTGCAAAATTCACTTAACTGGACACTCTACAGATTTTGAAATAAAAAAAAAAACTTTGGATCAGGCATAATGCTATTCAGCTTTTATTCAGCTTTTAATACAGTTCACAGCACCAGAAAGAAGCCATAAGGTAATTCCTTTCAACTTGCTGTTGGCTATATAGATCTATTATGTTTGGTTCATACATAATTTTGAGTATAGTGAAAGGAAAACCTGATTAGTACTGTTCAATATTGCTAATAATGGTACTTCAGGGTCAGTAAACAACTGTATTATATCTTCATTAATCTTTCACATGGTTAATATTCTTATATATTCTCATCTAGCTCTTATTACCCATTACACAAGGGGTAGTAGAATTGAACTCTGATTTTGATAACTATAACATTCTTTATAAATTAAATTTCTGGCTTTTCTGGTCCTTTCATGTTTGATATAGCTCATATCTGGAAATAGAATACCACTGTGACAACACCTCTTTCTCCCTTCCAAACCTTCAATATTTATATTTTCCTGTTTAATTTTATAAAAACAGGTGCATATTCTTGTCCTAACTGCCCCAGCTTCTACTCCCCATCTTTTTTATAGTTTTGCATCCATTTCTAGATCATAATGTCTCTGGAAAAGCAAATGCGTTATTAGATCCATTTCCTATAAGCATTATGTATACTATTGGCACTATGGAGGAGGAAGAATTGCTGCTGATCTTTAAAAAATTTAAAAATCATATTTAGCATAGACATTTTGTTGAAATTAGTGCCTGAAGAAAATGGGTTTGACAAAATTCTATATCAACACAATTGTTAAAGTCTTGATGTCAAGCTTTAAAGAGAAGATAGATATATCCTTACCAACCAGCGACCATTATTTGAGGGATGATAGAAAGATGCAATACTTTGGAATAATCCAGCCAAATGCTTTTGTACAAGCTTGCTTGGTCCGCCCTACCCAAAAACAGAGATAACAAAGCTATTTATTTAATACAATTCCAAATCTGTAGTGCAATTTTAAATTCAGTTTTAGTGGGCCCACCTTTTTCAAAGTTATGGCCTCCTTATTCAAAGTTATGGCCTCCTTATTCTAACATGTAGAAATATGTGAAGCATGATATTCTACTCCAGAAAGGCAAAGTTGTAATTTAAGCTAATTGTAAAATAGCTATCACAAGGTATCATAACCTCTACAATGTAATATAATACATGTAATTTTTCATGTTAATCAGTTCCTAGAAATCAGTGACTGTTCTCTTTCACTAACAATTAAAATATACCACTTTAGGGTCTGTGATAATGCACCATTTCTCTGTAAATCACAGTTAGATTTACTGTGAAAATATTTCCTTACAATTGAGCAGAGATATTCTGTGTTTATCTCTCTCCTACACATTCCAGAAGCAGGCTAAAAAGTCTTCTGATATCAGTTCCTACAGGAAGACAAATCTTCCTTTTGTAATTTTCGAAGGACAAGCCAGATGAAAAGTTCAGAGAAGCAAAATTTAAGGAGATGTAAATATGAGAGAAGGGTTGAATAATGACATCTTCTCTGATAAGTATGTTTTCTTCTTTTCTTTTTTATTGCTTGGGTGGGTTGTTGGTAGAATAATAGAAAGAATAATAACTTTTATTGTCACTTTGAATGTACACTAATTGGCATACATTAAAATGATTTTTTGTTGCATTCACTCTCAAAGGGTCCTGTTCTCACTGCAGAATTTTTTTTTCAAAAGATACAATGTATAGATACACCTTTCTTACTGACTGCCTCATTCAGTGACTGTTTAAATTTACAATAAACCTGAAAAAGTAACTTTAAAACCAATGCCAGAATATACAACTTTTGCAGTTTCCCTCAGTCATGTGATTGCGATTACAGGGAGCCCTCACTTAATTGGGACCATCAACTCTGCCTTAAATAAAGCTTCGCTAAGTGGGAAATCATATGACAGCAACTGTGCTTTCTGGCTGGAAAGTGACAAGACTTTTACACCTTTTGCTTTTATTTATTTGTAAAATAAATAAAATGTATTTGTAAAATTTATAGGCCGGCCACCTTACCGCAAGGCCTTACCTTGATTGCCCTCCTAACCACTTCTGAGGAATGTTCGAGTCCTGATTATTGTCTTGTACATATCAAAAGCAATGCAATCACACATGGCAACTAGGCAGTGAGACATGGGTACATTATTTGAATGGCTTATGAAATTCCTCTATCTCTAATCTCTTCTCTGGCGGGAGGGGGGGGAGAAAAAAAAAGCAAGCAACTTCTGTAGGCAATCTTTCCTTTGCCTGATCCTTTCACATTATAAGTATGATTACATTTCTTTCTATGTGTAGAAGAACAAACAGCTCACTGTCTTGCAATCCCTTTTTCTCCAATCTCTCTGTTCTGTAAGGGTGGTGAGGGGAAAAAAAATACAGGTTGGGCACAAGATAACATGTACTATCTATAAAGGCGATCATGTGACCAAGGGATGCTGTGAAAATCATAAATGGGCTGTAAAGTTATTTTGTCAGCATTATCATAACTTTGAACAGTTACTGAACAAATAGTTGATAACTGAAGACAACCTGTATTTTTTAAATATTATACATATGCAGATAAGGGGATAAAGTCTATGGTCTCATAATTATCTACAACAGAAAACAACAGCCACATAACTAAGAAGCTGAAGTTCAATTATCCAATAATATTTAACCAACAAGTTGTTAATCAGAATAAACATTTTACTCCATGTACTACTAAAATATAGCCTATATGTCAGTGGTGGCGAACCTATGGCACGGGTGCAAGAGGCGGCATTCAGAGCCCTCTCTGTGGGTATGCGCGCCATCGCCCCAGTCCTAGGCCTTTAGCTGGGTTTTATAAAATCTTTTCACTTTAGGCCTCTGCCGCCGTGTGCAAAAAAAAAAAAAAAGGTTCAATCAGTCAATTTCAATTTCTCACAGGAAAAAAAAAAAGATCTTGCAAAGTTGGAATTGATTGATTGAACTTTTTAGTTCCACCAAGTCTGCCATTACCACCGTAGCCACGCCCAGCCAATGGGCCACGCCAAGCCAATGGGCCACACCCAGCCAGCACTCGACGATGCATACGTGGGTTTTGGGTTGCAGTTTGGGCACTCAGTCTCTAAAAGGTTCGCCATCACTGCTATATGTGATTAAGGTGTGCTGACCATTTCTTCTAATGTTTTCTTTTGAATACTGAAGGGACATTCAACATTGAAAACTGAAGGAACAGAGACATTCCCTCATTTCTCCTGGAGGTCTTTACTGTCCTGGCTGTCCTGAGGACATATGCTTCCTATAAAGCAGTTATTGCTATTTTGTGTACAGTAGAAAGACAGTTGCAAATATTGCAATTCAGGCCTTTTTAAAAGAAATTATCCATCTGAGCTCTTGGTTATTTTCATGAATCTGATGCTCATCAAAGTAGTAGTTAATTTAAGAGTCAAATAACTTGACTTATTTACATATCTACATAACTATATAGCTTATTCAAAGTCCTTTGGAAAAAGAAAAAAGATACTACCATCATAGCTGTGATCCACATAACTGCATGCCCTATGTCATAAGCATTTGTTAAGAATCGTGGAACCATCATCTGATTGCTTCCCACTGGAAGATTCAAGCTTCGCAGTATTCTGGTAAATATCTGCAGAAAAGGAATTGAGAAATTAAATAACTAAACTGTATCATGAATATTTGAATTTTGTTATAAAATTAACCAGACTATTGAAACGCTCCAAGTTCAAAACCCAATCTCCAAAATAAACAAACCTTGATTAAAGGAGATGGCATTGCTGCTGACACAGAACTAATGGGAAACTCTTCAAATTAAATTTATATGGTAGAAAACTGCAATTTCTGCTTTAGCAATCTATATTGAGATGTCTCTCTGTTAATGTACATTTGCTATTGCACAGTAGCCACTTCCACATCTTGACAATTATTAACAGGTAGGTATTCATGCCAAAAGCATCTGGAAAGTATCTACATAACTTGTTAAAGAAATTCAATTAGCCCACTAGATATTTTATTTTAAATGAATCAAGTATTCAGTATTGCAAAATCAATTTCTGCTCTGGACACTAAATCTGATGACCCAGCTCTCAACATTACTGGTTAAAGAGAGAAGTTAATCTTGGTCCCAATGAATTTTAAAACTTCAACAGTTTTAAAACTGTAATTAAGGCATGATTTAGTTTCAATTCACAGAAATTAAATTACAAAATATGACAGATGCCATGGCTGCTAAAAATTATAAAAATAATAGATCACTGTTTTCCCCATTACTATCACATTCTTGCAACTGGAAACCCCATTAATTCTTCAAAAGTTTTATTCTTTATAGCCAGAAATCCCAGCAAATATCATGATGGTAGTTTAAAATTTAAGATCCAAGTGTAATAACTTTTGTTTACCATACTTTAAAAGGAATAGATCAGTAGAAATAACACTCTTGCTTATGTTTTTTTTTCTTTTATATAAACAAAAATCCTTAAAATATAGTTAAGACTTAAACATAGTTAAGAGAAGTTTAACAGATAGGGCAAGACAGAGAATAAAAACAATTCTGCCCTTCTAATAAAAAGTTCAAGATTAATCACAAAAATTTATAAATTACAGCTTTCCAACAATGTTGACAAGATGAATGATTTTAAATGTAATAAATACACTTAGGATGGGGTACACAATTTTTATCTTCTGAATTAAAATAATGAGAGAGACAGAGACAGAATGAATTAAAACTGCATGTTTTGTCAACAGAGAAATCACTTGGCAGATCTTCTTGTTAATATTTGTAGTATTTTCATATTAAATATTACCTTTGGAATATAGGGATCCCAGTTGATATAGCCTATGTTATCAGTCGCCAAACGTGCAAAAAGATTGACTAGATGCTAGAAAGAAAAAAGCATAGACCACATTTTCATGATGCAACATCAACATTCAGTATAGTATTAAGATTTATTCCTGTTTTTTTTCCTGTAGCTTTTTCAAGAAGTAGGATCACATTTCAGAATATTCATCATGTACCATGGGATCATAAAGTAGCTGAAAAGTTGCAAAGCAGTGACCATAAGAAAATTACTTTAATAGCAACAAAAGTTGCAAGGGGTGTTTGAACAATGAACAAATGCAGAGAAGTAACACTAAAACTTCACAAGTAAACAGTACAGTGAATCAAATAAGTATTTTTCATGTTTTATACACGCTTATAAAAAGGGAGGTGGGTATCTGAACAAGAGATATTCCCATAAAATTGGCAAACTGGTTTCCTTCAGAGAAGAAATGGGACTGAAAAAAACGATAGTCCCAGATAATAATTCAGAGATATTAAAAAAGGTAGCAGGTAGGAAGTGAGTTAATAATAAGAATATATATATATATAAGTATAAAGAATGTTTACAAAAGGAATAATTATAATATAAACAGGATTGAGAAGACCTTTTGGTTAATTGGCAACTAAAGTAGTAGGGACAGAGATAATATGGTGAAGACAATGAACATGTGGCTTTCCAGATGTTGCTGAATCCTGACTGAAGCTGTGGGGAGCTACCATTCTGCAATATCAAGAATCACAGATTTCTCACAAAAACTAGAAAATATAGAACCAGAAAATAATAACAATGAATTCTCTTCACAGATTTCCCCCAGGCAAATTTGCAATAGACAAATTTCAATTAGGCCTTGATTAGAGTTCTATACTGCACTGCTAAATGCCTACTAATTATCCCATTATTAGGGGAAAAACCAGATTCACCAAGGCCAAGGTTTACAAAAACCTAGGATACAAATAGAGAAACATTATGAGAAAGAAAAAATTCTCTTCCTCCTGTCAACTGGCAGGTGACATGTAGGTGGTTTCTGGCAATGATTAATGTTTCTCTGCAAGAAGGGGTAGTGGCCCAATCTTTCAAGGTACTATTATTTCTAATCCAATTATCTACATATCATCTCTGTAGTAAAAGCAAGTGGGAAAATAGGTGGGGCATGTTACTTACCCCTTCCCATTGTGGAAGATTTTGAACTGAAACCCAAAGGCCTAGAAATTCATCAAGCCACAGCCTACAAGACAATGAAATCCCACCAACAGAATTTTAATATGTTAAAACAATTTGTTTCCAATATCTAATAATACATACTTAGTACATTAAGTAAAATAAATAATATGCGACCACCAGGAGAATTTAAGTAAGAAAATACTTTACTAAAAACCGCCAAGCTTTCATTGGGACCTCCCAACATCGTCAGGGCTAAAAAGCCAGTTTAACAAAGATGACTTAAATAGGTTTAGCTGACATTTGCACCTGGCTCTTAGACCGCGTCACGGCCCTAGCCGGTCAATTTGTGTTCCAGATGTTTCCTTTGTATTGCGTTCTTTTCTGTCGTTCTTTCGGACCTTTCTGCCTACTCCTTTATTGTCAATATTTGAGTTTGCTAACACTCTTATGTCCTCCTCCTTTGTGATGGTATTTACTTCCATTTCATCTTTTCCTCTCCTACGGGTCTCAGGGGCATTTAATTTTTTGGTGTTATCATTCGTTCCACTAGGGCTCCAGGTACTTTTCCCCACCCCCTTAGTACATTATAGATTTCAAAACCAATGTGTGTGGGTGTGACATATATCTTATTTCAATAACCCTATATTCTATGAAAGTGATTTTATTATGCATAATGAAGCAAAATGCTCAAAATTAGCCACACAGACTAGACTTCCTCCAACTGACAATAATTTAGTTGTATCATTCCAAACTCAAAATCTTTTGCTGTTTATTTCAACAGAAAAAAAATTACACTTGTATTTAAAACTTCTTTCACTACATAATGGAAGAAAACTCATCCAGTGCTACAAAGTGTGTTGATTCAAAAGTTCTTAATAACTGAAAAGCAGCTAACAATTTCCAAAAGTGGTTAGAACAGGGATTATTCAAACTTAAGTGTCCTTCTAAAGACAATGACTACAGGTTGAGGGGAAGGAAATAGTTATTCCCTTGTCTCTCACAGTTCTAACACTATCACAGATCACTGTGTTATGGTGTCCTCATGAGGAGCAATTGTATGGAGTACTTGAGTGATCTCAAGTCCTTTCCTTCTCTGGAGAGGAAACGCAAAGAGACGGTCTACTCGCCAGCTCTTCATTCTGCAACGGTTGTTTGCTGAGTCTTCTATAGAAGTCCTACAGCACAGGCTTCCAAGGGCATAATTTATATTGGGGGTGGGTAACCTGCAGTCCACAAGTCCATTTTTTGTGATTCCCTTAGACCATACCACCAAAATTTCATCAGTGAATTGCAGATAATCAGTGACTCAGTTTTCCTCGATTTTAATTTTGAAGCAAATGACACATGAGAACTGCAACATGCTAAAATTGTCTTAACTGTTTGAAAAGACAAAGGAAAACTTCAACCTCCATACACACAAACCTACATTAACTTCATATTAAGCATTCTGTGAATAGTCTGTAATTTTATTAATCTTTGCAATGATTAAAACACTTGAGGTTCCTTGACATTTCATTTTCATTTTTTTCCTAACTGAATTTTAGACTGGCATTTATGTTGAGTTACTAAAAAATAAATAAAAGTTTAAAATATGAACCTTATTGAATATTTGCCATGACTTTGCAATACCTACTTAAACTGAAGAAAGGCATTTCCTAAGCCTATAGTCTGGTCATCTTTGTAGGCAGGCATATAAACCTCTGAAGCTGATTTTAAATGATTTTAAATCGCAGGCAGATGGTTATAGATGAAGGTACTGTTGTGATCCCAGATCATGTAAATGTTAAAATTGCTAGTTTATTTTCACCAGTGCAACTGTTGAAAACCATTATTTCATAGATAGCTATGCAAGATCTATTCTACTGAGTTAGAATCACAAAAATAAATGATATAAACAAACACACAAACAAACTCTTGCCTTAGCTTCTCTGGCCAGCAAAGAATCTAAAACTACCAAATTGTATAATTTTATTCAGGGGGAATAAAATACAAGACAAACAGAACAGAATAGAATAGACTTTGGAGGTCTTCTAGTCCAACCCCCTGCTCAGGCAGGAAACCATTTCAGACAAATGGTTGTCCAATCTCTTCTTAAAAACTTCCAACGCTGGAGCATTCACAACTTCTGGAGGAAGTTATTCCACTGATTAATTGTTCTGTCAGGAAATTTCTTAGTTCTAGGTTGCTTCTCTCCTTGATTAGTTTCCATCCATTGCTTCTTGTCTTGCCCTCAGATGCTCTGGAGAATAGCTTGACTCCATCTTCTTTGTGGCAACCCCTGAGATATTGGAACACTGCTATCATGTCACCCCAGTCCTTCTCTTCATTAAACTAGACATACCCAATTCTAGCAACCATTCTTTATATGTTTTAGCCTCCAGTCCCCTAATCATCTTTGTTGCTCTTCTCTGTACTCTTTCTAGAGTCTCAATATCTTTTTTTACATCGTGACGATCAAAACTGGATGCAGTATTCCAAGTGTGGGCATACCAAGGCACTATAAAGTGGTATTAACACTTCACGTGATCTTGATTCTATTCCTCTGTTAATGCAGCCTAGACCTGTGTTGGCTTTTTGGCAGCTACAGCACACTGCTAGCTCATAATTAAGTGATTGCCCACTAGGACTCCGAGGTCCCTCTCACAGTTACTACTATTGAGCAAGGTACCCCCTATACTATACCTGTGCATTTGGTTTTTCTTGCCTAAATGTAGAACCTTACTTTTTTCACCATTGAATTTCATTTTGTTAGATAGCACCCAGTGTTCAAGTCTGTCCAGATCCTCCTGTATCCTAAGCCTTCTTCTGGAGTTTTGGCTATTCTTGTCAGGTTGGTGTCATCTGCAAATTTGATGAGTTCACCATCTATCCCCTCATTCAAATTATTGTTGAAGATGTTGAAGAGTATTGGGCCTGAAACAGAGCCTTGGGGTACCCTACTGCATACTTCCCTCCATGTTGATGTAGTTCTACTGAGGACTACACATTGAGTGTGGTTGGTCAGCCAGTTATGAATCCATCTGGTGGTGATGCTATCTAACCCACATTTTTCTATCTTATTTAGTAGTAGGTTGTGGTCTACTTCATCAAATGCCTTACAGAAGTCCAAGTAAATGATATCCACATCAAATGCCTTACAGAAGTCCAAGTAAATGATATCCACAGCATTTCTCTGGTCCACTAATTTTGTCACCTTGTCAAAGAATGCAATAAGATTTGTCTGGCATGATCTGTTTACCCATGTTGATTTTTGGTTGTGACTTTATTTTCCTCTAGGTGTTCGCTGATTCATTGCTTATCTTCTCCAGAATCTTCCCATGTATTGAAGTCAGGTGATAAGTCTGTAGTTTCCTGGATCTATTTTTTTCCAGTCCTGTGGTAGTTGCCCAGTGCTTCAGGATCTTTGAAAGATGAAGTTCAGTGGTTCTGAGAACATATCTGCCAGTTTCTTCAGAACCTTGGGGTGTAATCCATCTGATGATCTGAATAGTTATAAACTTCCATGCATTCAGCTGAAAAATGATACCATTTTTTGTTTAATTTAGAGGAAAGTTTCATTTGTTACTACAAAACTACCTCCAGACATTGATTTGACAAGTGAACAGCATCCTTGGATAAGATAAAGGCAGAATTGGTCAAATAGGTAGGAGTTTTGCTTGTGAGAGACCAGTCATAGCTTCGGAGAGCAGCCTTGCCTTAGAATAGACATGTCAAACACAAGGCCCGTAGGCCGGATCCAGCTTGCAATTGGCCAAAATTTGGCCTGCGAAGATGCTCGGTAGATGGCGAGGGACTGGCCCCTGCCCCTATAGCCTCAGCCCTGCCCGGTGGCTAAGGTGCACATACAGGAGGCGGTGAGCACGTGGGGGGCGATGGTGTCCGATTGCAGGGGCTACGTAGCCTGCTGTGTATACCAGGCCAGTCCTCCAGCAGCAGCACTGTGGCAGCACCAGCAGCATGCAGAGTCCAGGGAGGCACGTGTTGCAGACCACCGGACATGCCTACTCTGTCCTATCTCTTTTTGGTTGGAGAGCAGGTCACCACTGTTCATATCCTCATCCCCCTCACAGGTCATGCCCTTGGCCCTCAGGTGGAGAGCATTCCCCTCATGCACCTTGGTACCCACCACAGCCACGGCCGCCAGCCACTTGCACAGATCCATTAGGCTGCCTCCAAGAATTGCAGCCCGCCCAGCACAAAGGAGGTAAAGTGGTTAGCTAGGAAGCCCCAAGTAGAGGTGGTAGAGCATGCCCAGGGCCAGCAGGAAAAGCCCACCCCTAGTGGGGAAAGCCAGATCCCCCTTGGTGCCATGGCCGCCCAGTCCAAGCCAGGATTGCATGCCTCTCCCCATCTCTGCTGGGCCTGAACGGGCAGAGCACCGATGGGGATCAAGCTTTCCCTGCTCAGGATGGCCTTTTGCTTGCTAGGTGTGCTATACCACCTCTACTCGAACTTCATAGTTGGCTGCCTTGCCTCTTTTGTGCTGGGTGCGCCTGCAGCTCTGGGCAGCGATGGCAGCCTAATGGACCTGTACGAGCTACTAGCGATAGCGGCCCGAGGCAGGCCAAGGTGCATCAGGTGCACAAGAGGAACAGGCTCCATGCACAGGCCAAGGGCAAGATCTGTGAAGGGGCCAAGGAGATGACCAGCAGCAACCTGCTCTCCAATCACAAGCAAAAACAGATGGGATGTAGTCGGCGCATCCGACGGTGTGCATCAAGTGCCCATCCCCTCCCTCACCTGCTGCTGGAGGGCTCGTATTCGCAGCAGGCTGCGGAGCCCAGAGTGCGCCAGTCAAGGGGCCAGCAGCCTGTGACTGCTAACGGACACCATTGGCCCCCACTGGCCTTTTTGCAGGGGCCAATGGTGTCAGGCAGCAGCCGCCCTTGGCCCCTGCCTCACCTTGCCTTGTCCCATGGCAACGACACCCCCACCCTGCTACCTGTCTGGCCTCACCCTGCAGGACGCACTTCCTGCCCACCACCCCACCCGCCACGGACCCCCTGGATCTCCCCCAACCCTGCCTGGCCCCCACAGGCTTCCCCCCTCAAGCAATGTCGATTGGCCATGCCCACCCCACCCACGTCCACCCAGTCAGCCGTGATCACCGCAGTCACGCCCACCCAGTGGCCCACGCCCACCCAGCTCCCGAGGGCACCACAATGCTGATGTGGGCCTCAATGAAATTGAGTTTGACAACCCTGCCTCAGACATCCCTACATATAGCGTGCCCCTACATGTAAGATATGAATATTATTTTTGCCAAAACAAAAAGTTAAATGATTATCTTAAATGTTGTACCATTGACCTGGAATAAAGTCCTTGTCCTCATTTTAAATTTGTGATCTGTGGAATACTTATTATCCTTCTCCAGTAGCGCCACTATTCATATACTGAAAAGAAGGAAAATATCAGGGAAAGAGAAGGGAGAGATTTTTATAGATAGTAGGACCCCTTTAGTTATAATGACTCCTATAATGGCTCATCTATCTACTGGGGTCTGAGATATCAGATCAAGAATCTAAGGGTGCTAAATGCAAAATCAACCTTTAAGAAGAGGCACCATTCATGAGTCTTCTGTATGTTATAAGACTTCATAATATATGGAAGGAAAGACATATAAATACTATGACACATATACTGATAATATAGGTAAAACAGAGCTTATCTCCAAAGAAAAATATCTATGAAAAAAAATGCAAGTAGAAAAATTGTTGTGAAATGATATCCTTTCTTAGGATTAGCTATCTGCAAAATAAAACAACAATTTATAAAACAATCAGTGAACTATGAGATACAGTCTAGAGGAAAAAAATTCCTATGTATCAGCAATTAAGGGAATTGCTTAAATGACCTTGAAATGATAATTCCAAAGAAAAGCCGAACTATTAAGCACATTCAAGGATAGTCTGCATTCTGGAACAACATGGAGAAATATATGCAACTGTCCTAATTCATGGGACTAGCAAATATGAAGAATATTTTAAATGTTCTTAATGCAGTTAACTACACTACTTTAATCAACTCAATAGTTGCACTAAGAAACTATGAAGTAATCACAGATTAATTGAGATAAAGGGGGAAGTTATTATCTTTTTATGGAGATTTTTTAAAAAAAAACTTTCCATACTTTTTTATGTATGTATGTAAACTATGTACAGGTAGCCCTCATCTTACAATTCTAATTGAACTGGGATCAGAGATTCAGTCATACATCACTGAGATTGTAAGCCAAGGCAAAAATAAATAAATAAATGCAAACAGTAAAGATCCTACAAAGCTAAAAAGACATAATTTTCTTTCTTTTAAACAGATTGAAAGGAAACTCACCCAGGAACTGGTAGACTTTCAGTTCCAAAGGTACTTCAATCTTAAAGGGGCAATTTAAAAAAGTAAAGCTCTGAAGTGATTAAAAAGATGAGCTTTGTCAAACCTTGAGTACATGAAAGTGCATTTATGGCTGAGAGCATGATGGAACCCACAATTCACAGCTGAAGTAGTGGCTGCAAAACATCGATTTCTACAAGCTACTCATAAAAATCAGGTGTTCAAGCACCTTTGAGCAATATTTCTTCCAGAAACAATTTTGGAAGTCTGGATCTCACACCCAGCTGCCTTTTCAACCATGATACTCCCACAATTTGCAGAGCAGAGAAAAATGTGGGTGTTAGTTTGCCTTGCCTCATCAGACTCAGCCCAAACATTTCTTGGGTACTTGTCATATAGTCCAGTCCAGTCTCTGTAAGCAAACTTTACTAACAAAAATAATGTCATGGGGATTTTTGGAAATTCTCAGTATTTGGTGAAGAATATAGTGCCATAACTTTGGAACTTTTTTCCATTTATTTAGAAAACACATCAAAGTAAGCAAGCTACTGTTGATTTCACCATATTGTTTAGCTAAGATTATTTATTAGTAAACAAGGCATAATAATTTCTGTTCCAACTCTTTCTCAAGACATTCACAACTTGAGATTAACAGGGCATTGCAACATAATTTGTCTGTACTCAAGATTGCAGCCTAAATTTCCTCCAACTGCTTTTTCGAGTTACGTTAACCTAACCAGTACATCTACATGGCTATTTCTAACACCTGACCTATATCCTACTTTAAGAACAGGATTTTATTATAGTTGGTACAACAAATTAATAAAGTTTCATAATTTCTAGCACTAGAATTTTATCAAGAACTGAATTAAGCAACAACATTGATAGAATGATACTGCTATTCACTGAATAAATAATTTTAACTGAAAAACAAACCCACTAGACTACTGATCTAGAGAAACAATTTTTAGGCAAACTGGTAAAATCTTGTCCTTTAAAATTTAGCATTCAAAATGAAAGTATCAAGGTAGTACAATAGTAATCATTACATGTGATAGTAAAACTCAAGTTCACAAACATCAGGGACACTATACATCCTCTTCACGACCTGTTTTCCTTGTTACCTTCTGGGAGGAGGCTTCGTGGTATCCGTAGCAGAACATCCAGATTCAGCCATAGCTTCATTCCATACAGCAATAACCTTGTGAACTCTCAAGCTTCCTCCTTCCGTTATATATTCAAGATGGACAGTATTTAATATCTATTTGTTATGTACATGTAGGGGGTGGGTCTATACATATGTTGTACATAGTATGTTTAGGTGTGTGTCATGTATGTGTTTCACTTTGAGAGCAGGCAACTAAATTTCATTTTTGATGTGTGCCATTGTGCCCACAGTAAAAAAATGACAATAAAGGTTATCTTATCTTACCTTTAAATAAAATAGAAAATCATATCAAAATGCTGCAAACTAGTAAGATCAACTTACTTAAAACCTTTGTGATGGCACTCTGGAGGAAGAGTGGTAGGCAGAAAAAGTTCAAAATAAGTGATAGCTTTTTGCATGGTAACATCAAAAGGGCACATTAATGGCCGCCATTCATCTAACATCTCTGCTGTGGCACTTTCTGGGAAATAACTAACAACAACAAGAATTTTTGCATCAACATATATTACTTACTTATAAGTAATCCCTATCAATAAATCTGAGATACAATTCATTAAAAAACAATAATAAAACATAATATTCTAAAAAAGTACAAACTAAACATGTTTCTGAGATCAAAGTTCTACTAGCTATATATTCACAGCATTGAAATAAAATCACTGCAGTTGCCAGCTTTGTCTCATACAGAGCATTTATTTCATAATTAGACTTCTATATCTAAGAGAATCCTCTCCTAATAAGTTTTTAAGAAGAGACTGGACAACCATTTATCTGAAATGGTATAGGGTTTCCTGCCTGAGCAGAGGTTTGGTCTAGAAGACCTCCAAGGTCCCTTCCAACTCTATTATTATTATTATTATTATTATTATTATTATTATTATTATTATTATTGAGAATATTTGTAGCTCAGAGTTGAAATGAGTGGTCTTTGGTGCTCTCTGAACCTGGTTGTTTTCTTGCAGACATTTCACTGATAATGTTATCTAGCTTGGGTAATAAAACATCTTCAAGAAAACAACTAAGCTCAGAGAGAACCAAGGTCCCCCATTTCAATCCTGAGCTACAAATATTCTCTTTTATAGATCTATTACAATTAAATGAGTAAGAAATATGTCCCCTTCCTTGTTCTCTGAGCAGTTTTCTGAAATAGAATCTAAAGCATTGTATAGCTTGGAACTTTTAATTTCTTAATAGAAACTTTCTCATTGTCTTTTGCATAATCCTTTGAAATAACTTTGTGATCCATCTATAGTATTTCAGGGTAATTGACAGGAATCAGAATTTCTCCAGTTCAAATAAAAACACTGAAATAAATGAAATGCTATCTTCTATAAGACGATCTAACACAGGTATGATAATTATTTAAGATACGTGCATTGTAACTTCTGCCATTCTGCAAATTTGAAAACACTTTAAAATAATGCAAGAGATATCTTGAAATATAATCATGAAAACATAAGAGTCAAATAGTCACTTTACTTGATTACATAAAGTAGGGAGAATTTACAGTAATGGGAGATTTCCAAACAATTTTAGCTAAACCTTGTTAGCATTCTAAGCAACATATTTATTTGACAGTTTTCTACTCTACCACTGAAGGTACAATTTAATCAGAGGACTCCTGTTACCAACAACAAGGCCCTATGAACACATAGTTTTTTCAATTTCATAAAGAAGACAGCTTCATATGTACAAGGTAGTATCAAAGAGTTTAAAAAGTACATAAAAATGAAAATGGTTAAAGTACTTACAGTCGACAATTTTTCACAAGAGTCTTCAAAACACTTTCTACTGAGCTAAAAGAAAACCAAAAAAAGGAAAAAATGTAAATAAATTACATTATCCTACTTTATAAGAAGAATATAGTGATATAATTATGCAAAGCCTAAGAGGGTATTGATTCAGTTTCCCATTATCTATGTACATGCAGTTGTTAATTTTACTTAAAGATACAGACTTAGTTACAAGTATTACAGCTGATTTTTAACTTTGTTTCTATTTTCCCTAGAGTACTGCTTGGGCTACATAAGGGTTCATGCTTTTCCTTGTATCCCAAATACTCCACTCAGGGTGTTTCAGTTTTTAAAAACAAAAAGTCACATAATAGTAAATCAGGTTTAAAAATATAATTGAGTAAACTGCATTACACATGCAAACTTACTTGCCAATTATTTTCTCTGTTAATATGTTTTGAGATGCTACATGTTTTTAAAAGCCTATGTTATTATGTACAAAGGAACTATCCCTGGACAATTGTGTCTATTGACAAGAGCATTCAAGGGCGCTCAAGCAGTGGCTTATTTCCAAATGCTCTATAATACGGATTATCTAGTCTTGTTTCAAGCTGTTTCTTGGTGCATTTTTGGCACTGCAACCTCTCAAATAGTTCTCTGGACTAGTTACCTACACTGAGATAAATGCTTTACATCATTCTAGTCTCATCTGATGCATATGTTTCAAAAGGTATTGGGGAACTAATCTGTTTTTTTTCCCCACAAAATAATTTGGCTACAGAATTCGTCGCTGCTTTATTTATTTTCTATGAATTCTAACACCCTAGCAATTAGAAAAATAAGTCTAGAAATTTGGGATTATCAACATCCTTGTAGCAATCAGATTGTTCTTCCTAACTAGTTCAGACATGGCAGCTCAATTATACAGTATGGTGCTGCAATTTATATAAAAGAAATACATTTAAGTAGAGTCTGTTTCTGTCAAGAATATTAAAATGGCACATGCATTTCAGAGTGTCTCCCATCAGATCTTTTGAGGTGTCAGAAGCATATATCTTCAAATAAGAATGACTCTGCCATAGGAATTTATGCTTCTGGAAAATTATGGTTCTATTGTAAACCGTAAGTTTACCTCTGCATCTAAGGTTTTTAAGCAGGAAAGTGGCATATTTTAGATTATTTTTAAAAATCATATACATGCCATTTCTTTTTTATTTTAAAAATATTAGTCCTGAGTGATACATATGACTTACTAGAGTTAAGTAACAGTACAAAAATAAACAACATTCTCCTGGCACAATAATGATATTAATATTCAAATCTATACTGCACTGCATTCAGGAGAGTGAAACTTCTAGCAATATTAAATTCTATCCAATATACAAGCCATTTTCATTCAGAATAGCTTGTCTGAAAAAGAAACATAGTTTGGCTAAAACAGAAAGTCAGTAGTGGTTTTCTGCCTTCAAAATAATATCCTATAGCTTAGAAAGATTCTAGGAGTTAAATTACCTAAGAGGCAAAAATGCAGAAGCAAGAAGCTAAACAAAAGCTAACCGTATAGCCTTTGCTATCCAACCTCTTTTTTTAAAAAAAAAAAAACATAAATACCCACTAAATCAAAAGGCAGTTCTGTCTCTGAAGTCACAGAACATTGCTAAAACAAAGTTCTTATGTTTAAGCCTGTAGCACCAAATCATAAAATTAAAAAGTCAGAAATCAAGAGAGCAGCTTGATTGTTCCAGCTTTGCCAGATGCCTGCCAAGCCTATTTTTCCAGGAGAGAAGGAAATCCACTCCATTTAGCTTTTCTGCTATATTGGAACTTAATTCATTCTATATACTAGATAAAGAATATTTATTGAATCATATAAAGAAAAGATAGTGGGAATGGGGTAAGTTACTGACCTCTCAACTGTAATGGCAACAAAATATTATTCCTACTATTAAGGAAACTCAATGTAAAATACATAATTATTGTGAACTAATAAAACCTCATTTTTTCCCCATTCTTCTTCATAGTGAGTCAAAGATCAACCAGATGATGTTAAATAATATAGTTCTTCCAAAGATTAAGATCAAGTAGTTTTTCTGGCTGTACATTTATCTCTTCAGGAAACAGCAGAATTACATCACTAATTCTTGGACTAAACAGTATTTCTTCAAAAATGACACAATACAGGATCAGCAATCCCAAGGGCCTGTAGATAGTTGTCACTTAACGATCACAATTGGGACCAGCAACTCTTATCACTAAAGAACATGGTCACTGAGACATCATGTGACAAAACCTTACTTTTGCTGCTGTTAAGCGAAGCACTATGAATTGTAAGTGAGATATCACATGACTGCAGCTTGCTAATTCACTGCTGGATTCCCCATTGACTCTACTTATTGGAAGCCAGCTATGAAGTGATCTAACTGAGATCAATGACTGCAGACTCTGGAGATGGTCATAAATGCCCACTGTTGCAAAAGATCCAAATTTTGATCATGTTACTATGGTGATGCTGCAACTCTTTTAAGAACTAGTCGTAAAATTATTTTTCAACCCAGTGTAATTTTGAATGGTTGCTAAACAGAGCAGATGTTAAGCAAGAACAACCTGTATATGATAAATAAGCCGTGTTGCTTTCCTAAAGGAATTGTTAAGTCCCACTATTTTTTCCCAAGTTCACCAAAAACCTAGTCTATCAAGGGGCTGCGTTCAAGACTCAGCTACTTAATCTTCCAAGGAAAGATAGTGCGGGGGAAGGAAGTGTGAGTGGCTAAAACTGCAAGGCACTCCATAATATTACCTGTTGCCAAGCTTCCAAAAATGATTGACTGAAGCACCCAAATCATGCCCAATACCCCCTGCTGAATAGGGAAGAAGCCACTGATGCCTTGCCAATATTTTCCTGAATACCATTGAATTCTCAAATCCTAGACTTAGGTGATGTCATTGTATCATACAAATTTTAGAAGTAAGAAGATATGACTTGAGTTAGTGGCTGACAAGGTTAAGCAAGCTGAGTGAATACAGTGGGTGAGCACTTGTCTAAACTGTTATTTTTTTTTCACACCAAAGTATCTGTTATATAATGGCACTTAATTTCATTTTAAGACTGGAATCCTAGTAATAATAATAATAATAATAATATGTACATCCTATTGAAGTTAGTGTGTATTGTTATCACAAAGTGAACTGCAAGTATAATCTAACATTATTTTAAATTCAAATAAGTCTTATCCTACATTTTTAGTCATTCTACCAACCTGTATATTGAATTAAATTCATGCATTTCTAGAACATTCTACAAATTATGCCTAAAATCAAATATAATTTATTTTAGGCACCTTAACTATAACTTATTTGTTAACAGGCATTAGCAAGTAGCTATAATTTTCAGTCACTTCACACAAAATATATTTTATTGTAATTAAATTTAAATACAGTGCGACATTCCCATAAATTGTGGTGTAATGTTAACATTGGGTTTTTCAGTTTTATATGCAGGAAGTTACAGGTATGTGACAAATGTTACAACTGAACAGGCCATGCACAAAGAAACCACATAGGCCAGAGCTACATAAAAGCAAAATAATTATCCTTACCACCTATGTAAAACATTAAGGACAAATGTTTTAGGTGAAGACAAGCCTGGTCGACATGAACTGAACATAAAGAAAAAAAGGATTTTAAAACAAAATAATGAAAAAAGCAATTGTAGCATTTAAACCAAATAATATTAAAGCCACAAAAATTATTATTCATATTCCTTTTATTTTAATTCATTCTTCCAAATTCATCCAAAATGAAATATAAATTGTAAGCAATGTTGTCAGAACACCATGAAAGAAAAGGTCGCACTGCACCATTTAATTTCAAAACCAGCCTGCCTGAAAAATGGAAAGGTTGCTTTGGCATTTGTTGCTTTCCCTTTAGTCCCTTTTCAGTTTTTATCTGGGAATCTGTTCTTGAAAGGCAAACTAAACATCAAAAATATTGTTAAGTATTTCTTAATTCAGTTTGCCTGACTGAAGCCAAAATCATTAACTTAGAACATATAACTTGGAAGTAAGTACATGTTATGCCAAATAAGTTAAAAATTCAATTATTAGTGTCACTGTTTAAAAGACTGCAAGCAGCTGCAAAGCTAGAAATGTATTTGTTCCAAGCACTGTCCCTTAGCATCAAATAGCTAAATATTCTAGGAGTAAAATTACTATACTGTATAGGATAAGCTCCTGCCATTTGAAGTTGAGAAAAGAATTTTCCTCATAGAGGTAGATAGAAGCAACGTTACATGTTAGATCAGATAAAACCAACTCAGTAACATCTTTAATGGCATCAGCTATCTAAGGCTTAAAAGTAAAGGACTTTTCTAGCCTTACAATCCATAACGCTGTTACCTAAAAATGCAATAGATTAAAACCTGGTCATCACATATGCACAGCGCATCTAAGATATGTCTCTACTAAAACATTAGTTTCCAAAAGTGGATAGACTATAGTTTTGTGCAGGCACTCGATCTACTTATATAAGGGCTAAAAGCAGGGAAAGAATATGGCCAAATTCATCCCCATATCTCAAAGTTCTATGACCTATCTACAATGAAAAAAAAGCACAAAGGATTTTTTTTAATTTGCTGGGATAGTATTTACATATCCATTTTTCCTAATACATTAAATTCCAATAAACCTACAAAGTGTTTGCATAGGGCTTATGTACTTTTCTTTTAGTGAATAGTCAGTTTTCATTTCACATCTTATAAAAACTGAAATATATTTCCCCCCAAATAGGGCTATCATATCTGGACTATAAAAATCCACAAAGAACTTTAAGGTTTTGATGCCATTAATGACTCCTTGGATTTTTGTAAGTCAAATCCGAGAGCATTAAATGTTTTTTTAATAACGTATTCCTTTAATGAAATATAATCATGTTGCTTATTTGTTAACCACAAAAAATAAAAGAAAAACAGAAGAAAAGTGAACATCTGCTGTAAAAGAAAAATGCAATTATTTAAAATATATTTTAGATTCAGATCAGTGAAACAAAATACATAAATTACAAGTAACAAAATTCAATTAAGAATAATGTGAGGATATTGTGAAAATAAAACAAAACCTTTAAAAACTTACTTTGGAAACCAATTTAATCCAAGATGTTCTGTCTTAGAATACAATATACGTTCCAGCATTTCATAAAGTGGTCTCCAGGGCAATTCTAAATCATCTCTTGACAAAAGTTCTTTTTTTCTAAGTTAAAAAACACAGATACAAACAGAAATTGAATTTGAATCATTACTCACTGACAACCTAAAATATCCTAAAACCTCTTTGAGTAACTATTTAAAATTATAGATCCAGGTCTAACTCTTACAATGGTATAAACCAGATTATTTTAATCAGGATTACCTGTTAATCAAATTCTCAAACAAATTAATATCATCTAGATTTATGTAAGACTAACTGGGGGGGGGAGAAGAAATGTAATGCTAGAAAACTACAACATTATCCAACTATTCACAGTATTTCTGATTGAGATATCAATATTACATCAAAACTGGCACTCAACATGTTCATTGATATAAATCTTTGCCTAGCAAAACCCTTTTCTACCCTTAAACTAGTGGAAACCAGTATAATTTTGGGCAACAGGAATTACAGTGTGGATATATACATCTAAGGATGATAAATTTAATGAAGAGAAGTGACATGATAGCAATATTCTATTATCTCAGGGGTTGCCACAAAGAAGAGGGAATCAAGCTATTCTCCAATGAAGGTAAGACAAGAAGCAATGGATGGAAACTAAACAAAGAGAGAAGCAACCTAGAACTAAGGCGAAACTTCCTGACAGTTAGAACAATTAATCAGTGGCACAACCTACCTCCAGAGATTGTGAATGTTCCAACACTGGAAGTTTTTAAGAAGAGACTGGACAGCCATTTGTCTGAAATGGTATAGGGTTTCCTGCCTGAGCAGGGGGTTGGACTAGATGATCTCAAAGTCCCTTCCGACATTATTATTGTTGTTGTTGTTATGATTGTTATTATTATTAGTAGTAGTATTATTAATCATCGCACAGTCAGCCAGATGTTCAGACTGGATTTGGCATTTTTGTCTACCTATCAAGTCCTTACCAAGGACCTGGTATATTATTATTGTTGTTGTTGTTCTTGTTCTTATATGCAAAAATTAGAGTATATAGTGGTTGATTTTTAATGGATTTTGAAAATGCAAGGCTGTACAGCTATATGACCAAGTCTCTAATCTTTCCTCAAACTTAGGAAAAAAGTAAAGTGTTGGAATATTCATGAACAGGAAGAGTCATGTGGTAACTCAGTCAGCCAATGTGAAGAAAGTACTACTGAGTCTGTGCAAAAAGAGTATTGAGTTAGGAGCTGGATTTCCAGTCTCAAGGTTTGTCTCTGGTCTGTCTCTGTAAGGAGTCTTAATTAAGCTATGTTGATGTAAAGAAGAATGGTATTGTAAATATTTTTATATAAATATAAAGTTATTTGAATCAGCTAAATGCAGTCAACTGTGAGAGCTTCTGATTTATTTTTCACTAATAGAGAAATTAAAATTCTCTAACATAAAGACACTTTCTTCTTTAGTCTGGCTAGGTTTTTGCTACTTCTGATATATAGGGCTTCTATATAAGGCCAGCATGACGTCAGAAACAAAATACCAATCAAAGCTGACAAAATTTGTTGAATCTCTTAGTTTTAACACTAATTATCCATATCTCCAGCTGTGATCATTATTAAATATAGATAGAAGAATGGGGTAAAGCAAAACTTACTTTAGCAAGTTTATTAAAAGTCGAGCAAACCCTTGCATCATGCTGATCTCCAATTTTGGAATAGTTACTAGTTCATACAACAGCTTAATGAAAAGAACGTGATCTTCTTTACCAAACTTTCTCCCATAAAGCCGGAGATACCTGTAAAAAAGAAAATTTAAAATACTGTAGGTAAGGTATTTCATTTTACCAACATCCTCATGTTAGTATATGCAATGCAAAAAAGTGAATATAATCAAAATAAATGGAAAAGTACAAAAAACAAATACTAAGTATAATAAAATTATTTATAGTGAATTCAGGTTAAGACAACTTACAAACATATCTAAATGCAGACCTATTATGGTATTCCTTTTGGGGTTATGCAATATGCAAACTACAGAAAAATAATAGTAGTAAGCCAAAAGAATTAAAAAGAGGAAAGAAGAAAGTATACCTGTATCTAATTTACATTGTTATTCATTTTATCTATCATGTTATTCATATTCATGCACATTATACTATTCACACAAACCATTCTTACTTCTCCATGCTCATATACCACCCCATATATCACTTTTTCTTTAAACTCTTTTGAGGATTTCATCAATTTCATCTATCATGATTTCTTACATTTGCATCTGTAGTCAACAGACCCCTTAAAATTATGAGTATTCTTTTTGCATTTATTCATAAATATATTAAATAACCAAGGAGAAATCGCATATCCTTCTTTCACTCCTTGCTCAATGGTGAACCATTCACTAAGCAATTCCATTAAATCTCAAGTACTATTTATTTCCATTGTGCGCTATTCTTACCATGTTCAGCTTCCAGCCACTGATCTGTATATTCAAGCAAAACATTCCACAATTCACATTTTCTATTTTATCATCGGCTTTCTTTAAGTCAACAAACATAATAAACTTTCTCACATTCATACATATATTGAAGGTCTATAGAAACTATTTGAACTATATACCCCTGTCTTGTATTTTGTAGATGTCAAGATAGTGACCAGATGAGTAATGTATTGAGTGAGCTGGTATGCATACTTTGAGTTTTGTTGTTAATTTGATTTTTTAATCCCCCTTCATCCACACCAGTGCTGTGGGAATCCTCCAGGGAAGAATTGGGGGGGAGATATGGTACTTATCAGCTCCCTGGCCCACTGCAAAGCCCTAAGTACATCCAAAGTCTTAATGGTTGCTGGAGTTCATGAAGCGAGGGAGGGGAAGAGATTGCTCCTGTAAGGTCGGGCATCTGCAAAGGGTGCAGATATTGTGGAGGCAGCAAGGAGGGCTGTGGATCACCTCCTTGGTGGCAGACGGTGGAAGTCACTAACATCAGTCCAGTGCTATGGACAGATCAATCTCTGGTTGCCTTTCAACTCAACTTTCAACTTTCTTTCTGCAGGAAGATGTTCTAGATGAAGCACCACAAGTGTTGCCTGGAGTTCTGTGAGAGAAAGACTCACATGACTCTGATCTGATATGGGTATGAGCCCATATTAGGGATTACCTTATAGCAATAAGGACAGGAAAATATCAATACTTCTTTGACCATATTTCATCCATCGATAGCTATCCAGTGGTTCAGTTTACTGTTCCTTACTGAGTTGAGAAGAGTTCAGATTATTGATGATCCAAGAGGACTGTTGGATAAAATTGTTCAGGTTTGCTTCAGCTCAGACTCTGACTGAGCAGGATGAACCGAGGTGGCTGGGACATGGTCTATTGCTATTATCTGGAATGAATCTGAGCTGGTGACTCTTGAGGGAGTAGAGAGGGTTCTCTATGCTGTTAATTTGGCCATATGTTTCTAGATCTGAGCCACTCCTGGGTGCAAAAATGGCTAAGGTGGGGACCCAGAGTTGAGTCCATACTATGGTGTCAGTCTTCTTCCTGCCTTCAAAGAGACAAAGAGTGGCCCCTCCTTGGAGCCAATGGTTTTTGTTAGCTCTTCAAAGTAGTCCAGGGCAGGAAACCAAAACCAATAATGCTAAAATTACCTTTATTGTAAGGTGACAATAACAGAACTTGCAAATCTGAAAGCACTTCCCCCCCCCCACCACCACCTTTATGTCCCAGAGAACTAGTGAGAGTCAATTCTGAGAGACTTTTTCCATCTCCATTCCTGCATTTCTCCCATCACTCTGAGATACGCCACACTCCTTACCTGCAACTCTGTCCACTTAATAAACTATGAGATCACTTAACTGCAATTGGGAGTACCAGGATTCTTGTTGTTGAGAGAAGCAGTCACATGATGTTTTGCTTAATAGCTGCTTTGTTCAATGACTGAAATTCCGGTTCCAATTGTGGTCATAAGTCAAGGACTACCTGTAGTTTTTCACTCTGATTTCTTTCAGTTCTTTCCCTTTCTTCCCTAAATCCACTCCTGATACTACCAATGAATGGTTTCCCCCTTAAATAAATAACCAGAACCTCTTACACACACTCTCATTTATTCTCTTTTATTGCACATAATCATTTAATCATGCTTTTTGATTCATTCCTTTTCCATTTGTACTCATGGATATACATGCTTAAGTCATATACTTGAAATGAACATATTTTTTCTAAGCACATAATCACCATTCTCATTCATCCTTCAGTTTCTGAATTGTTCAATACATTTTCTGTACTGCATGTCACTTAATCAAACCCAAACCCTGCATTACATCAATTCAGAATGTTGAAAAGTATTTCCAACAGCTCATCCCTGGTTTTTCCAGTTATCACCATACAATAAAGTATAACAGCCAATTATCACTAACCTATGAACTCCTGCTTCCATATACATTCATAGCAATCTTGATGACACCAGATCATATACATTCCAGAGTGTATTTAATTTTCCTCGATGTATTAGCCAATCTCATTTCTCAAGAGATTGGTTACCTTCATCCAGGTCTAGTACATCATATACATTCCAGAGTGTATTTAATTTTCCTCAATATATTAGCCAATCTCATTTCTCAAGAGATTGATTACCTTCATCCAGGTTTAGTATAAGTTTCACAGTTACACAATACTTTTTAATTTTATTAATTTATTCAATAACATTATTACATAATCCTACATTTCAAATGGCATTATTTCATGTGTCATGGTCATCATTGGATGGACTCATAGTTATTGAACTCCACCATCCATTTTGGTTATGTCAATAAAAGTTTTCACGTACCGCTTCTTAATAAAATAGAAAGGTATGGTCTGGCTACCAGCTTTAAGAATACCCATGCTACAAACTCCTTTACTAATGGTGTTGATCAGTTTTAGTGCATGTTGGTCAGTATGCCGGAAAAACAGAAGCCCACATTTGCTTCAAGAATGGTCATATTGTTCTATGTAAACAAGGATCCCTAATTCAGAAACTACCTTAAAAGCAAAATAATGTTAAGTGACAGAAAGATGGGACACCAAATGAATCCCTGAGTGTGCTATCACAGAAAAGGTGGGGGGTGGGGTTCTCCCAGTCACCTATCTAAGGCAGAAGTGTGAAAAAATCTTGGATGACAAACATTAAGAAAGCACTTATTATACATCCTGAATATTCTCGTCTAAAAAATTAAGTTGAACTATTATATTCACTGCAAATTAACATAAAAGCTATGAAATATTTCAAAACATGCTTTAAAATAACAGCTTATAGCTTATCCTAAATATCTGAATTCATTTTGAAGGACATTTTTGTAAGTCAAAAAATGGGAAACCAACTTTTGGTCAGCAAGTTTGTGAAGAAGTAAATATTGTGAACCTCTTACGTTTGCAAATCACAACTGTAATTCCTGAGACAATAAAAGCTGACTCTGCATTCCTCTGCAATATTTTCTAATATCATAATATCTATGTTTCTAGTTAGTAAAATATCTTTGCCAACATTAATATATTTTATTCACCAAACCATGATTGGAATTAAACATATAACAGAAGAAAAAAATAAAATACAGCTAGACTTTTTATTATAAGAAAGTTCATGCTATTTCAATTAGCAAGCTTGCTTAATGTATTCATTTTTATACATCTTTGGAGAAAGTTATGAACTCTAGCAAAATACAGAGGGGTTAGAAGTGTTAATTCAGAAATTGATAATGGACAGAATTGCTATTTGAAATGTCCTTTTCTTTTTTCTTTATACTCATTATTTGCAGTTAGTATATGCTAAATCTATGTTATTTGACTCAGTTTTTAACTTATTTTAATGTCATATTGATAAAATGCTTTATGTGCATGCTCTCTAGCAAATATTTTCCTTCAGAGATTAAACAAGCAGTGAACTCTTATACAAAGGTGTTGACTAGGGATGTCAGCATTCAAATGTGCTATCAAATTGCTGTTCCCTGTAAGCAGAGTGATTTTTTTTTTTGTTCTTTATTCTGTCACATCAAAAAGTGAATGGGAAGAGCAAGACTGAGTAGTTTCTAAATACAATTTCAACATTCAAAAAAAACACTGCATGTCAGTTTCTATTCCTAGCTATGTTTTTAATTAACAAGAACTTTTTTACTCTGACAAGAATTGTTAGCCACCAAGGACAATGTGTTGTGATACATAGGTTTTTTTTTAAAAAAGAAAATAATTAAAAATAAAGATACCTTAAATGTAATTTTTTTAAATTTAGATACCGTACATTGTCTCTTCTGAAGTACTGCCAGTTCAACCTACATACATGAGAATAATCAAGATATACCTAAACTGATATTTGTAAACCAACCAGTCACTCAGTGTGATAGGTGGTATGATGGATGGACGGATGGACGGACAACTGGATGATTTACACAGTAGATGGATAGGTGGATGGGTAGGTAGGTACGTAGGTACGTAGGTAGAGAGATTTGTAAGTAATATGTTTGAACAACACAACAGTAAATTATTTCTATATGCTGCCAAGAGAACTACATGGATGTATCCATGAAGTAAGAAGTTGGGCTTTATCTTCCTTCCCAAGAGAACCTTCACCTTTCATATATACTATGACAAGAGGTTTCTAATTATGAGTTAAGAACCTCTGGAAACTCATGAGCAAATTGGGATCACAAAGCCAGATCACTGGCTCACAAAGTGAGCAGGGGGCTGTGCAGGCTGCAGAGCTGGAGGCAAGCTGGCAGGGCCATTATAAAGCCAAATTCAATGTCAGCCCTCCCTGGTTAAATCAGA